CCTCACGTCCGGGACACCGAGGTATGGTGCAACAGAACAGTACACCGAGCAATGTTGGTATGCCGAGCCGCTCATATCGCGGTATGCAAACCCCATCAGAAGTCATGGAACCGTGGTATGTCGGCCTGGTCGGGATTGCGCAGGGGCCGTCCGATACAGATACCCCATGGAGATGCATTTAGCTGCAGTGTCCCCGATCTACACAGTGGACATGGATATGCCCGCTGGGACTTTGGTGGCTCTGCGATATGCTGCTGGTGGCTACGGTTTCGTGAGAGTCGGGCTGGGGGGTGAACGCCGTGCATCAGGGTGTTCTTTCTGCATGCGACGCTTGGGACGTGCCACCTATTGCATCTGGTCCAGTGCCAAGCCCAACAACAGGGAACGGCTGGCCAGAGACGGGTACATGAGCACTCGCAGTCACAACCGAGGTAACCCATTTACCGGGCTTTGAGATCCAAGCTGTCAGAGAGAGAGACCGAGAGAGTGTCCCCATATCGCCCTCTCTCGCCCTCTCTCGCCCACTGCCCCATGCCAAGGATGCAGGCCTCAAGCGGCCCGCAGTGCCAGCAGAGAGAGGTCAAATCGAGGTCAACGGCCCGCCGCTGTCAGAAACGGCCATCTCTTTGTGCCATGTCCGTGTCTCAGCCTGTCCGACGTTGTTGACAACCTTGCGCGACAGCTTGCACGGCGCCCGCGTTCCCTTTGTCACACCGCGCACATACACAGCACCTGGGTCGGGTTAACGGAGTGTGGGGTTATACCGACGTGCACGCACAGCTACAGCACATGTCCATTCTGATGCCCGCCACGGGCGCGACGGCGCGCGCAGTCATTGTGGTGGCTCTCGACGGCTCCCTTACCAACGTGACCTCCTCACACGACCAGCTCAGGAATGTGCCGTGGCTGCCCCCCCGCCAGGTCTTTGTTGTCCAGATCTCGGCATCGCTGTCGGCATCGCTGCGTGCAAGCCACCGGAATGATGTGACGTGGCCCTCTGCGTCCCTTCGACAATCGGGAACATTCAGTACTGTACCAGAGTGTGCTCACACAGAAAACAACAGCGAGGCTGGAGACGAAGGGCAGGCAGGCAGCCAGCCAGGGACCTGGGCACGCCTCGGTGCTCCCAGTGGCATACGCGTCACTGCACGCCGCGCAAGGGACCAGGCGCCTCCGAGAGGCCAGTGGCCAGACCGCAGCCCGCCACTGATTTCCATGCCTCAACCTCGGCTCGACGTCTGCAGGACATGTCAAACAGCCGACGCACTGTGAGGGGAGATATTTGGAATGCACGTAGTATACCTTCTCAAAGCTCGTAAAAGCATAACATGCGCGGAATGAGAACAGGACGGGTCGAGGATTGACATCAACACACGCGTACACGCACTAGACCGTGGTGCCTCGATTTTACTTTACGCACCTGTCCGCTCGTCTCCCTGTGTCCTCCTGTCGTTACCAACTGGGCAGACTGCTTTCCCATAACTCTGGTGTCAGCCGGTCAGCAATAGCCGGTAAAGGTGAGAAGCTGACGGCCCACAGTGATGGACAATAGAGCAGCGTTGTGGAGCACAATGCAGCACGGCGCATGGACGGCCTGTTCCTCTGATATCCCACCTGCGTGAGCCCCGAGACATGTGATCGTACTCCTAAACTGCAGCAGCGCGGCCTCTGCCCTCTGTCCTCTGGGTACAATGTACGGGAACCTGTACGTTTCCGGCCCATGGGGAGCGTCAACTGAATATCTGAATGCCAAACGGGGGCGCGGAGGGGGAGGATACCGGTGTCCTTGGCGCGAGGGTCAATGGCTCTGACTGGGGTGTTCGCGGGAGTCAGGCTAGCCAGGTCGGTGTCGTTCCCATTCGGAGCCAACTTTGTCGAGTCTATCGGAGCGTGGACGCCCAGCGATCGGGGGCTTGGGACACGACCGAGGCCAGACTCCAGTGAGGCCAGTGACGACCTGCCGTAGCCCGACTCGAGGCGTCAGCGGCGTGTAATTACATTCAGGTCGCATCGCCGGAGGCTGATACGCACAGAGGGGGCAACAACGACGCCGCCGACGACGCAAGCAGGACTGCAGGACTGCAGGACTGCAGGACTGCAGGACTTGCAGGACACACGGCCGAGATGGGGATGTACAGGGAGAGGGTTGACAAAGGTCCTGCGCAGGTGGCGGCGCCACGCCGGCCGCCACGGATCCACCGAAGCCTAGCCGCAGCAGCGCGCGCACAACGATGTGCCCGTCCGACGCATCGCTTTCCAGCATTCGCGTCTCAGAGCGACGTCCAAGAGATGCAGCGGCCTTGCTTTCTTTGTGTTCACGGATGCGTAGGTACCCTCGTCGGCGACTGTTTAGGCAGTTTGTGGCTGAGGAAGTGTGTGAGGTCTTGAGAGGTCGACGTTGAGATCGCCCCCCAGCAATCAGTTATTCCGCCTCCTGCCTCATTCCACGTCCCCCCCTGTGCACTGTGGGGGAGGAGTGAGAAGACGGACAAGACCTGTCAACAACACACCGGCGAACGTTAAGCGGAGAGGTCCGAGTGAAACATCCAACGCCAGCCAGCCTGCGGATTCGGCTAGCCCTGGCGACGCGTGTGTGTGTGTGCAGTACCGGTTTGTGCTTTTGGTTTGCTGCGGCGCCTTGTGTTGTCTCTTCTGCCACCGACGCACGGATTCAGCGTACACCGTGCACTTTCTGTCGGCTTCCAATCAGGAAGAACGCGTGCACCTACGACCTCTGTCATTCGCTCTTTGCACGTCACCCGCCACCGCGACCGATGTCCTTTCCCGGTCCCCGTGCGCGGCGGCGTTGGCCGTTGTCTAATGGCCGTCGCGAGCGCTCCAGTGAGGCGCCCCATTGTTGCCCCGACTCCCTCCCCTGATCACGTTGGTGGTCTTACGTGTCACCAGTAACTGGTAACTGTGTGGAATATTCAAGGCGTTCGTTCAGTTGGAACAGAGGTTGTTCTTTGTCCATGGCCTTTGTCTCACACTGGAGGTGGTGATGGTTGTTGTTCAGCCGATCAGCGCCGTTTCAAGAGCACGCGCAGTGCGCTTTCTTCCGTGCCGAGGTGGCACTCGACACAAGCGTTCGGTAACAGCTGCTATACCTCTCAAGGTGCCCCGCCCAACGGTAGTATGGCGACCGCTGGGAGACTGGACGTCCAGAACAACTCGTCGTGACTTGGCGACCGCGACCGATCGTGTATTCATTTGCCACTGGTCGTCAATAATATCGCCAGACAGCCAAACCTGTAAATGGTAGCCCAGCTGTGGCCACCTAGCAAGGTCTCACTGGTTGGAAACCGACAACGAGGAGGGATGACCTTGGCGCCGTCATGTCGTCTATGCGAATGGGACACTTGCACTTGACCGGCCTTGTTAAAGCACTCACCGTCAAGGTTGTGAATCAGAGGTTCTTGGGACAACGTGGTGAAAGCTCCCTGCCATCGGGATTGCAGACAAGCTCGCCTAGTCCACTGTCTCTTGATCAACATGTGATTGGGGCCTGTCCTTCGGCGCTGCTGGGTGGTGTAGATTGTCGCTGAGCACCCAGCAGCTCATGCAGGTGCCAGCGGGCACCGCTCGACGAGTACGTGCTCCGTACGAGATCTTGCCTTCAGCCGAAATGTCAAATTACTAATGTTTTATTACCATTAAATTAAAATTAATTACGATCAGCGTTCTATTTATGACACGCCCGAGTCTGTTCAGAACCACTCCTGGCGCGGATCATGTCCGCGCCTCAGCAGGTTGGCAGCTTGGCAGATAGCTGTGGGACGAGATGGCAAAGCGCCGCCCTGTCTTTCGTTTGGGGCCAGGAGACGGCTTTGGTGGTGACATGTGTCATTGCCTGGGTTCTCGGTCATGTTCCGAGCGTATATGTACAGTGAGAAAGCTTTGGTGACGATTAGCATAAGGTCACTTCGTTCTTTTAAAAACATCGGTGATTGTACACTCTCACCGTACACAGGCATTGGCCACAGATTGTTACTATTACTGATAGCCCGGGTAAAGTAGAAGGTATAGTGAAAGGAGCGAGATATGCTTGCGAAAAGAGATCAAGTACGACACGCCCGACATGGCCACCCGGACGTCGGGTTCAATACGCCAGTAGTAGTCGTACACATGGTACGTGGTGCCGTCGGGACGAATGAAACCGTACCGTGTCGGCAGTCCGGCGGACCGGCCACCGGGCCCCAGTCATATGCTAACACGGTCCAGCTTCTCCACCAACACTGCACATGCTGCACAAGCCCACAAACCATCCAAACGTCACAGGGGGGGCGTGTGGAGGCGTTTGTGCATCGCACATTCCAAGCCGCAAAAGTCACCACCGTATCTCACGACTGGACCTACCGCCCAGATCTTACAGCGCCACAACTAAAAGTCAAGACTGCACACACGTCTGTTCTGTCTGTGCTGACGGGGCCTGCGCAGAAGCGTGCAGGAATGTGGAGGTGCTGTTGTGTGGAACGTTGGCTCCCACTTGATACAGCAAACACTGTACCTGTGTAGTGACGACTGTTTCTGTACACTGGTGACTTCCGCCCACTGGTCCTTACTGTGGGCCATGTCCTCACTGCAATTAAAGAGTGTCTCCATAGAATCCACGACAGCACGTCAAGGGAGGCAGTGCTGTGGAAGGCCCACTGATAGGACAGTAGATGTCCGTTGTGACGACTGCAACCCACCATAGGCGCACATGGCCTGTTTCCAGTTTACATATCTGTATGCATAGCACATTTAGATCCCTCAAGACTGGACGCTTCAAGTCAGTACATGCATAGCTTACGCTCAATCGAAAGTCGAAATCACATCGTTGTCCGGGACACTCGAGCCACACCCAGGCGTAAGTGCCACACTCGGCGTTAGCTCCCGCTCCGACTGATTGCCCTCTCTCGGCTTGGTGCGTCCAGCTTTCGAAGGTGGATCTACCAGCGATCGCAGCGAGTAATCCCATCAACAACAACACACAACCCCCGCGCGCGCGCAGAAAGCACATGTCGTCCCTCCTCCCGCCCAACCTGCTGCGGATGTTCGCGCCGCGGCCGCCACTGCCGTACTTGCCGCCGTTGACAAAGGACGACTCGGACCGCGGACCCAACAAGCTCTCCGGCATTGGCTCGCTCGTGAAGCGGCTGCGCGACGAGGCCGAGGAAGCCGAGCTCAAGCAAGGCCTCGAGGACAAGCCTGCCGCGGACGACGAGGTCAAGAAGGAGGCAGAGGATGGCGCGGACGAGAAGATGGCCGTGGACGAGGACGGCGAGGTCAAGGACGGCGGCGCGGCCAAGGACGTCAAGGGCAAGGGCAAGGCCAAGAAGTCGGACGCCGTGACCGCAGCCGGCGTCATTGGCCAGGAGGCCGTCAAGATGCGCCGCGAGTTGAGAAAGAAGCGCCAGGAGGAGTACAAGAAGGGCGCCGAGAAGGACTGTGAGTTGACGTTATTGACGGCCACAACTGACTCTCTCCAGGGGACCCCAACCACGACGCAAAGGTCGTCGGCGACCCGTACAAGACGCTGTTCATCTCGCGCCTGTCCACCAAGGCGACCGAGACCGACCTGCGCCACGAGTTTGAGGTGTACGGCCACATCGAGGAGATCCGCATTGTGCGCGGCCACAAGAACAAGAGCCGCAACTATGCCTTTATCGTGTACGAGCGCGAGCGCGACATGAAGGCCGCGTACAAGGACGCCGACGGCATTCCGATCCACCACAAGAAGATCCTCGTCGACGTCGAGCGCGGCCGGACCGTCAAGGACTGGAAGCCCCGGCGCCTCGGCGGCGGTCTCGGCGGCCGCCCCAAGCCCGTCGACCCGGCCACCATCGCGCCCCAGTTCAACAGCTTTGGCGCCGGCGCACCGCGCGGCGGCGGCTTCCGGGGCGGCTTCCGTGGAGGCTTCCGCGGGGGACCTCCTCGCGGAGGCGGGTTTGGCGGCGGAGGAGGCTTCCGCGGTGGGTCACAAGGCGGCGGCGGCGGGTACCGTGGGGGACCTCCATCGGGCGGCTTTGGCGGACAGGGCGGCTACGGCGCACCCGGCGGTGGCTACGGCGCACCTCGCGGCGGCCCACCAAGCGGCGGATTCGGCGGCGGCGGTGGTGGTGGTGGTTATGGGTAAGTTTAGCTAAATGTTCCAGAATGTTAGAAGCTGACAGCCTCAGCGGTCCCCCCAGCGGCGGCCCACCTAGCGGCTACGGTGCTCCCTCGAACGGATACCAGGGCGGCCCCCCCGGCGGTGGCTACAAGCGCGACTACGACGCACCAAGCGGCGGTGGCGGCGGCTCGTACGGCGGCGGTGGTGGCGGCTACGAGGACCGCGACTCGAAGCGTCCGCGCTACTAGACGCCGCACACGCTCTCGAGTGTGTGGGGCCGTGCCATCTTGCAGAGGGTGTGTGTACGTGTGGGCGAAGGGTGTGAGAGGCGAGCAGTGAGGGGGGCCATAAAGAGGTGTCACAACAGAGACATCCCAACGCCAATTTCCCCGGCACAGGTCAAGTATGTACTATCCGCGGGCGCTCCGCTGTCCATGTCAAGCGATCATTCATTTTTACACTTTTTTATCTTTTTCGAGTGGGTATGGTAGGTGGGCAGACGCAGCGCAGGCGCAGTTGGCGGGTCCACTACTCTCACCAGGTGCAGTGTCGTGAGGGCCGAAGCGCGAGCAGAAGCCGACAACGCGTCATGGGAGAGAGAGGGGAAGGCAATGGCCACTGGGTACGTGGATCACGAGGGCATCCATCTGGAACAGGATGGGCGTGGCGGGTGGAGGAAGTGGCGGTAGAAGTGGGTCAAGGTATGTCGCCGCCTACTTGTAGTGTGTATACACCAACGTCTGGTCAGGTAAGTTCAATTGCCCGTGGACCCAGACGAAGGAAGCAGGGTGAGTTGTGGCGGGACGATTGCCAAGACGCACACGTTCCTATCATCGTTTGTACACCATTCATGAAGGCTGTGCACACTCAACGTCGCGACTCAGGAAGGTACTGTGACGAGGTTGTTTACATTGGCAACATTACATAGAGGAGGGTAGCGCCAGCAGGAACATGTTCTGGCAGTTTGCAGTTGGTCATTATGATGTTGAGGATCTCGAACCCCCATTGCGTCGGCGTCCTGGTCGCGGTCGCGCACAGCTACAACTTGCTAGCAAAGAACCACGAGTCGACTGTGCCTGTCAGCTTAGTACCGACGCGTACCCACGCCTGGAACCTACTGTCATTGCTCTCGTCCCCCGCGCCGATGCTCATGTCGACACAGGCTGCGAGCTCGTAGCCGAGGTTGTCCATCGTGGACATGAGGTTGAGCGCCAGCAGGCGCGACTGCGAGACCTGGGCGCCGTTCGACGTCGCCCACGGCGACCCGCGCAGCTTCAACTGGTAGCAGCCGTACTCCTTCTCCTTCTGGTCCTGGATGCCCATCGGCCAAGTCTTTGGGGGCGTCAGTTGTGTCCTCCGCTGTGGAGTTGCGCAACTCACATGAACAGCAGAGATCAAGGCGTTCTTGATGGCGTCGTTTGGCGGGTCAATGATGCGGATCTTGTCATACTCGTTAAACGACACGCTGAAGAACATGCGCTGCACAGGCGGTCCGGCTCGGAAGAAGAGCGTGTCCTTGTCCCAGCTCTTCTTGCTCAAGTCGGTCGATGCCGCGAGATGCCAGCCCTGCGTCGCCATACAGTGCAGGAAGTGGATCATCAGTCGGCGTGCGGGAACTGCTTCAGATCCTTGGCCGTACCCTGTTGAGAGGTGTGAGCAATGGACGCGTGCGCGGAGCAGGGTCAGACATGACGCCCACGGGCAAACCGCACAACACACACGGCGCAACGACTGCCTTGCACGCTGCTGCGCTGCGGTGCCGCACACCCCAACCACCGCGCCGTCCACAGAGGCAAACACTCACAAGGCCTGCCCTTGAGCTTGAACTCGAAGCCGCCATACTCGAGTCGCCCGCGGGTCTGGATGCCAGGCGGCCACGCGCGCGTGATCGTGTCGCCCACAACGCCGATAACGTGTTCGGGGAAGTTGAGGAGCCGGATCTTGTCCGACGACGAGAGCAGGACCGCGCCGTACGCCGCCTGGTACGACGGACCGGCCTGGCCGGTCTGGTACGGCGATTCAGCAGCCGGCGGGGGTGGGAAGGGCTCCTTCTTGTCGCTGCCGTAGGCGCCCGAGTTGACGCTAGAGCTCGAACCCCCGGCGTTGTAGGACGGCGGCGGGGCGAGCGGCTGCGATGGTGGTGCGGGGTTCTTGTCGAAGAGGCCCATGGCTGGTGAGTGTAGTGGGGCGTGGAGCGCGGAGAGGTGGTGCGAGAGAAAGAGAGAGTTGCTCAGTGATGCAGCAACGCGTGTCAATATCACCACCACAGGGGGAGCCGGAATGGGAGGCGATTTTAAACCGCAACGTTTGGGGGATGGCATTGACGTCATTCCGTTATCCAGCGCTGGGAGGCGTTTTGCTTCGATGAAACCAGTGCTTGAAACGCTTCTTTTCTTCATAATGCCTCATGGACCTCTCCTATCACAAGCATCGCCTACCGTTCCTATTTGCACAGCGCTCAGCACTGGGCACTCAGCACTCGGGCCATCGGCGCGAGAATGCACGTGTTTTGGGTGTGCCAAGACCGGAAAGTCTACTGACGGGCGCCTGAGGACATTGCCTTCAGGAATTGCCCGACTTTGCGCGACTTGCGGCTGTGATGGACGCCGCTCACCAGCTTCTGGCCGAGCAGTCCGTGTGCACATTGGCCGCCATGTCGGCAGTGCACACTTCCCAGCCGTTCCAGCGTTCCAGCGATCTCCACTCCAGACGGCCTCCCTGTTCTCTGGGTGGTTGGGCATGCGCTGGCAAACTCCGAAACGGAGGATGTTGGTTGTCTGTGTACCGTATCGTCATATCAAGCCGTGAATACAAGTTTTACAACAGTAATGGGTCGTCGTGCCAAGTAGCCACTTGAACATTCTATGTACACACTCGTTCCCTCGTCACCATCTCCTGTGTCGCCACATCTGCGATGTCTCGTCCAGCCGCCGAACATTACAGCGGAAGCACATAGTAGTCGGGGGTATTTTAAGAGTTGCGGGTGGTGCGCGTTTTTGGACGTCTGGCGGAATCTGCGTGTCGTCATTGTGACGCAACAACGCTGGTGCGGTCCAGCCGCTGGCCGCTGGGGAGTTGGTGGGTCTCGACCACCGTGCAAGGAGTGGAACCGATCATTGATCTCGGCTGGGGTTCGCGTCACTTGGAATGCTTGGCCCCTTGCTAGCGAAGAACCACGAGTCGACTGGAAGAGCGGCGTCAGTTTCTCGAGTTCTGCATAAATGGGCAAATTGGTGAATCACAGATCACAAGTGTGTGAGGTGAGATGGGATGCGCGGGAGCTCCGCATGACGCTCCGAGATGCACTCGCCGACCTCGTGTGAGCCCCGCGCCCACACCCACAACCACACTACTCCGTCTGCAACTCGGGGGGTAGGGAGGGGGGCTGTCCGCTGTTCTTCGCGGCCCCTCTCACATGCATGTCCGGGACACACTCACTGTTGGTGCTGCCTCGACTCCTGCCTGGTTGCGCGGCGCCGAGCCTGTTCCATGCGGGTACAGCGGTAAAGTCCATGCTGGCGACGAGCTCGTAACCGAGCTCGTCAAGCGTGCCGAGAATACCGCACAGCAGTTCGCGGACAGCAAACGTCTGGGCCTCGGTGAAGCCCGGCCAGAGCTGGCCCTTGAGGTGGACCTTGAGTGCGCCGTTTTCGACCTCCCATCCGTGGACGCCGTCATACCAAGCCTGCCAAGATGTCAGCGGAGTTCCAGAGTCCGATGCGAGTAGCATGGGCGAGGTCGTCGAGGACTATCCCAAGGTGGGATCCGTGCCCAACGCCACGCCACGAGATAGTGGCTTATAGTGGATGTAGCGATAGCACGGTAGCGCCGTCCGGTACAAGCGGCGCTTGGCTTGCAATCAAATTGGGGTGGTGAGAGGGGGATGGGGGTGCTCTTGGTACTCACCTTGAGCCTAGTGATGAAGACGTTCTGGACAACGTGTGGGGCGTCGACGAGCATGAGGATGCTGGGTTTGCGGAACGTGATGGCGAAGACTGCACGCTGGACGGGTGGACCTTGACGGAGGAAGAGGGTGTCGCGGCCACACGACAGACGGTACGCAACGTCGGCGGCGGCGTGAGCGTGCCAGCCGGTAGCGGCCAGTCCGCGAATGGAGCCGATCAGAAGGCGAAGAGGTGTTGCTTCGTCGTTCCACCCGTCGCCGGCCCCTGTGACGATGGATCAGCACCGCCCATCGGACCAGGCTGCACCACGACTGTCAAGCTGTCACTCACATGGCCTTCCCTTGAGCTTCCACTCAAAGACCCGCTTCTTTGGGCACGTCCGCGCTTGAACCCCCCAGCTGGCAGTGATGGCAGCGTCGACGACCTCGACGACGGCTGTTGCGTCCTCTTCTGGAAAGCCGATGAGACGCAGCTTGTCGGTGCCGGAGAGGGACATGCAGGCGTAGCGGGCGGTGGGGCCGCACAAGGTTGCGAGGTAGCTTGGTGGCTCGCAGTATGATGGTGGCAGGATGTCCGAGGCCATGCTCAAGGAGCTGCGGCGTGAGAGGGGCAGCGGTGTCGGGGCCGACAGGTGTGTGGCTAGAGTCATGGTTGTTGTCGCGTAGAGAATGAGTGGGTGGGAGGAATGCAAAGTGGTTGCAATGTAGTGGGGTATTTGAGGCCAGACAACTACTCCCAACTACTCCCATCGAGACACACAAACGAACGGTATCACCTGGGGTGGGCAATAATAAACCGCCTCGCCGCCTTCCCCCCTGTGCCCCGCCTTCCCGATCATCCATCCACCCACCCATCGGCCCGGTAGGACGGCCCACTCGTCCCCACTCCACCCGCCCCACCTCCCCCCCCTCTTCCCCTCCCCCCCCTCCCCCCTTCTGTCATGCATACGGGCGTTGTCGCATCTCTTATCCTCTGCACACGTCTCCTGGGGGGCCGATGCGGAGCGTGTGCTCTCTCTGCCACTCACTGCCAGACCGAAAAAAGCTCTCACCAGACCCGGCGGCGGAGAGTCGTGAGCCAACTTTTTCCCTTTGCGAACCGCGGGGTGTCACCCAAGATGCGTGATCTCGCAGCCACCAGAGGCCAGAGGCGGTCGCTCGCGGTATGCTTCGCGCGCGCGAGCCTCCCCGCGTCCAACCAGAACGTCCAGATCGTACAGAACCCAAAGCTCAAGCCCGCCGTTGCCGCAAGGTCGCCGCTGGCCGCTGCACTTCTGGCCGCACCCTGGCGCCGTGTGGCTATCGTGTGAGGTCGGGCGTCACCTGCCGATAGCGGACCGGAAAATCACAATCTCAAATGGAGTGCCAGCCCTCCCCCTTTGCTCCATGCGTACGGTCCTTGCTGACCCATGCATAGACCAAGCCTCTCAAATACACCTGACAACCTCTCAAATCGACCCGCCAGGTCGTTGCATGCATCTCAAATGACGGCGTGCCGCTGACTGATGTGGACCGACACTCTCGCGCTCTGACCACCAGATCTCCCCGAACAACATTCCGAGTAATCTCGCCCCAGTCACATCAGCCACTAGCCAGACACAGCCGCATTCCCGGGTGAGTCGCGCTTCACTCCCGTGAGTGCCCCACCGCGGTGTGGAGAGACACATTTCTTACGACGTTGGCGCACGGCAAGGCGCTGCCCAGCCCAGTCCAGTGTCCACAGGCTGTCTTGGCATATGGTGGACGACGACGAGTCAACCCCTAGCCCCCATTGCTCATTGGTGAAATAAATTGCGGGGATGAAGATTGCGTGTAACCGACGTACCGACCGCAGGTGACACCGTGGCCCGCAGACCTCCGAGCTTCCGCTCGCTGCGAACCGTGTGGGGCAGTGGGCCCCCCCCCGGTCGCTTGCACCCTTGGCTGCCCGGCTCGACAGCGGAAAAACGGACGACGACGCCAGTTGGCGAGGCCCAAGGCCCCGGGCAGTACCGGCGGCATATACCAGAGGCACGGCGGCAGTGGCAGCGGCAACCGCACCAACGGTCAACGGTCAGGACGACCGCGAGTGGGCATTGAGGACGGTCACGGTGAGTCTCTCGGTCACTGGATCACTGGATCTCACTCTGGGGGCCAAAGCAACGCCCCAGCGCGACGACGGACGGGGGGTCTCAGCATGCTTTCGGGGAACGATGGGGGCGGCGACGATGGAACGAAGGCGTCGGGCGAGACCTCACTGAACCGACCAGGTAACCGCCAGCGCGCACCATCACCATGTCGTACTCCCCCTCGCTTGGCAGTGGCGTCCAACCCCAGTAGGCCAGTAACGTGCAGTACACACCTCACGCGTCCTTCTGGAATTGTGCGCCTTTCCTCTCACCTTATCTTGTTCCGCGGTACGCAGTCGGGGCTGTGCCCGCTGGGGTCTTCCCCATGGGTCTCCTCGGCGTCAAGGATAATTGCCACATCCAAACACTATATGTACATTGCAGCTACACAAGCACACGTTCAAAGCTTGGCTCTGGCCTCGTCCGCTTTCCTTTTACCCGCCGCCATCTCGGCCGCTGTGAGCTCACGCTCCCCGTCCTCGGTGAAGCGGACCTTGAGGTCGTGTCCGCCCACCATTGTGTGCGAGCCGTAGCCCACAAGCTTGTCGTTGAGGTAGAAATTGATGCGCATAAAGACCAAGCGGCGTCCTGAGCGACGAGGACTGGTCAGTCACTGCTGTCTTTCTTGGTTGCTCGCAAATCGGGAACCCAGAGGAATGTTCCGCACGCCAAGACGTGCCCCTGGGGACTGTGGGGACAGGGCAGAAGAACATCCTCCACGCTCTGTCCTCTCAAGGCGTCCGCTCTGTGTCGGAAGCACGCCATGACGTGATTCCACCATCGTTCGGAATGAGGTACACCTTTTGGTTGCCCCATTCCTCATCAACTTGTCTGTCAAGTTTGACAAGCCGTCCTCGTCCACACGTTCGATCGAAACAGTCCTCTCTCGCACACACGGGCAGGCCAACATGGCGGCCAGGATGTCACTGATGACGCCAGCAGGCGCAGCCACAAACGTTCGGCGGTGTGGGAAAATATCTCACTCCACACCGAAATGAACTCACCAAGCTGAATCACTTCCCCGACGCCGTCAAGTGAGTCGCCCTCTACGCCGGCCGGCTTGACAAACTCGCACGAAATGTTACAGCTCGCGCCCCAGGGCGGTGGGTCGCCCACCGAATTCATCGCGAGCCACGTCACGGTGTCAACGAGCTGGGTGGGTCAGTTGTCAGCCGATCGAGCCAGACGGGTGGTATTCTTCCGATACCAACTGTGCACAGCAGCCCACCGTGGACGGTCTTCAGTCAGCTCTTCCCATCCTATCCCAGAGCCCTCACTCCATGGTTGTTCAGGTGCGCCTGGCCGACTTTGAATGTGGTGTGTACCCAGCCCGGTCGCGCCTTGTTCACCACGAGCTGGCCGTCAGACGAGTCCCTCGGCATATATCCCTCTCCCGTGGCCCCAATCCCCCTCTCCTGCCGTGTCCCCGCGCGACTCCAACATATCTCCTCCTTCCTAATCAGTCAGAACGGAACCCACAGTGGAAAGCGCCGTCGTGTCAAAGCCTGCCGTCGTCGTCAGTGTCTCCCAGACTCCCAGTTTCCATCCAGGTGGGCAAGGGCGCTCACGACGCTGTGCGAGGGACTCGGCCCAGACCTGGCCCCATCAGCTTGCTTGTCGTGTGCAGAGTTTGCCCCCACCTTGCGGGTATGCTTCAGACACGCTGCCATTGTCTTGGAGATGATGCTCGTTGTTGGACGTATACAGTGCGAACGAGCAACGCGAGCGTGTAGGACCTGGCCGATGGAGGTGCATGCGACGGCAAGTTGCAAGTAGCCGGAGTGTCGCCAAAGTAACCGGCCCGAGATGAACATGAGACGTGACGTCAGAACAAGGGGAGTTGGGCATGTCGCGCTTCCGAGACTTTCTGGCCCTCTGTCGATCTTGGCCATGTCTCTTTTCTGCATCTCATCTATCTCACCTGTTCCATGCGCCGCATGACCTCATGTCCGCCGCGGTGTTCACCCCGGGCGCGTTCCCGCACATCACCCAAGCGATCGTGTCTCGCATCTCCGCTCAAGACCGAAACACGCTCCGCGCCGTCTGCAGGAACCTTCGCGATGTCGTCGACATCCACCTCGTCGCTCACATCGACATTGTGGCCCTGTACGCTGAGGATTTCACAACTGACACGAGCGAGTTTGGTCGACGGCCATTACGCGTCCGGAACGCGGGCTTCATACCCTACGAGCTCAGGTCATACGGGCACGGCGGCGAGCGCGTGGCGGCGTTCTGCCCAGCCACGAGCCCCACGGACCGCTCCAACGCGCTGCTCGAGCACGTCCGCGCCGTCGACCTCGACGGCGGGCCGCGGGCACGCGACGTGGCCGGCCTCATCCCCTTCCTCACGGGCGTGACCACCGTCCGGCTGTGCTGGAGCACCGAGTTTTGCAGGCTCGGGTTCCCCCGCGGCTGCTGGCACGCGGGCTACGACGAAGTGGCCAAATGCACCGTCCCGGCCGACACGGTCGTGTCGTTTATGCGCAAGGGGAGTCTGCCGGCGTTCAGTTCCCGCGCAGCGCGCAAGGTCACCCGTCTGGTGTTTGTACACTACGAATACAGGCGCGACAGCCTGCACCCGTACTCGAACCTCACGAGCGACTTGCCGCACGTACGCGAGATTGTCCTCATGTTCGGCCTGTCGGTGCGGACGTGGTCGCACCCCGGATCGCCACTGCATCCCAGCCTGGTCGCGGCGGCCGCGGCGCACGTCACTTGGTTTGGGTTCATCCAGGCTGGGTCCCACCCGAAAGTCACCGTCGTAGACATTGACAACATGTGGACGTGGCAGGCGACGGGTAAAGGGCTGGCCGCCGGTGTGGACTGCACAGCCGTCATACCGGCCGTCAAGGCTGCGGTGGCCGAGGAGATACGCCGGACCATGTCCATGTCTGAGCAGGAGAGCAAAGAAGAAGTGGAGCGCAGGTTTGAGTTTCTCTCCGCCCCCCAGTACCGCGCTCGCGTCGGCGACGACGTGTACGCGCTGTACACGGCTTGTACCCCGGAAAGCGCCGTCTCACGCCTACACCATATACCCTCCGCCCTGCTGTTCCCGCGGGGGTACGAAGGCGAGTGGACGTATGTATAGAATAGAGTGAGCGACGAGCGCACGTCTCGTGCGTCGCAGCCGATCGTAAAACAAATGTCCATCATACATCACTGCAGAGATAGAGCAAAAACCACGGGCTCCACTGGGATGGCACACGTTCGAGGTATCTACGGCCAAACAAACCACCCGGTTCCTTACAAGGTGACGGCCACGTCGGTGACCTTGAAGAGCTTCTCCTGGACACCGACCTTGGCGCCGACCTCGCGGAAGCGCTTCTCCTGGTCTGTGCGGCGGGCCTTGATGACCGCCATGAGAACGGGCCAGTACTCGTCGACGTTCCAGGTGTACTGGTGTGTGTGTGTGTGGTCAGCTACGATCCCAACGACGGGCCACCTTCAGCGGACGACTCACGTCAAACTCTCCCTTGCACTCCTTGGGGATGAGGCTGGCTTCAATGTCCGGCTGGGGCTTGCTCGACTTGTCAAAGAGGGTGACCTCCTTAGTCCACGAGTCGACAAACGGCCAGATCAGGTTGATGAAGGTGCGCACGACAAAGCCCATGTCCTGGAGCACGGCCTTGCCGACGTTGCGCGGGTAGTGGTCGGCCACAATCTGCATGTTCTCCTTGGCGAACGCTGGGGTCTGGTTGTCGCCGAGCTTGGGGACGCCATAGTTCTGGAACACGTAGATCGAGCTGGGCCAGTTAGCATCTGGATATACACGAGGGAGCGCAACTCCACGGGCAGTTGATCTGCATGGGATGCCCGTGGCGTCATGCCCCGCACTCGCTGTAACTCACTCGACACCACCGGCCTGCAGGTCGCGCGCACGCTCGAGGAAGAAGATGGCCGGGATCTGGGTACGCTGGGCGCTGGGCCAGTCGTTGCGCGGGTGGAAGACGTACATGACCGGCTGGCCGGCCTTGGAGAAACCAAGGATGAACACCTTGCCCGTCTTCATCTGCCGCCGGCGTCAGTTCCTGGATTCCTGTTATGCTTTTTTTGGTCCTGTTGTTTGTGTTGCGTGGCGGGCGCGTCATCGCATCCAGAGCGTTCCGCTCTGAGTGCTCGGCACACCGCTCTCATTCACGACGTACCTCTGGCTTGACGGCAGCGGCCATGGCCTCCCAGTCCTCGACCTTGTGCTCGCGACGGAACCTGGTGTTGGCGTCGATGCGCTCAATAGTGTGGGCGACGTCACGCGACGACAGGCGGAAGCGGAGGAGCGTCTCCTTGGACTGTGGGAGGTGTCAGCTTACGCCGGGGAGAGTTGCAGCTTACGAGGTGCATCTGCTCGCGCTCAGTAAGAGCTTCACCGTCGAGGGTGTAGCCATCGGCGTTGTAGTGCGCGGCAAGGGCAGCGACATCGGTCTCCTGCTCGGCAGTGAACTGGCGCTCAAACGTGACGCCGGCGGGAGGGGTGAGGAGGGAGACGGGGAAGGGCATGTTTACGGATACAGCTGTTGATGTGGTGAGAGTGGTAACCTGCGTGAAACGTGCAAAGATGTGAGAGGGTTGGGAGGATGAGGATGAGACGTCGTGGCGAGCTGGGTTCTTGAATGTTACAGCGTGGTCCTCGGGCTTGGCTTGCACTGGTGGCCGTGCCGGTTGGATGTTGGCCCGAGATGGCGAGGCGCGCCAGGTGCAGGTCGCGGGGGCCAAGCCACCGACGACTGGCCTTGACTGCCCGCGCCACATGCACAGGCGCGCGCATATACGGCATGTAGCCCGAGCTGCATGTGTCACGATTGTTGCATGCACGCTGTGCATCTGCGCATCTACAGTACTTGCGCGTTCGCCTCGGCGAGGCGTCTTGCCAGGGGGGGTCTGGTCTCTCTTTGCTCGCGCCATAACACCTACCGGGGCTACCGGCTAACTGCGCACGCACTAGATCCTGGCGCGTCCTACGACTGTCATGTCGGCCCCACGACGGCCCCATGTACGATAGAGGGGCCAGCGGGGATTACCCGTTCACCGTCTAGCCTCATACATGCGGGGGGGAGGGGGTGGAGACGTTCTCCAACCGGCTGGAAGTCAACAGCCAGCCCCGCAGGCAGCGGCGAAACGACGACATGCGCACAGGCCTGCGCGCCTGTGCAGCATGGGCATATCGGGTAGCTCACGGATCACGGTACAACCGTAGCATGTATATCAACTTGGTCACGCTGCCGTAGGGCGACAAGACAACAGCATGTGATGGGCTAGAGACAGAAAAATAGTCGTCAGCAATGGAGTGAATGGACCAGCCAAGACGCCGGCATCTCCGGTTAATTTCAGTCTGCGCAGCCGGAAGTGAGTGTGGAGACCATGGAGACATGGAGAGGAACGGTCGTTCGATTTAGACCTTGGAGCCAAACAAGTAAACAATTTGGTAGCACAAGGTTGCGGCCAATGCCGCTCAACCCTACGGCCCACAGGCGCTACAGTGTACAGTGACTGCCAGCCGGAGTCCATTTCACACTGTTGGGTTCAAAATAGTGGACTGGGCAAAGCTAGTAGATTCGCAGCTGCAGGCGTCGAGTGACAACCTCCATGCCCCTCCCCTCCGGCCTGCATCACCCTCCGGCTTCAGCGGTCACCGACGGGCCGCGTATGTCGACATCGGTGCTCCCGGACCGCCGCCAAGTGGTCTACCGGACCGTGAACGTCGCCGCGGCACCGTTTATGTGACTGATAGGAACGGGTTGTTGTCGGCGACGTTTACCGGCTTGGCGGGGGAGGGGACTACGCGGCCTTGGGCTCCCCGGTGCCCTCAAACCTCATGTGGCTGAGCACAGCTGAACGTTTCAGCGCGTTAGTTGTCGCAGCCACGACTGTGTCGCCAGACGGCTGGCAGGATTCAGGTCGATGTTGAGAAGCTTGCCATCTCTTGCAGGTCAGTATCTGGCTGGGTACGCGATCGGCGTTGGTTATCGAGTGGCGCGAGTGGCCGTGCTGATGACAGACAGTCGACGGGGCAGACAAGCATATCAAGTTTCTAAAGCTAGATCTGGAGGGCCTGTCTTCTGACGGACTGTCTGGCCTCTGTCTCGGTGACCTTGGAGGGCTTTGGTGAGTGTCGTGAGTGACAGGAGCAGTCCGGTTCAAAGAATGCACATGAAAGACCGGCCGATTGACACCATATCTCGGCCCGCGGTCGCTCCCATCATGGTCACGTGATTAACACGTGGCAGTCAGGCCCCCGACGGCAGCCCGTTATTTACACCCCCCGGTTTAACCCGCCTGACGCGTTCCATCGCGTGCACCGTGTCATAGCGAGCACGAGCCTGGAGACATCATCGAGAGCCTGCTATTCCCTTCTCAGCAACCCACAGTTCTAGCCCGGCCAGCACCGAGCCCCCACTACCATGGCTACCGAGTTTGACGACGTGTGAGTCGCGCAACGCACGCACAGCGCTGACACCCCCAGCCTCACAAATCAGCCCGTCGTCATTGACAATGTGTGTACACCCCCCAACAGCTCACCTTCCCTCCAGAGACAGTACAACTGATGACTGTAGGGTTCGGGGACCATCAAGGCCGGCTTTGCGGGCCAGGAGCAGCCTGGCTGCTACATCCCTTCCTTGTGCGTTCTGCTGCTCACCAACAACGTTCCGCGCTGTCAGCTGACGGCCGTACTCCAGTGTCGGGCGGCCCAAGCACCCTCGCGTCATGGCCGGCGCGATCCAGGACAACCTCTTCATTGGCAAGCGGGCACAGGAGCTGCGTGGCCTGCTCAAGATTCAGTACCCGATGGAGCACGGCGTCGTGACCGACTGGGACGACATGGAGCGTATCTGGAACTGGGTCTACAGTGATGGTCTCAAGGCGCTGTCTGAGGAGGTGAGCTGGTTAAACGCGCGGAAGGCCCAGCTAACATGTCAGCACCCGGTTCTCTTGACAGAGGCACCGCTGAACCCGCGCCAAAACCGCGACGTTGCTGCGCAGATCTTCTTTGAGACGTTCAACGTCCCAGCATTCTTCACCAGCGTGCAAGCCGTCCTGAGTCTGTGCGTAAAGCGCTGTATGACCTGTTGTGTTGTGTTGATGATTGGGACCACCATAATCTGACGCGTATCCAGGTACTCGACTGGACGAACAACCGGTATTGTGCTCGACTCGGGAGACGGCGTCACGCACGCCGTGCCCGTGTTCGAGGGTTTCTCAATGCCTCACGCTATTCAGCGGATAGACCTCGCTGGCCGGTGAGCTCGACCCACCCTGACGCTGAAGCTGACATCAGTGACGTGACAGACCACCTGCAGCTGCTCCTCCGTAAGGGCGGCCACTACCTGCACACCTCTGCAGAGAAGGAGGTTGTGCGCACGATCAAGGAGAAGACATGTTATCTGGCGCTCAACCCGACCAAGGAGGAGAAGGACCACGGCGGCGCGTGGGAGGAGTTCAAGTTGCCAGACGGCAAGGTCATCCAGGTGAGTAACAGTGCTGCCCACGAATGCGGCAAGGGCGGGCTATTGCTTATCTATGCAGCTCGGCACGGAGCGGTTCCTTGCGCCCGAGATTCTGTTCAACCCGGAACTGGTGGGACTCGAGTACCCCGGCGTTCACCAGGTCATTGTCGACTCGATCAGCCGCACCGACCTGGACCTGCGCAAGGCTCTCTTCAGCAACATTGTCCTCTCTGGTGGCTCGACACTGTGCACTGGTGAGTTGCCGCTATGACTGGGGCAATCAGCTCACGACCCCAGGTTTCGGCGACAGGCTCCTGAGCGAGATCAAAAAGCTCACCGTCAAGGACCTCAAGCTCAAGATCTATGCTCCACCAGAACGAAAGGTGGGTCCCTCCGTCTCGTTGTGTGCTTACCCTGTAGTACTCTACGTGGATCGGCGGCAGTATTCTTGCGGGCTTGAGCACGTTCAGGAAGATGTGGGTCTCGGCAGACGAGTACAAGGAAGACCCCGACATTATCCACAAGAAAGCGTTTTAGCATATTTTGTCTGTAATCGGCGCGCAGACGCACAATCTATCCCCTACGCGCGCGCGCCTCGCCATACCCCGCCCAGCGATACTTGTCATGTATACCACTGCACGAAACGCGAGAAACGGGGATGCCACAGCACCGTCGTTGGGCTTGTGCCGGGCCAAATCAAATGCCAGAGAAGCGGTTGTGGAAGAGCAAGAGGAAGCAGCTTTGCTAGACCTTCCCACTAGACGGGGGCACGGGGATCCGCCGCTCGAGGACATGTTCTTGTTTTATGAACAAGATGACCAGCGTTGGCGTGGTTCGGCACACAATGTGGCATTACAACTCTTTGATACAATCCTGCTACTCGGGTGGACCTCTATCGCGTCCACTTGTGCAGCGTCAACGCACTCTCCAGTGCAATCACAGCTTCTCGTGGCACGATTCGCGTTCCACTGACACTGGGGAGCATGCTCGGCGGCACGCTAGTGGCCGTGTCGGCCAGCGGCGGGCATGATGACAAGCACAACCGGGGGAGAGTTGGGTTGCGTCATGCTCTCCAGCCCGGCCTTGAGGCCCGTGATGGCAGTATTCCAGAGTTCGGATCCATGCTCAGCGCGTCCGAGCCGTACTGCCACGGCATCCCATGTAGACTCTGCAGACGTCCAGAGCGAGTCGGCGAGCGTAACCAGGGCCGAGAGCTCGGCCGACAGTGCTCGGCCGGCGCCTGCGAGTCAGCTGTCAGGCAAAAAGGTCTATCGAGCTAAACGTACGAGTCGTGGCAAGGTCAAGCGTGTCGAGGAGGTTCTTCACGATGGGGAGCTTGCTCACCCGCTCAAGGGCCTCGCGCGCTGCGGCAATGTACGGGTCGAGGCAGGAGACGCTGGCGTCGTCGAGGTAGAATGCCGGGCCACTCTTCAGCGCCGTTGGGAGAATGACTGGATGTCAGCTTATTCATCTGGCAAATGATTCAGCTCTCGCCATTCCCAGACAGAGATGATAATAACGCTGTCTGGGGGTTATAGGTCGGTAGCACTCATAACTCACCCTGCGCATCGACACCTTCAACAATGACGACGCGCGGACGCTGCTGTCCCTCCCAGAAATGGAGGAGGTGGGCCCAAACGCCCTTATCGTGGGGCGTGGGAGAACCGCTGAGGTCTACGCCGAGATGGTGGCCGATGACAGTCTCTGCCTGAGACGATGTGAGGGTTGGAGCGGCCTTGTGAGCGGCGAGGGTGGGAGCGGGGTGCAGGTAGACTTGGGCTTCGCGGCGGGCTTGCGCCACTGCAGCCAGCGGGGCTGCGGCGAGGAGGAGCGTTGACCAGAGTCCTGTGCGTCAGTGGTGCGCTGTTCGTGGTAATTTCCACAGCGTCCATACGCACTCATTATCTGTGGGCCGAGGTGTGGAGAGCAATGAGATGGATGTGGTCGCAATGTCGCATCGGTACAGCTCGGCGGAGCCCGTCACTGGATTAGGGTAACCATTTAAGAATGCTTCAAATAGTTTCGCTTTGACCCCGCTAATAATACAACAGACGATTAACTGACGTCAGCTCGACTGTTTTGTTGTTGCCGTTTCACCGTCTCTCTCATTCTTCCACTCTCTCCCAATGTCATGACACAACCCTCCTCGTCCCAGTCATTCTGGGCGGAGGCCCTCGAAGTCGCAGAGTCACTCGAGAAGCGCCTATCACCAGCACCACAACCACCACCAAGTCCAGATCATCCTCCTCCTCGGAAGCGTGTTCGGTATGCACTCTCGCCCGACACCAGTGACGTCGAGCCGAATGGTGACGATGACGGTGGCGACAAGGGCGATCCATCATCATCCTCACCTCCCCAAGACTCGTCAACTACAACTCTCCAGTACCTCCCGGACCATCGCACGCGGCTCCTAGACGGCGGTGGCCACGACGCTGTACACGACTACCTCGCCGCAGCCGAGTACTCTGGAGTCTCCTTCGGCGACTTTGGCGACTATATGCGCAAGAAGGATATCAAGATCCAGACCCAGAACGCGTCCATCGCAGCTGCAGCAGCGGACCGTGGTCTTGCGCAGATATTCGCCAACTTGACCTTTTACATCAATGGCAACACGCACCCGCCGATGGAGGAGCTCCGGCGCATGATCCTGCAGCGCGGTGGCAAGTGTATCCCCTACATCCGTGCCAAGACGGGTCTCGACTTTATCATTGCCCCAGTCCTTACATTGGCCAAGTTTCGCGAGTTCAAAGCCCACAAGCTCGTCCGCGAGGCGTGGATAGTGGCCTGTGCCGAGCAGGGCAAGTTGCTCGATTGGCGACGCTGGCGGTTGCGCGTGGATGACGGCGAGGCGCGACTGGACGGGTTTGTGAAGGCTGTTGAGAGCGGGGATGCCAAGGTCGATACAGCGGACCAGGTTGCAGAGTCACCTCAAGGGCCCACACCGCGGCCAATGCCCGTGACCACCCAAGCACCTATCGCTGCCACCCAGAGTCTGTTGCAGCCTGTGCGTGCTGCGGCTCAGCGACCGTCCACCCAACACCCCAACCCTCGATTGCCTGCCATTCCTACACGGGTGTCTCACCGGTCTGCCGGCCCTGTTGTCCCACAGCCACAACCTCCCAACGAATCCATCCAACAACCTGTGGCCGCGGTCGACGACGCTAGCAAGGATGATGCACCGGACGCGGTCGCAGCCGCTGATCCTGCCAAGGCGATCAATACTGCCACTCGACCCGAAGGCGCCTGGGACCACTACTTTGTCCACAAATCCAACGTCCACGCCGCCGAGCTCATGAAGTCGGAAGAGTTCCGCGCGCGCCATACCTCGGAACGCGGCAACGAGGCAGGGTTCATCGACCAATTCTTCGAGAACAGTCGTCTTCACCATCTCTCCACATGGAAAACCGAGCTGCGAGTTCTCGTTGCAAAGGCCCGCGATTCGGCACACCGTGTACCAACTGTCCTCGCCCAGGCTGGAGCCAAGCGCGTGTACCTCCATGTCGATTTTGACGCCTTTTTTGTGTCGGCGGGTGTCTCCTCCCGCCCGCACCTACGGGGGAAACCCGTGGTGGTATGCCACTCGTCCAAGGGCGGACGCGACAGCACCTCAGAGGTGGCGAGTGCGAGCTACGAGGCAAGAGCCAAGGGCGTTAAGAACGGCATGAGTCTCGGCCGGGCACGACAACTTGTTGGCGCTGAACTCGAGACCATCCCGTACGAGTTTGAGACGTACAGACGCCATTCGGAGGCGTTCTACACGGTACTACTCGGCTATGCAGACGAGCTGGAGGCTGTGAGTGTTGACGAGGCGCTTCTGGACGTCACTGGCGCCGTGACTGCCATCTCTCTCGCTCCAGAAGAGGCAGGCGCGACTAGCAGTGACCCCGCTATTCAGCTCGGTGACCGCATCCGCGCCGATATCCGCGGCATCACTGGGTGCGAGGTGTCCATTGGCATCTCTCACAACCTCCTCCTAGCGCGTCTGGCTACCAAGAAGGCCAAGCCAGCCGGCATCTTCCACCTCCGAGCCGAAGAGGCCCCAGCCTTTCTCGCCCCCCTGGATGTGGACCAGCTGCCGTCTGTGGGTCACTCCACTCGAGCCAAGATGCAAGAGGCCTTTGGCTCGACCTTGTGCGGGGACCTCCTTGCTCAGAACCGCAGTGTCCTACGCAAAACGCTGGGCCCCAAGACGGGCGATACGATCTACAACTTTCTCCGCGGCAATGACGACCGCCGCCTCCAGCCCGACAAGGAGCGCAAGAGCGTCAGCGCTGAAATGAACTATGGTATCCGGTTCCAGAATCAAGATCAAGCAGATCGATACGTCGCCGACTTGGGGGCCGAGGTGGCCAAACGTCTCCGTTCTGTCAGCGCCCGCGGGGGGCACATCACGCTCAAGATCATGACACGGCACCCGGACGCGCCTGTCGAGCCGCCCAAGTTTCTCGGACACGGCAAGTGCGAGACTGTCAATCGCAGTGGAACGTTTGGCAGGCCGACGGACGACGCCGAAACGATTGGACGCGAGGCTGTGCGCCTCCTCAACGACATGAACCTCGATCCCGTCGAGCTCCGTGGAGTCGGTATCCAGATCACCAAACTCGAGACTGGCATGCCGAAAGGCCAATCCATGTTGAGCTTTGCTCGTCCCGTGACTGATAAGGTGGCCAAGGTGGACACGGTGATCGACGAAGGTGTTGGCGATGACGGTCCCCTCGGCAACGGCACCGTGTCTGAGGAGCGGTCTGGTGAGACCACCAGGACCGCATCTCCTGTACCACTGGTTGTCGATCCGCCGTCTAATCATATAGACTCCGAGTGGCTCGCTGGTCTCCCACTGGACATTCGACAGGAGTTTGAAGAGCAGCACGGAGCCATGGGTGCTACCAAGCGACGCCAGCCAGAGGAAGCCCCAGCACCACCAAAGGCTACCAAGTCCACCCTCCGCCCTGAAGCACATATCACCCGTCAGCTGCGTCCCAAGCTCAAGACCCAGATGGGGGTCAAGGACATTGCAGCTCGACCTCTCTACGGCGCCTGGGCGCGAGCAGGCGGGGGTCAGTCGCGGGATACCAGTCTGGAGCCCGTCAGGCCTCCGAAGCGTACCCGCGAAGACTCGGCAGTGGCCTCTGAAGCCGACTCTGACATTGAGCTCTTGGACCCCGAGCCCCAGCCCGACGATATGCCCGAATTTGTCGGTGCCTTCAAGACGTCCGACCTGCGAGCCCTCGGCATCGATCTCGACTTCATCTCCGCCCTGCCCGACGACATGCAGGCCGAGATTGTCCAGAGTCGGCGCGACGAAGTGCAGCGACAACAGGCAATGGCCCAGGCGCGGGCACGAACACGTACCCGAGTCTCGGCATCCATCTCCCCGTCCCACCGCCGACCAGGCGCTGGCTCGCGCTCGCCATCGGTCATGCCGCGGATCCCGGCGCCGCGCGCGAGCGTCGTCAAGCGCCCGGCCCTCCTCGGTGCGTGCGACACGGCTGATGTCGCGCAAGTGCTGGCTAAGTGGGTCAAGGAACGACCGTCCCCGGCCAACGAGGACGTGGCGCGCATCAGCAAGTATCTCGTAAAGTGCGTCACGGGGAGTATGGGCGGGATTGACCATGTGGGTGTGCTGTTGCGGGGGATGCGGGGTTTGTTGCGTGATTTGCAGCGAGGTGACGAGACTCCAGCCGAGGGAGAGGGGGAGGATGGTGCGAGGGACTGTAAGGCTTGGTGGGCTGCGTTTGAGGAGATGAAGTGCGCGGTGGATGTCATGCTTGTGGCCCGGATGGGGGCGCCGCTGGGATTGTAGCTATAGTAGACATTGTACAGCATGGATAGGGTGCAGCGCGAGGACAGACAGGGGCAGGACGGAGGCGGCAGGCACTGGATGGCTCGTCACCAGGCCATGGCTTACGACCGTGCTTAAAGCGGAGCAGGCACAACGATCCATGCCCGCCACATGTCTGGATTCTGAAGCATGGAGGCCAGACGACAAAAGATATACATTCGTAGATGGCTTACAACCAGAGCTGTTGTTTTGGTATCCAGCACAAAGACAAGACAACACGAGCCGGCAGCTACAAAGTACGTGGTACAGCATTAGAGCGAAGGCTGAGCGTGGCGGCTGGCCACGCCCAGAGGAGCGGTACAACCCGGCGACACCTTGTCCAGGACGGCCATGACTTCGTGGTAGTACTGTTTCGAGGCCGCGTGGCCCGTCGCGCTGCCGAGGAAGACGGACGAACTCGCCGCGGGCGCACAGTCGCTCCAGTACTAATCCCGTCAGCACTCTGCTCTGCTTTTCCGAAAGATGCGCCGGAGGCTCACCTCCTGGCTCTCGGTAGCCTCAATAGCCTTTGTGACGTTGACGGCGCCGTTCCAGGCGCTGCGGGAGAGCGTGTAGTTGTTGATGATGATGCCGATTCTCATGCCGATGGACGTCATCTCGCGGCCGAGGTTGGAGCGGCACATGCCCGGGTTGACGGCGACGATCTTGATGTCGGGCAGGTCGCCGATGAGTTGACGAATGACAAGCTGGAGAAGGAGCTGCAGGTGCGCGTCAGCAGCGTACCTCACGGATCGTGCCACGACTGCCGAGCAGCAGTGCCGTTATTACTCACCTTGGACTCAAAGTACCGGTCCCCACAGACAAACCGCGACTTGTCGTCGTAGGCGGCAAGAATGCTGGAATGGGTGTGGACGGCGTTGGCGATCAACTGGTGGCCACAGAACATGTGCACTTCAGATGAGGTGATGACCAACGTGGGGTCGACGCTCTTGGCAAGAAGGGGCTGGAGGAGGAGGCTGAGGAGGATCGTGCTGAGAATGTTGACCTGCTGGCTGCAGTCTGTTAGAACCCTTGCCTTGGGGATTTGTTAACAGCAGTGTTCACTCACGTCACCTCGTGGCCGTCAACAGTCGTCTTCATCGGGGCATCCGCAAAGCCCGGGTTCATTCTAACTCGTCAGCTACACGTTCACACAACTATTTGCAGCTGCTCACGCTGCGTTGAGGACTGCCACGTCCACAACGTCCAACTCCTTGTTCGCCCGCGCGGCAAACTCCTTGATGTTCTCAAAGCTCGCCAGGTCGAGGTTCCACACTGTGGCGTTGGTGCCGGGATACTTGCTCAAAACGGACTCGAGCGCAGCGGCACCCGTTTTCATATCGCGGCAGGCGAGGATGAGCCTCTTGGGCTTCATGGCCGCGAGCTGGTGTCCGGCCTCCCATCCGATACCTAGACCCGCGAGTCAGCTTTCGATGACAATCTACATTTGGGGGGAAAGCGCGGTATACCCACCAGAGTTAGCGCCAGTCAGGATGACAGTCTTCCCGGTCAAGATGGGAGCACTAGTGGCTCTTGGCAGCCAGGTGAACTGGCTCCCCAGGAATTGAATGGCTTGCATCGCGGAGAGAGGCATCGTGGGCGATCGTCTTGCGGTTTAGTGTCGTTGGAGAGGTGGTTTGTGAGTGTGTGAGGGCTCGTTGCTGAGACTCTTTCCGCCCATGCGACAGGCAACCTTTAAGTACGTTCCTCCCAGGTGACCTGCGGCCTTGGGAGACTTGTTTATCGTAGCCAAGCGAGAAGGCCATGTCATGCCTGCCGCGGCCTCGGGCGATGGAGACAGCTCGAGACAGTGACATCAGCGTCGTGGCCTGCGGGCATGCCGCATGTTAACACAGGATATAAAGGATGAAGTCATGACCAGTCTCGCATGACCAGTCTCGGCCCGATCGTTCAGTGTGGATATCAGTGGGGCCGGGGGGGAGCCCGCGGCCCACACGTGGGGCTGCCCTGCGGCCATGCAGTCAAAGTCCAGTTAAACCCAGTACGCAGTATTATCGCGTTGGACGCGGAACATGGGCGGCCCCCATCTCGACCGTCTCCGATGCACGGATTGTGTGTGTCCCCTTACCCGTCCACTGCTTCACAGACAGCTCATGCCACATCACAGGTCGATCCCGGGGCAGGTGCGACGATCCGCGGCTGTGGTTATGATTTCCGGGGGGGTTGACTTCATTGCTCCCATCACCAACAAGAACGGTAGGCCTGCCTTGGCTCGGGAGTGCCTTGGCCGCGTCTGTTGCCGAGAGAACGAGAGAGCCGCGGCCCCGCCATGGAAAGCCTATCGCCAGTTGTAGTTGTACACGCACCCTGACTGACCGCCGCCGTTTTGAGTCATGTTCCGTGGCGCATGTGGCATAAGAATTGCATGGCGGTATGGAAAAGCCAGTGGGCCAGTGAGTACCTGCGAGTTCGTCGCCAGCTTCTCCTCCAGTTTATGGGGGCTCATTTTGTTTCCCACGTCGTGCACGGAATGCTATACACGGTTCATCAATGAGAGGCAGAGGTCAGGGGGCTAGCTGGCGGGCAGGTTAGGAACAGAACCAACGGCAGCCGACGACGGCCCAACCGTGTCGCGCGCGTCTGCCTTGCTAAGGCGTCCTAGCTCCTTTTGCGGTTTGAAGGGCGGGTGTCCCATGGGAATGCGGCCATCTGGTAGGTGTCGCAGCGCGTGTCGCGTATCTCTGTTGATCTGTTACAGTCTTTCACATCCTTCCAACACTGACTTTTCGACCGAGCGATTTCTGTGGCGAAGCTGGCCGCCCAGCTCTACACTCGGAAACGCAAGCCATGTCGTTCATTCGCACACCGAGGCGTTGGGTGCCCATCGCTGCACTCTTCCTCTTTATTGTAGCTCTCAATCATATCGACCCCAACTCTCGAGTCCACTACACAAACTGGACCACCGCCAAGCTAGAACCCCTCTCCCCAACCGATGTCGCCAGAGTGGCTGCTCTCAAGTCCCTCGTCGCGGTTCCGGATGACCCCGTGGAGTTTGCCAACGATCGCGACAAGGGTTTGGCGTGGAGGGATGTGTACACTGCCTACAACGCAGCCAAGTTGCGAGAACTGGCAGTCTGCAACGCCCATGGCGACTGTCACCCCAACGCCAACAAGGTCATCCTCTTCATGAGCACGTGGTGTATTCAGGCTACTTTCGAGAACTTTATCGGCGGAGAAGGCATCTGGTGAGTCCCGACACATGTTCTGGCCAGGACGCGATGGCCCCCGTCGCTGTTTGCCAACTGGTCGTATCACCAGTCTCCAGTCACTTGGGTGTGACAGGATGCGTGGCCCGGTGGATTGAACGAACGCTGATAGCGGAACAGGTGCAAGGGCATGATCGGCAGTCTCGAGCGCCAGGGATACACCGTGCTGTACACCAACGATGAAGGCAGCGAACGTAAGCATGTCTTGGGTGTGCACAGTGCAGTCGACTGATATTGTGGTGCAGACTTTGTCAAGAAGCTGTATCAGCAGATCCCCGACCTCATCAAGATTGTTGTCAACGACGACGGCTTTGAGGGACCTCGCAACCTCGACCACCGGCCCTTTTATCAAAAGACCCCCACCCGACCAGACGGGATTCCACTATGGAAGGTGAGTTCCGGGCGCGCCAAGTTGCAAAGGGAACAGCACTGACTGCAGCCCAGGTGTTCACGTTCCGCTACTTTGGCAGTGTCCATCCATCCAAGGTGGGAGATAGATGGTCCATCAGCGCCGAGCCGCAGTGGAGGGAACAGGACACCCCTTGGTTTGAAAGTGAGTCTGCTACTGCTTTGTCAAGACGCTCACGCGGCCTAGATTACACCTACATTGGGTACGATATCCCAAAGATCACCGGTGGAACACCCTCCAGTCAGCGCCCATACCGTGTATGGGTTTACGGAAAGCGCTCTGTCTACTTTGATTCGTCCGAGGCCAACACGGCCATGTGGCCCATGGAGTGGTTTGAGCGGGCACGGAAAGAGCTTGTCCAAGATTACCCGGGCTTCGAGTTTATTGGTTCCATCAAGGTCGAAAACGTGGAAAACAGCAAAGACCAGTACTACATCGACAACTATGTCAACAAGGGAATGAAAGAGGTGCCGTGCCCAGAGGGCATACGAAACCTCGGCACGCTGCTGCCCAAGGCAGAGTTCGAGCGCGAGCTGTCTCAAGTCCGCGTCATGCTAGGCATTGGTAACCCGATGACGAGCCCAAGTCCTTACTTTGCTCTTGCCAACGGAGTGTCCTTTATCAATCCTGTAAGCCGTTTTCGAGGGTGTGGCGAGCGACGGTCTCTGACCATCTACAGCACAAAAGAGGACCCGATAAGAACAGGCAGGACGACTATCGGGAGTGGGGAAGGGTGCAGCATTCAACCTTGCGAACCCTCTCGGAACCGTGAGTGAAACTATATCCGTACCCACCCCGCATGCTAACCAACAGATACGTGTACAATGTTGAGGCTGAGGGTGACTACAGCCTGTTCATCGGCGCGATTCGACGAGCATTAGATAACCCTATTGACCCGTACGTGTCTAGCTCACGCGTCCCCTTGATATGGCTGAAAGCTGACCTTTGCCAGTTATGTCAGCGAGTACCACGAAATCGAGGGGTTGGACGAACGCGTCCGGGAGTGGATGGAGACCGACTGGGAGGCAGAGGCACAGCGCATCCTTGACCTCAGGAAGCAGGGCATCGAGACACAGAACACTCGTGAGGCCGCAGTGTTTGAAATGTAAGGTACAGCACATTTCGCCTTAAGAGGTTTCACATCGTATATCGTATATCTCGTTTGATGCCACATTGTATCCTTTGCCACAGCGGTGGAGCTGACCCTTGTGTGTGTGCTATTGACGTGGTTCTTTGGGGCGTGTCTAGAGACTCGAGACGTCACTGGGAAGGTACAGACATCCAGTAACCAAACATAGTTATCAGTGTTAGCAAGAGATGTGGCGCGCATTCAAAGCCGCAAGCGTATGTACCGACCGAGTCCATCCCCCCAATTGCCTCCTTTTGAATGCGTTGAATACGGCTTCATTCCCAAAAACATAGCACTACATTGCCTTCTATCTTTGTCTGTCTGACCTCACTACAACTTGGAGGTGTCGACATACTGCGGCCCAAGTTGATCCAGTTTGGTGACACCCAGGAGAGCCATGCCGATCTCAATCTCCTCCCTCAGGACTGTAGTGTCAGCTTGCAGCGAAGTTCAGCAGCTTACTCATAATGGCCTTTTCAACACCCTCGGCGCCCCAGCCCGTCGCCGCGTAGATGAACGGACGGCCAAGACCAACGCCACGCGCACCGAGGCAGACAGCTTTAAGCACGTCCGTGCCGTGACGGATACCGCCGTCGACAAAGATGCTGAACCGCTCCTGACCCAAGACCTGGGGTGCAAACTTGTTCACGTCGGCCAGGGTTTTGAGTGGTGCTTCGGCAAAGTTGAGCTGACGACCACCGTGGTTGGAGAGCACAACGGCGTCGGCGCCGGCCTTGTACGCTTCCTCGACGTCCTACTTGTCAGCTGCCACCCAAAACGGACTGTTGACCCACCTCCCAAGCACCGACACCCTTAATCACAACGGGAAGACCGGGTGCAAGCTTCTTGACCCAGTTGATGTCATCCCAGCTCATGTTGAGCTCGTGGTTCGAGTAGACAACCGGGGTACGCGTCAAAGGCTTGCCGTTGGGAGTAGGCGTGGCTTCCGCCAACATCCTGCGTTCGACCTCGCGTTTGCCGAGCTGGAATTGTTAGTTTCCTCGGGGCATCCAAAACTCACAATGGTCGTATCGGCGGTGATCCAGATCGAGTGTGCACCCGCAGCGACGGCGTCGCGGACGGCCTGAGCGCTCTTCTCGCGGTCGGGGGAGAGGTACAGCTGCCAGCCGATCTCCTGTCCCTCCCGCGCAGCCGCCTTGACCTCCTCGAGCGACCTGCTCGCATAGTGTGATAGGACCTGGAGGATACCGCCAGCACCGGCACCCTTTGCGACGGCCACCTCACCCTCGGGGTTGCCCCAGCCATTGCGTGCCGTTGGCGAGACGTACACGGGGATACTGGACTTGTAGCCCAGTATCTCGGTGCTGGCGTCCACACCCTGGACGTTGCGCATAATCCTGGGTCGGAAGAAGACACGCGTGTACGCAGCTGCATTCTCTGACAACGAGTCCTCCGAGTCGGCGCCGGTGCTGAAGTATGCCCACGCCACGAGAGACAGGCAGTCCTTGGCGTATCGCTGGTCGGGGGTCAGCATCGATGGGGATCGGAGTAACCCACCTCAAAGTCGCTGATGGACGCAACAGAGTCAACCCCAAACAGAGCTGCCTTTGCCTTCTCAATATCCCTGTCCTCGTCCGACTTGGTCATGGCGAACTTTTCCACGGCTGAGTCTCAGCTCCTGCTCCTAGGGTCCAGCACCCCCAAGACTCACCATCGTCGTCAAGCTTGCCGACGAACACGACTGTGTCATACTCGTGCTTTTCGAGTGTGGTGCCGGGGTGGATCATCCAAAAGAGCCTGTTGGGTCAGACATGACGAGTTCGGCGTGGATGACCTACTTGGACACATCCTTACCTGCCCACTCGAGCAGCACCTTGGATCCACCGGGCTGCGGAGGTCAGTAACAGCAGCATGCCCTGCCGGGTAAAGCATAAAGCACCCACATGCTCCTTTGCAAAGTTGGTGACACTGCACATTAGCACGGTGTCTATCCGTTTACTGCTGTACTCACTCGTACACCTTGCTGTCAATCACGACCCACAGGCTACCGGTATGCGTGTGCTTCTCGAGCTCGCCGAGGCTCACGATCCGCTCGCCGGTGAGCTTGCCGCTGCTGGCGGGGAACCTCACGGCGCCAGCCTCGGCCTCTGCGCGGTTGGATTGCAGTGCCCCATACGCCTAACAGTCAGTAGAGGGCGTCTCCATGTGTCGACACTGTCCAGACCCACCAGTAGCGTGAGGGCTGCACCTGTCACAACAGCTGCTCCGAGCCGGCCGCGAGATGCCGTCGGAGCTGCCGAAGTCGCCGAGGTGGATGCGAAGCGCTTGGCAGAGTGGGCTCGGGATGCCGCTCGGGCGAGAGGGCGGAACACAAAGGACATTATGGTGAATCCTGTGTTGCGTTATCAACGAGTGTAGTGGAGAAGAGAGAAAGAGTGCAATGGCCCGCGATGTATATATGTAAATGGACATGGGCACGAAGCGGCACGAAGCGGCACGGCATTGTGTGGGCATTTCGGTGTCCTCGGATTGGGCCGATAGACCACGGCTTCCACCGAAAAGTCGCCGGCGCGTCCACCTGAACCCACTCTTCTCGGCGCGCCGCAATACGGATACATCTAGTTCTACAGGCTGTACACTTCATCGTGAAAACCGATACCCCCGCAGCGGACGCGTGCAGCGACACTGATACCCGCAACCGCGTTGCGAGCCTCCATGACCAGGCCCTCTGGGCCGGCGGCTACGACCGCCAAGCCACCGTGGGTCTCCGCAGGGCCAGTGTCCGTCTCCTCCTCGCTGACGTGCACACAGGCAGGAAGCGCCTGGCGGACAAGTTGGGCAATTTCAGGGCGGTATGGCGACATTGTGGTGGTGTCTGGCAGCACGGCCGGACACGTGGGGAGAGGGAAGGGAGGGTCCGTAAGATACAGGTTGTACTTGAGCTCAACCTCGAGACGCGATGCAATGGCAAAGAGATGTGACAGTGTCGGTGCAAGGGCCTCAATGGTCGCTGCAGCGGTTAGATCCATAGCACTTGGAATGTCAACCACTTACAGAGATCACGAACCACCCAGGCGACGTCAATGATGCGTGGGCCATGTCCCTTTTCGCGACGACTGAGAGCCTCCTCGATAGTGCCGAGAAGGAACGTCACGCCCGAGCCGCCAGCCACAACGAGGACGCTCTCGTACTCTCCAAGGTCCATCTTGAGACCGCCGTACGGTCCGTCGATCATGACTGTTACGTGCCGACCAGGGTGGTCAGCGCCATGGGGCTCTTTTCCCTCCGTCTCTGCCTTGATGAACGCTTCACGCTCCTCATAGTCGTCACCAGTCTCCAAAGAATGGTCGCTGGCCATCTTGTGCAGCCGGCGAGTCCAGTCACCAGCGACCTTGGCGTACAGCACAATGCCACGAGGCGAGCCCGTCAGGCCTGACGCCGGCGCGTTGGTAATGGTAAAAGGGTGTGCCTCAAAGATACCAGCGCCCTTGAGGACACGCACGTTGACATGCTGGGTCGGAAGCCAACCGCCGTCACAGTCTGGAATGTGGATCATGGTCATTGTCGAGTCGACAGGAACAATGGTCGCATCCTTGACGCGATAGCGCAGGAGGCGGACAAAGTGGCTGCTGGGTCAGTTTAGAGCGCAGAGCCAAGAACCAAGAACCCACTCGTAAGCGTAAATGGCAACGCAGGGGAAGATCCAGGGGCGGCTGTACGGAGTGTGGTACGAGATGGCGGCAAAGAAGCCGACAAAGAACATTACGCTGGCAAAGTCAGCAATTGAAAGCAATGCGGAAACACTCACTGAGCACACCAGAAGAGCTGGTAGCACAGCCTGCGGACGGGCTTGAGACTGGTAATGACCAACATGCAGAGCATGGCGTACGAGACGAGGCCGCGCTTCGTCTTGTCGGTTTGAATCTGCGACATCTGGTTGGTGGTGATGAACTGGTGCAACCACATGGCACCGTGCACCGTCGCTGCGAGCCATGTGGTGCGTCCCGCCCAGCGATGAAGGAAATTGTAGTGCTCATACGAGAGGCTGGGGAGGAAGACGGGGAGAGGGAGGGGGCTCTTGAGGGAAAGAAGGATGACGACTGGCAGCTGGGCCAGGGCAATAAACCCAGGACGGTTACTGTTCTGAGTCAATGGGGCCCCGACAGTGAAGCAAGCAATCACTGCGGCCATGTAGGCGGCGACGAGCACAATCTGGCCAACTCCCAGACTAAAGTACGACCGCCTGCAGCAGTCGGCCACCTGACTCTTCCACAGGCGGACGTTGGGCATTGGAATGGCAAACAGCGTGACGCTCTGCCACACTGCTTGTGCTGCGCACAATGGACGCGCCAGGAAGGAAGGTCGGGCCACCCGGTTCGAGCGAGTTCGTTCACCCGTCAAGCGAAGTTCGGGTGTGTTCATAGACTCCGTGATTGCCAGTCCTGCGTACAGCCTGCGTGTCCTCAACGCGTGAATCACCCATGGGATGGACGCGACGGTGGTAAACGCCAGAACGGAGGTCCAGATGATGGTAAACTTGATCTGCCATGCTGGGTCCACGGCATACGAGCTGCAACGATCAGTTTCTATCTCCTGAAGTGAACATACTTGTAGACCTGCACCTGTCAGCTAACCACCAATACAAGACAGCTCACCTGAAGCGAAGCTGGGATTTCCCCCGGAAGGGTTCGGGAAAGGAGGTTGGAATCGGCCATTGTGTCGTCAACTGGCGGTCCGTTTCGATATGGTCGGTCCACCCGCGTTCTAGAGGTCTACTGTGCACTTTATGAGCGATGGTGCATGTCTAGATGGGTATAAAAAGCAAAGTCAAGACGACGAATGCTTGCCCATGCCTCGTTGCTGCGGCCACACAACCACACACTCGGAAGGCCGTTATCACCTTCCGCATTGGGCCAGGAAATCCAACGACACGTCATAAAATGTCCCGAATTGGCTCAAAGGGCGCAGACGCGTGAGGCATTTGGGTGGGAATTCAGGGGCAATCGGTGACTAACCTCGCGTCGATCTGAGACCATTTTTGTTTATGTCCCGCACGTGATCGCCGTCGCGTCGTGTGCTTGTTGAAACGTGCTGCATGCTTTGATATTTTCTCGAAACCGTATGATGTACAAACAAGGCCCCTCTTGGGCCTTTCAGATACTCCTCTGGGAGCGTCGCCTCTCTTTTTACTGAAAACGGAAAAGAAACTGTCTTTTTCAATGCTCCCTCCCTCTCGCCACTCGCGTCTACTCGAGGACGTTCTCGACGTCGGCACTCTCGCTTCCCTCCATGGTCGCAAAGTTGAGGAACGCCGAGGGACGATGGATGGCGGCCCAGAAGTTTTCGGGGCGGTCGAGCGTCATGTTGTAGGCGATCTTGTCGGTCCACGACTGCGTCAGGCCGACACCATAGTTCCAAGCGCCGCCCTCGGGGACGAGCGTCGAACCGAGGATACGGTCCGAAAGCAGGAGCTGGACACGGTTGGCCATCGACGCGTTAAAGCCAGCGTTGGCACCCGTGACGTCCTCGTTCTTGCGACCCCACTCGAAGCCGGCGACGGTAATCTCCCAGGCGTTGAGCGAGACCGAACCAGGCGTGAACGCGCAGGTGATACAGATCGAGTTGGGTCCCCACTCGGGGTTGGCAGCCATAATCTTGGCCTGGGTGGTGAGGTCGGCAGGGGCCAGGTGGTTGAGCTCCTGCGACTGCGTCTTGATCCAGCCGAGAGGCTCGAGACCCTTGAGGAGGAACTCGTGCTTGGGCAGGGCAAGCGGCAGCTCGACCGAGGTGGCGGTACCACGCTGGGGGATCCACGCAATAGCCTTGATCTCCTTGACCTGCGAGTTGTCGGCAGGCGAAGAGCCAAAGAGGTAGCCGACCACCTGGGTACGCAGGTCACCACTGACGATGAACGTGCGCAGAATGTTCTTGGGCATGACAAAGGTGTACGAGCCGGCGTCGTCCTTGACATCGTCGTTGCCGACGAACAGGTGGTTGGTACGCAGGGGCAGGTTGGTGGCCGAGATGGCACGGACACGCCAGTCCGACTTGGACGCAAAGGTCTGGACCTCGTACTGGGTGGAGGTGACAGTCTGAATGACGTCGCCGTGGATGTTGGTGGTCTGCGTCTTGACAGCAGTGACCTGGGCGGAGGCCTCGGTCGACTTTTCAATGTCGGCCATCTGCTGGCGCTGGGCCGAAGGGGCCTGGATCTCCATACCGAGGATAACGTCACGGATCTCCGAGGCGGTAAGCGACGCGACGTTGACGTTGTTGCGCTTGCCAAAGTCGCTAAGAATGACGTCCTTGAGAGCCACTTCGACCTTCATCCAGTCCTCATCGCTCAGAGTGGGCCACACGTGGTACGACTCGGTGACCGTGTTGCGGTCCGGGCGGAGGATAATCTTGGCCTTCTCGTTGTTGACGTGGAGGGCACGAAGAATAAGGATGAGACGCGAGAACGCAGTGTAGCTCGAGATGCTCTTGAGCCAGTCGTCGTACAGGTTGAAGAGGACGAGCTGCGGCTGGGTCGCACGCAGGATAAGGTCACCAAACTTCTCCATCTTGAGAGTCGCCTGGAAGGGAAGCTGGAGCTCCGATCCCTTGATAACAATGTTGGGGAAGTCGAGCAGGTGGACCTCGAGGGGGTCAAGCATACCCTTGCGGGTGACAATAACCTGCTTGGGCTGCTCCTCGACGGGGAGCGAACGGATAAGAGCGGCGACCTCCTCGGCGGTCTTCCACTTGGCGAGCTGACCGAGACGCTTCTGTCCCGCCCAGACCGACGTGTGAATGATCTTCAGGAAGAGCTGACCAGTACGCGGGTTGAAGATGAAGATGGCACCGTTGATGGGCTTGGTCGTAAGGTTACCCTCGAACGTCTTGTGAATGGTGACACGGTAGACGTTGGTGTCGTCGACGAACCAGATAATCTGGTTGGAGAAGAGCTCCGAGTAGTTGGACGAGTTGAGGTACGGCTCGGTAGGCTCAGACGAGTAGAGTTGCAGACCCTTGCGGATACGCTCGCGAAGAACGTAGAGGGCCGGGTTGGCCTTCATGATCTTTGCCATTGCCTCCTGCATCAGACGCTTGAATCCAGGGAACCAACAGCCGTAACCAGCGTAAATGTTGTACGCCAGGTCAATGGCAATGAGCGAACCGGTGGGCGACGGGTAGATCGACTGCGAGTCGCTCGAGTAGTCGAGGTACTTGGCACGAGTGTAACGCTCAATGTCGTGCGAGTCAAAGTCACCCCAGCGCAGCTGAACGTCGATCCAGTACTTGTTCGACGTCGTTCCGTCCATCGTGTCGCGGTTGTCGTTGAGAAGCGACGGGCGAGTGATCAGGAACTTGTGCGAGGCGAACAGGAGGACGTCCGAGGCCGACGAGTTCATCTTGTAGGACTGTGCGGGTTAGCAATGGTCACGAGAGAGGGAGAGAGGGAGGAAGCGGCTGCAACTAACCTTACGGGGGTGAATCTGCTCCTTCTGGACGGATTCAATACCCAAAGCCTCCATCTGTTGGTCAAGGACCTGACACACTGGAAATATCAGCTTTCGAGCACATGAGTTTACTCACAGTCCATCACAACACTCTCGTGGATCTTCTGCCACAAGTGGGCACGGAAGATCTGGATGAGCGAGATCTTGAGAGTCGGGATCTTGCCGTGCTGCATCACGTTAGCGGATAAAACGGAAGTATTTTTTTCGCCACACTCGTTCTTCACGTCCTTCTTCTTTACTCACCATGAAGACACCAGTAAGGTCGAGCTGCACCTGGAATCCGACGTATACATTCGCACGGTTGATCTGATGGTTAACTAAGTCCCAATGGGATGCATGAGACTCACAGTGGGGCTCCACCACATCGTAAAGCGACGGTTGGGGATTTGTGACAGACCGGAGCGTTGCGCGTTGGTAAGTTTCTTGAACTTCATCGATTCCTGGGCAAAGTTAGCGACGACAACACTTGCGAAACCGCGCATACTTCAAATCCGGATGCTTTCTCCCAGAATAGGCCTTCCCACCTGCATAGAAAGCGTCAGCGCATGTTGTTGTTGAAGGGAAGAAGAAGAGGAGGAAAAAAAAAAAAACAGTTGGTGTTTTTTGGTTCCGCGCCCAGAATCCTTGTGGCGGTCTCTTGGGCTGGAGAAGAACTGTACTTACGTCGCAAACGCCGTTGCCTTGAACAGACTGTGCTCCAGGATACCCTCGACACCGCCGAGAGCCGCAATGATGTCGATACGGTACGCGTTGAGGTTCCAGAGCTTGCCGTCGTGACGAGCGTTGGTCCAGCCGAAGGGGTTGGCGCGGAGACGGTGGTACTGCTGGAAGAGGACGCGGATACGCCATCCCTTGTCGTAGGCCAGGGTCTGGCGGTCCTTCTGGAAGAGCGAGTTGATACGTGGCACACCACGGTCCCAAGAGTCCTCGAGGTCCTCGAGGGTGAGACGACGGTTGGACGCCGCGGCCTCCTTCCTCTTCATGGCGTACTCGGACCAGACGCGGGCCGAGTCGAGGAACTCGGACTCCCAAGGCTGGATGTAACGGTAGAGGTTGGGGATGAGGGCGTCCTCCTCGTGGGTCATACCACTGCGGAAGTGGCTGATACCACCGCTCTCGGTCTGCTTGGACCAACGAAGGTCCGAGGTGGGGATGAGGACGAAACCCATCGAGAGCATTCCAAGACCACCGAGTTCCTTGGGCGAGTAGAAGACGGCAGGAGGGAAACGGGTAGGCATCTTGGAGTTGAGACCGACCTTGACGCGAGTCTGGACCTTGTTCTCCGCCTTGACGAGAGCGTCCAGCAGCTCGGGGGTCGTGACGACAGCCTCACGGTAGTAGGTCATCAAACCAATGAGACAAGTGTTCCACTTGTTGACGATCTTTGCGAATGTACTCGATCCAGACGACATGAGGATCTGGCGGATACGGTTCTCAAACTCCTTGATGCCCTGGTCGGACACGCGGAGGAATGCCTGCGCAGTACGCTCCTTGGTCGACTCCTGGACCAGGTTCCACACGCCATCCTTGAGCGTGTACGACTCTCCGTTCTCGGTACGGCAGCGAGGAAGAATGCGGATCTCAAAGCCACACATGGAGAAGAGGAGCTGAGGGTTGTTGGCGGAATAAACCGAAACCATCGTGTCCTCCCACTCAATGGTGACAAGCGAGCGGGGCAGCGAGTTCTTGACGTTCCAGAACACGGCGCGGCCAAGGTTGACGTCGTGCTTGTTGAGACGCATACGACAGTCGCGGGGCCAGCAGCGCTTGTTGTTGTAGCCAATAACGTTCTCGTTGTTGGGGTCGGGGTTGGCCGAAAGGAAGCGCTGGATGAGGTCACGTGACTCCTCAGCAGTGAAGCGGAACAGCATGTGGATGCGGTCCACGTAACGCGAGTAGAAGCGGATGGGGTGGCGAGTCTCGGTCGCGCGGTCACGGTACTGCAGGAAGCCGTTGGGGGTCTGAGGAGGGCCAGCCATCTCGGACGCACGCTGGAGACCGAGAATGAGCAGGTCGAGAACGAGACCGTAGTACTGGACGACGAACGAGCTGAACTGCAGACCACGGATGAGACCGTAACCGTTGATGTGAGACATGTCCTTGAACGTGAGCGCGGCATTGTTCTTGGCGGTGATGTAGTCTGCCAAGTTGTGGTCCATGACCAGACGCAAGAGACGGTTCAGGAGCGTCAGGTCGACCTTTTCGTACATGCGCGAGAAGGTCGTGTCCATCATGACGGCACACTCGCCCTCGCTCGTCTCCCAGATGTCCGTGAGGTTGTTGATACCCTGGCACCACTTGTAAACGAGCAGAGGAGGAGGCTCCGAGTCGGCCGGCTTGATCCACGCCGGGAAGAGGTGGCGCTTGTCCGCTTCGTACCAGAGGAACTGGTCGAGGTATGCGTCGGTGATCTTCTCCACGGGCTCAATGTCGTAACAGGGAATGAGCTTGTCGTACGTGTCAAAGAACTCGATGCCGACCTCTTTGAAGGCACGCTGGGTGAGGAGGAGACGCTTGATACGCGACAGACACTCGTGGGGGTTGTCGTATGCCTGCTCCACGAGGGCGAGTTCCTCACGCTGCGACTGGTTGAGACGACCGTGGACCGAGTAGGCCTCCTTGAGCTTTTCAAGTGCAAGCACAAGAAGCTTGGTGTCGTGCTTGTACGAGAGAGGGGGGAAGGGGATGGGCGCAAACTTGCGGCTCTCGAGCCAGTGGACAGTCGAGGTGTAAATGGCGACGGCCTCCTCGGACGAAACGTACGGACCGTCCTTGAGGTAGCCGTTCTGGCGCTCCTGCTCGGCCTTGAGGTAGAGACGGGTGAGACGACCAAGGTTCTTGCGCACAACGGCCTTGTCGACAGTGGCGCCACGACGGATACGCTCGCGGTTGTAGTGGGCGACCGAGGTCCACCAGTCCGACTTGGACTTGATGTAACGCAGGATAATGTTCTCGATGGGAGCGGGCATGCCGGGGACCTTCCACGGGACGTTGGCCTTCCAGCATCGCCACGATTCACTGATGTGCTGAAGAATGGTCTTGGCCTTGTTCTGCTTGATGCCCTCGGGCATCATGTCGAGAATGTCGTGCATGACGGCGGCTCGCAGCTCGAGGTCAAAGTGCGATTCGACACGCTGCTTGGTGACGGTCTTGGCAGTGACCTTGGAGTTACGGCCCTCGAACTGACGTGCGAGCAGGTTACCCAGCCAGCGCTCAAGGAGGGGAACGATACCGCGCATGAAGAAGAGCCACACACGCCATGCGGGCTGCCAGAAACCGACACCGGGACCCTTGCCGACGGGACCAGTGTTGAAGCGCGCGTAAATCAGGTGCTTGAGGTCCTTGGCCATGCGGATTTGGCGCATCAGCTTGTACTTGTAACGGTACATGCCGGTGAGCTGACCGACGTGGGCGAACATGTACTGCAGACCGTCTGCGAGCTGGAACGCGTCGACGTTGCCGAGGCGGAACTGGACGTGCGCGTCCACGATGAGCTTGGTGAGGCGGAGAATCTCACGAATCAGGTGGAACGCGTTACCGAAACGCGACTTCTTACGCTCCTTGGTGGTGAGCGTCTTGATCGGCTTCAGGTTGAGGTTGTAGTCGAGATGAAGGTAGTTGAGGTTCTTGCGGTGAATGAGGAGGTTGAGCATGTTGTAACCCTGCCTGCACACCTGCAGACCCGCCTCGACCCAGTCAATGGTCGTGCTCTGGAAGAACTTGGTGTTCTTGAGCGAACGGAAGAGGTTGCGCTTGGCCATGGCCTTGGGCATCCGGGTGTGCAGGGCGTTGAGGACGTACACCTTGAGCAGCTTCTGGTACGACACGCGGACCTTGACCGGCTGGTCGGGAGGGCAGTGCTCGAGGTAGAAGTTCTTCATCATCGGAACGTCCTGGGCACGGCGAGTGCGACCGCTGCGGAGGTTGTAAGGGAACGGAGCCCAGTACAGCGCAATGGCGTCGGCAGTGTGCTCGTTCTCCAGCTCGCAGGTGTCAAAGAACGGCTCGAGCTCGTCGGGGAACTCAAACTCGTCGTCGTCCTCGTCCTTGCCGTAACCAAACACATCATCCTCGTGAGAGACAAGAGGCTTGTGGGCCTCGGCAACGACACGCTGGGAGATGGGGTTGATCAATGGGTCAAAGTAGAAGGCAGGGAGGTCGGGGTCGTCCGTCTTAATGTAGACGTTCTTGGGCTCGTGGTACAGGTCGATGTGAACGGAGCGCGGGAGCGAGTTGTACAGGTGCGGGTAGGCAACCTTGTACTCTGAACGAATCAGGCCACGGATAATGACCTTGTTGATGTCGTTGAACTCGTTCCAGTCCTCGTCAAACGCCTCCATGTCACGGAACAGGGGCTCAAACTTGGGTCCGCCGGGCAGAGCAATGTTGAGCGCCTTGGCCGTGAAGAACGCCTTCTTGTCAAAGAGATAGAAGCTATTCCGGTCGGTGTAGTCGGACAACAGCTGACGGCCGATACGATACAGGTTGGCCATCTGCGGCAGAGTGATGTGGAAAAAGCGGTAGCTCTCTCCATTGACCTGCTTCTCGTCCACCAGCGGCTTGGGGTCGTAGAACCAGTTGATAATCTCGCTGTCGTCCTCCTCATCCAGTTCCAGCTGAATCGCCTCGAGCGGCTCCACGTCCAGCACGTTGTCGCCATAGTCCATCGGCGGCTCCTCGTCATCGAACGGGGGGAATCGCATACGTTTAAAGTGGCGACGGTCACGCTTCTCTCGACGCATCGCCAACCACATGGACGCCCACTGAGCATGGTATACGGGGGTAACGACGCGCGGCACCTCGTTGACAAACGTGATAGCACCAGAGACATGGTACAGGCACTGAACCTCGCGCACCTGCTCCCACGGGTTGGGCATGTTCTCCAGCAACTTCATCACCGCGTGCGGGACGTACTTGAGCGCGCCGAGGTGAGCGCGCTTGTCGTTACGGAACTTGCGGTTCGACATGTCGCCATGGTCCTTCATGATTTTACGAATGTGCTCTGTCCAAGTAAGCCAATGTCCACCACAGAACATTATAATCATCGTGCTTACCGGGTGGCAGGTCCTAGGAGGGATATAGTCAGCACACGATCCAAACAGACCTCCTACGCCGCAGCCAGACATCAAATCACAACAAATCACCCGTCATCGCGCCACTCGACGCGACGCAGACGCGCTTGCTTGCTTGCAATCGTCCTCGGCAGCTTTCCAACTACTCACTGCCTTGCCCATGTCGATGCCGCCGCCGCCGCCAGCCCTGCGCTTCTCGTTGAAGCGGCGCTTCTGGCCTTGCCTCCATTTCCGAGCTTTCTTCTCAATCTCGGCGGGTGTGAGGGTGCCGAAAAAGTCCCCCTCCATCGACGAGTCGCCGTTGGGTTGGGAACCCGAAGGTGGTCCAAATCCAGGTGGCGCGGACATGGCTGTCGTTGCCGGTCGGGAGTCGGGTTAGGTAGGTGGGGTTGGGGATGTTATGGAGGTCTCGCTCGACCACTTGATCGTATTCAAGCCGTTAGGTGGCAACCCTGCGCGTAAACGCATGCGCCAGTCGGCATTTCGGCAATTAAATCATGTGGCACGACGACACAGGGCCTGATCGTCGATCGAGGACCTCCACCCCAGACCGCCCTGTGCAGCTCGGTTCGGACCGGCAACTTGGGAACTGGCGGTGGCCCGGTGGGTTACACCATCCCGCGTGCTTGGTTTGTGTGGGTGTCTTGGTCCTTCGCACAGATCCGAACGTTTGCTTCATCACACTCTCATCCACCATGCCGCCCCTCCCTACCTATGGCAAGACGCCAGTCGTCCTCCTCACGGTTCGTTGCATCGGGCGCTCCTTCCCAGCAGTCCAACTGACGTAGTGCCACAGAACGACGACGGCCCACCGTCAGACCACTCACCCCACATCTACACGTTCGCCAAGCACCTGCGGGACACGCTGGGTTGGGACGTGAGGGTGGTTGTCCCCGACTCGCAAAAGTCTTGGTGGGTCGATAGTCTGACACAGCACTGACCACCAGGGTGGGCAAGGGCTACCAGATCCAGAACATCATCTGCGCCAACTACTTCTATCCTCTGGGTACGTTGCCGTTCGCAGCCAGTGGTGCTGACATTTCAGAACCTGATGGACTCACCGGCGAGGTCACCCCGATCCGTCGGCCGCTCAAGGAGGGTGAGACGATGGAATGGGTGCTTCTCAGCGGAGTGAGTCCTGGTGGCGGGGCCTCTGGTTAATGAACCGCCAACTGACAGTGCGCCAACCACAGACACCAGCGTCGTGTTCCAACATTGCTCTGCACAACCTCTATCCGGGCGAGATTGACCTCGTGATTTCGGGACCCAACCGTAAGCACAACCCACGAGACATGGCACTGACCTCGGCGTACAGACGGTCGTAACTCGTCGACCGCATTCGCCCTGTCGTCCGGTACCATTGGTGCGGCCCTGGGCGGTGCCCTCTCCGTTCCCCTCGAAGGTCCACCAGGCCACCCCTCCCTGCACACACACAACATGCCCAGCATTGCTGTGTCGTATGGTGTCGTCTCGCGGCCTGTGGCCCCCCGCGCCATTGAGCTCGCCCACGATGTGGCGATCGACGTCTGCCAGCGCTTGTTCGACGACTGGGGCTACGAGGACGGCGAACGGAAACAGCCGGTGCAGGTGTACAGCGTCAACGTGCCACTGGTCGAGGCATCGTTGGAGAAGGATGTGCGCAGAGTGTGCTTCACCACGCTCTGGCGCAATACCTACGGCGCCCTTTTCGCCCCTACAAGGTTGAGGGATGGCAGCTGGAACCCGAGCGACAACGTCAAGCAGGCGGCGGCCGACGACGACGAGTCCGAGCTCGAGGACGACGGCCAGCTGCGGTTTTCGTTTGCCCCCAACCTTCACCCTGTACTGTTCCCCGACATCGACACCATCCCAGAAGGCACAGACGCATGGGCGTTCTACCATGGCTTCACCAGCGTGACCCCCATCCGGGCCGAGTATGCTGGCCTTGGTGACAGTGGCAGTGGATTCGGCAGTGGTACCCCCGGAGACTCGTTCTGGTAAATTGTTGTAGTATTCTCTCGCCATCGCCTAAGAGACAGGTTATACCAGGTGATGCGATGCACATGTTCATATAGTGTGTGTTTACAATCGTCCAGCAGGGTCGCAAAGCGTCCCCAAAACTACTCATCGTCCTCGTCGTACTCCTCTTCCTCGGGGTAGAAGACATACTTCTGCAAAATGAAGACCGTGTCAAACCTGCTCCGTCAGCATTGCTCTTGCCAGAAGGTGATGTCACTTACCCAAGCGTCAAGAGCGACAGGCCGAGCTTGCCGGGGTTGGCCCAGATACCGGACGGGGCTTGGTCAATGAAGACGGAGCTGATGACAAGTTGAAGGAGGGAGAAGAGACCGCCAGTAATGTCCTGCTACGTCAGCTAGGAGACCTGCAGTCACTTGGCTTACAAGGAAGATGGTCGAAATAGCAAAGCCAATGACAGTCTTGATCCTATAGTTCAAGTAGGCCTGGGGCAGGTACTTGATGGTAGTGATCTGGCTGTCAGCTTTGTAGCCACGTGTGAGATACGGCTAGCTCACGACAAGTTTGATCGTTGACGCATAGTACAGAAAGTCGAGCAATTGTGTCCTGCCCATCGCCAAGCTGGTAATCTCATAAAGCGTGACCAGGGCAATGAGCACGAGCCCGACCTGCGTGGCCGTGTGCGGCGCAGTCGGCGCTGCGGACATGTCCGGCTCCTTCTGGAGGAGAGGGTGCGACTCGCCGGGCGTGGGGTTCTTGCGCTGCTGCCTGTGACGGTGGAAGTACCACGCACTCTGGATCAGAGTAATGGTCGAGAGCACGAGGGCGTGCATCGAAAACGCAAGGTCCGAGATGGAGACCTGCGGGTGGTGGCCATGGTGACGCTCAGCGTACTGTTCGCGCGCAGTCTTGGAGAAAAAGGCGCCCCAGCACCAGACCGTCAGACAGAAGAAGCCGATCGGGTTCACGAGGGCAAAGTCGGGCGAGAAACCGAGTGTGCTGGGGACCTGGTCAGTATGTTGTTTACATTGCGATATCAACCGTACCTTCTACGGCGGTGGTTGAGGATGATCTGGGGATAGAAAGAAGAAGACCATGCCGTGAGGTAGATGACACCACAAGCGGCACTGGCCACCTCCCAGAAGCCGACCATTGTGAGCTAGGTGCTATGTACAGTCGTGTATAGGGGTTGGTCTCAAACGTCCTGTGTCTTGAGGCCTGAAGGACCGCAAGGATTAAGAGCGAGATGTGATGGGCTGAGTCGTAGGTCAAACGTCCTGTCTTGAGGCCTGGTGGACCGCAAGGGTTGTATTATAAAGGAATGATCTGATGGGTTGGGTGGCCAAACAACTGCGCGCGGAGCGGGTGGATGCGTAAATCACAAAAGAGTGTGGACTTGCCCGACGGTGGGCAGATGGCGCAATGGTGAGTCTTATCGACGGAACCAGTTTTGCCAATTATCGCCCTCTAAGTGACAGTGTGACAGTCTTCGGCCCGATCAACAACGCGTCTTAGAATTGGGAGAGCATGCTTCTGAGAAGCAGAGGACACTGGTATGCACAATAGCGGGCTGCAACATTCCCAAACACTTCATGCATCCCAACTTATTTGGCAGCGGTTGCGCCCACAGTGATGACGATATTTTGGACATGTCGGGATCGGTGGCAGCGCCGTCCTGGGTGGACGCGTGGACGCCACAGTCACCAATCCTGACCCCAGCTGCTGACATACTGGGCGTGCCAGTCCCCGGAGGCTGTACCGTGTCTTGTAAGCTTGTACACGGACACCGGCGAATGCATGTGTCTCCCCCTTGATCCCCTGGCGATTGTCGTCTCGGTAAGATCGGTATGTGTGCTCGCCTACCATCTAAAGACTGGCCATCATTGTGAATAGCTGTATTCAAATCAATTAATCGTCGCTTTTATTGTTGGCCGTTTGGTTTGTCTTCGAGGTAGAGCCACTCCTTTCTGCTCATGTCAGACCCGTGGAGACAGTCTGTGTGGACTTGGAATTTCTGAAGGGTGCAGCCTGTTTATTGTTGATTGTTTACTCAAGTACAGAACACAGATACGATTAGATAGCCGATGAGTCTACACTAAAAACGGATACGTGTACCGACAAGCTTACCAACAGTGAGACAACTCCATTCGCCTGCCCCTGTGTCCAAACGCCGGGGTCTGGACCGTCTGGACCACGATAAAGCAGCCCGTTTGGGTCCCAGTATACCGGTCGCGCGCGTTAGAAAGCATCGGCCGTGTATGTCCCTGTGGTCGGCCTGTGGGGTCGCGATTAACGTGTGCTGACCAACATGTTCTGCACGTTCATACCACCTACCGCGGCCGATCCGCGGACGACCGGGTGCGGTGGACGGGGTGAGCGATCTGTGACGTCACTCCCACCGCTGGTACACGCCCAGGAACACATGGGGGACGAGAGGCATTGCGCGATCCGCGACACATGCTGGTCACCACGTCGGCGACGCGGCCTCCTTGTGCATGCATGCTGGGGGGGTGGACCTCCGAGATGGGGATTCCCACGGCAGTCTCGTGACAGATAGATAGATATATATAACAGTGCAAGGTGTGCACAGTCCTTCTCATCCACATCCACATCTTCATTCTCTCATCCTCTCTCACACCGTTTCTCACACACCCAAACTTCCACCAAACCTCAAACCATCACCGCAATGTCCAAGGGAAGTGAGTCACCGCACATGTCCTCCTCCTCGACAGACTGTTATTGACACACACATCCAGCTCTTTACGTCTTTGGCGGCTCCGTCTGGGTCCACGTCCCCGAGATCGCCGTCTCCGAGCTCGGCTACAAGCCTGGAGAGATTGAGCAGCAGCAGGTCAACCTCGCCGAGGTGAGCTTATCTGGCCATGGCCATAGCTAACAACCTCAGGGCGCCAACTTTGACCCCAACGGCTTCCTCAAGATCAACCACAAGGCCACGCTCCCGACCTTGGTCATTGGCGAGCACCACTACACCGACTCTGTGCCCGTTGTCGAAAAGCTCATCGAGCTCGCGCCCACCCCGCCGGCCGTCAAGGCCGACCACGAGCTGCGCAAGCTCATCGCCACAGTCCACAACGAGGCCAACGACCCCAACACGCTCTTTGTGCTCCCCATCGACGACGCGGACCGCGAGGCCAAGGCGGCTGGACTCGTCGGCGGCTTCCTCGGCGGCCGCCAGGTCGCTCTTGACAAGTGAGCTGGGCCCCCCCTCCGCTGAAGCAGCTCACACCTTTAGGTATGCGCCCAGCGCCCCCGAACAGTTCAAGGCCTTCCTCGAGGAGAAGCAGAAGGCCAACGGCCAGATCCTTGCTGTCATCCAGGGCAAGGCCGACGTGAGTTACGCCACTCCTGGATACAAGCTAACTCTGCAGGCGGCCACCAACGCGGGCATCTACGCCGCTGCCGCTGCCCAGTGGAAGGCCTCCGGCCACGTCATCCGCGCCGAGATCACGCCCATCCTCAAGAAGGCTCCTGGCAAGTTCCTCGGCGGCGCCGACAGCCCCGGCGAGGCGGACTGTGAGTGACAGAGCAGACCAGAGCGACAGAGCGTCGGAGCCCGCCCTGCTGACATTCTCCAGTCCATGTCATCACCTGGCTCGCGCGCATCATCACGGACGCAGGCATCCCGCCCAACTCGCCCTCGAGCGCCGCCTTCCCTGTCCTTGCCAAGCGTACCGGCGGCGCCGAGATCGACCCCGTCGTCGCCGCGTACTGGGACACCTGGATCAAGCGCGACAGCTTCATCCAGAACAACGTCAACTAGTTTTGCCGGACGCCCAGCTGGAAGAGTCCAGTGCCCAGCACTGCCTGCCCGCCTCCAGATTGTATATACACCGCGTTAATAGTGTCCCGATGTATGGAAAATTGTGTACAGAACAAGAAGACTGCCTCAGGCATGGTCCAACCATGATGCATGAGGGATACATGTGTATAGACGTGAGAGAGTGACGTGTGATGAATGGCATGGGAGGGAAGGTGAGGTGCGGTACGGTGCGGGGGTCAACGAGGCTTGACGTGGGATGGAGAGAGAGGTCCGTGAGGGTGTCCGTGTATTGGGAACGAATCATGGGCAGTAAAGGAGTCGTAAAGTGTCCTCGCCGGCGAGTAAAAGCGTGTATTGTTATTAGTCGTCGCGTTTTTTTTGGTTTGATAGTCACAGGCCCACAGGGCCGTTATAACGCTTGACCAGGCGGCGCGCGCGGGTCCAGGGGGCGAAAGAGGGATGCCGCGTATCCGCCAGTGTTGACGGCGGCGATGTCCTCCTCGGCGTCCATGATGGTCTCTGTGCGGTTCGGGTCGGTGACCGGCTCGGTGACTGTGGGAAGGTATGACAGTCCAGGACTCGAGACGGTCGACACGCTCGAGGCGGGCCGGCTCCGGCGTCCACCAAAGCCCATCTGGTCGGCGATCTGCAGCGCGCCGTCCGGAGCAGGCGACGACGGCGTGCTGTGCGTAGGGGTGGTGAGCGACGACGAGTGCGACATGTTGGATGTCTGCGACGCATCGACCAACCCGCCGCCGCTACGGCGCTGCACGCGGAACGACGACGGTGGGGGCGCCAACAGCGGTGTCACCGAGCTCGCCGTGCCCGAGAGTGAGGGCCTCGGCGGCGCTGGGGGCTGTCCCTTGCGCTGAACGCGGAAGGAGCGGGCTCCGGGAGGTGCGGGTGCCACAAGGGGAGTCGCGACCGATGGAGTGGCAACACCGACAAGCGCGGCACCACTCTCGTTGACGGCCACAGCTTTGCGTGCAGCATTCTCATCGCGCTCCCGCTCGCTCTTGACCCTTGTCCTGCGCGTGAAGAGCGCACGCCAGCCGTGAGATGGCTCGGGCTCAACAGTGGCAGTGAGCGGTTCGCCAGACGGACGACGGTCGTGACGGCGGCGGGATTGGCGGCTCGGGCCGGGCTCATCGTCGGAGCCTGACGAGTAGTCGTTCTCAGCGGCGTCAAGTTGGCTACTGCGGTTGAACCAGTTACCGGATCCGCGAGAACGACGCTTGGTCGCCTGCCTGAGGTTGGCCGGTTGCGCCTCGTCTTCTCCGATATTGTTAAGCGACCTGCGCCTAGGAATAGATATGGGCGGGGGACGAACACCGTTCCGGTCCTGCAGACCACCTGTGGGAGGGTACTGCGGTGGGGGGAAGGGGAAGGGACTCTGGCCCGGCGACGTCGACAGCGAGCGCATGGGTGGCGTGATGGGAGAGCGGGGCGACCTGGGAGAGGCGAGCTCCTCCATGATGGCACCCGATGAACGGGCACGCGCATGGGTCTGGTAATATTCCCCGTCCGTCACGCGAATAGAAGGTGTGGCTCCTCCCCAGCTATTGCGCTTCTCGCTCGGCGAGGCAAGTGGCTGGGTGGTCGAGTAAGGCTGCTGCTGTGCGGTCGAGGACGCCCTGGGCCGCCAACCGGTCAGGATGCCATTGTGCGTGTCGTCCGAGGACACGTAGCTTGCGTGGTCGGAAACGGAGCGCTGGCCGCCAAACTGGTCAACAGAACGGCCATACTGCTCTACACGGCCAAACTGGTCGACCGAGGGGTTCTGGACGGGATAGTAGCCCATCTGGTATCCCTCACGCGAGACGCCCTGTGAGTGACGATCCAGCATCATTTGCGTCGTGAGGGAACCTGCGACCGAGACGTTGCGCTGCAACTGTCGTGAATCGCGTTTGCGTTGCTTGCGTTGAGCAGCCTTGCCGCCACGTACACCGCTAAAGTAGTCGAGGTCCATGATGGCAGCAAAGATACCGCCGTCAATGGGGTGGGTAGACTCGTCAAACGGCGCACCGCCAAACAGTCGGATGAGACCCTCGATGATCTTGGTGAGGACCATGAAGAAGAAGAAGACGAAGACGACGGCCTGGATGATGAGGATCACATATGTGAGCCACTGTTGAGGCGTTTCGTCGACGCTAATCTGCCAGAGTTAGAATTGCAGGAACAGTTCACAACTCACCTCATCGCTCAGGACCATGGCCATGATGATTGACGCAATCCGCATGATGGAGATGCCGACAACCTGGTTGCCCATGCTTGCACCGTCGCCCCAAGGGCTCCAGAATGCAGTGGTGACAAAGGTGAGCAGCTCGACCAGAATGAGGACCACCGCCTGGGCAAGTCCGCTCTGCTGACCAGCGCCAATGACGATACCCTGGATGAGGCTGCCAATGAGAGGCAACGTGCGGTAAAGCTGCTTGTCGGCAGTGTAGACGTTGTAAACCGTGCCGAGGGCAAGAAGGGTACGCGCCGCGTCGTAAAGCTTGCCGGTCGGTGTGCGGTAGATTTTGTACATGATAAATGCGGGGATGACGATGGAAATAAAAGTCAGCGCGAGAGCGGCGAACACGCGCGAGACAATAGACGCTTCCGATAGAGAGAGTTGATACACTGAGAAGGCCGTGATGGGGAAGTGGAACATGAGAATGAGGCGGAGGAGGTTGCCGTACAGGGCGGAGAAGTGGAATGCACCGGCTTCACCCTTGGGGGTGAAACGGTTCCAGATGCGATGGAACTTGGACCGAGTAGTCGGGCGAGCAGCGGCCCTGGGCTGCTGCGACGACGGCGTGAGTGCCACCTGGCTGAGCTCGACAGACCCGCGCGGGTCGAACCATTCCTTGCCGTTGCTGCTCGAGCGCGAGTGGCCATTGAAACCGCCGTCTTGCATAAGGCTGTTCCGCTGCGCGGACTGACGGGGAAGTCCCGGACCAGCGGAACTGGCGCGGTTGGCATTGCGCCGACTGCCGTCGTGTCCAAACAGCTCGGTGAGAGCATGCACGAGCCACAGGGCGAGGCTGACAACGACAATCACGGCGGCCAACATGAGGAACAGGGACAGACAGGTCCCAAACAAGTCCTGGGGACGCAAGCCCACGACACGTGCCCATGCTGCCATTCCGCTTGGAGTGTCGCCAATGTCGAGCAAAACGCCAGGCCCGGACGAATTGAGATACAGCGGATACGTGGGGTTGACCATCTGCGGTGCCCAAGGGAGTGGGGCAGTAAAGTTGGTGGAGTACACGCTGGGGTGCTGGTCGGAGACGAGCGACACGTCTGGAGAAAGAGTCAGCCACAGTCATTGGGCGTTATAGTCGCAACACATACTCCACACGAGATCCGCCCATGCGCTCTGCGCCACAATGGTGTAGAAGAACGACGGCCAGCTGACGGCGATCATGCCCAGCATGGTGACAAACTGGATATGGTACATGATATCGCGAAGGCCCGGCGTGACTGGGAACAGGTTAGCCACAAGTGCCTTTGGGCGGAGGGGGGCAACGAAAACATCAAACATACCAAAACGTAACAACGCGGTGCTGACGCCAAAGCGCTCGCCGCTCATTCCAGAAATAAGCATGGTGCCCCACTTGAGCAGTGTCACTTCACGACGTGCCATGGTGCTGCGGTCGACACCGACGACCCACCCAGCTGCGAACCGCGCAGCCCAGGTCGTGACCCAAAACGCCATTGCAATGGCCGCAGGGAACCACAAAAACAGCTGAAAGGGCCAAGAGTTGGCCTTGTACGGCGTGACGTGGATGTCGATGCAGAAGAGCGTCTGGGCGGGCTCACTAGAGTCGACGCCTCGGATCTGGGTATGCAACGTCGCCAGGGCATGGACGTTGTACAGCGGAACCGAAACGTTGAGGCCAAAGTCGCCGCCGGCCAGTGGGCAAAATGTCTGGTTACCAAAATAGGGCTCGGTCATGTTGGCTGGGAAGATTGAGTTGCACAGGTATGATGACTGCGTGTACTGCGTCACACCAGCCTCGGACGTCGAGGTGAACAAGGTAGCTGTTGAGGTTAGCCACTGTATTCATTTTGTTTAACCTCTGAGCGCCGCCAAGTGCGCCAAGTCTCGGAAGACGACAATGGGGGTGGGATGGGGGATGGGGAGGACCGTTTGGTCCCACATAACACAGGCTGCTACTGACCCAGCTTTCCAGTGGTCGAGTTGTATCCCGATAGCTCTTGGGTAGAGGTACCAAGCAGGTCGAAGCGGAGGACATCCTCGCCTGCGCCGTTGAGGTTGCGAGCCGTGGACCAGTCGCCTCCAACCAGTTCGGCATACACTGCCGACACGGCCAGCTGCGCCTCGGCAGGCGCCACGGGCGAGTACGAGTCGAGACACGAGGTGAACGTGGGTTGTATGACCGCTGCGCTCACCGGCACCGCCAGCGCGCCGGCGGCGGCGATGAGCAGGACACGTCTCATCGTCCAGTCGACGGCAGCGGGGGAGCGCGGAGCAACTCCGCGTGGGGCGGAACGGCGAGATTACTTTTCAGCGTGTGTGGAGGGCGGGCTCTGTGCACCGCCGGCTGATAGCGGCGGGGGTTGGTACGAGGTCGGAGTGTCGACGAGGGCGCCAGCAGATTCGGGGAGCGCAGTTGGTAGAGTGAAGGGAGGCGGGAGGGCGTATGGAAGAGGGGGGAGAGGAAGGGGATATGGGGTGTTAGAGAGACGACGATGCAGTCTGTGTGCGAGTAAGAGGGGGGGATGTTGATGGAACAGAGAGATCCAGCGACCCAGAAAGAGGGGGCGGCGGCTATGGGTGTGGGAAGGGCAGGGCCCAAATCACACACACCCCCAGCCAGGGTTGACGACGACGTCACAACGGAGGGGGGCTGTCTGGCCCGCAAATGGGCAAATGGCCGCCCGACAACCTCATGTTTGGCGCGTTGCAACGCATTTCTCAAACACACTAGGCCGCGACCCGTTGCACGCCACCTCTCCCCACAGTACCACAGTGTGTACCAATGCACAGTGTAGTGCAGAATCTGCATATATCCGCAGCTTCTATAGATGATTGACGCATGGGTGGGCTTGACCATTGTATGTACATGTCTCATGTCATTCAGGAACCTCCCGCTCGCCAAGGTTTTAGAGGGACAACCCTCTCGCTCTCTCTCTCCCTCTCTCTGTCGGTCTGCATCTCTCTCTCTCTCTAGCTGATGTTGGCCGTCTCCTTTTTCAGAGCGTCCACGAGGGTGTTGGCCATCTCCTCAGTCTTGACGCGGAACAAAAACGCCTTTGGTTCGCCAGCCAGGTTGAAGCCGAGGAACTTGACGGCCTTGCCGTCAGCCGTCGGAGCAAAGGATGGCTGCACGGCCATGTTCTGTGTGGAAAAATGATCAGCAAGGCACTCTTTCCGAGGGGCTCCGAAATAGCCGACTTACGAGCACAACGGTTCCACTCCCATCAGCACGCATCAAAAGACGGCGCTTGGCGCCCTCCTTGGCACGCTTGAGCTTGAATTGACCCAATCCGACGACTTTGAATGCGCCATCCACAAGCTCGTGAAGACGGCCACGCTGCTCGGCAACGGTCTCCTCATCCTCCTCACCGGCTCCACTGCCTTCGGCAAGGTTCTTGGACTGTGTGTACTCTTCATACTCGTTGGCGGCCCGGACGTCTTCGGCAGGGGTAGCGGTACCCGAGGTGAAGGCAGACACAACTCCAGAAGTAGCGCCCGATGCTGAGACATGCGGCTCAAACGAAGCAAAGGTCGGCGGCGGTGCGGGGGCTCCGAACTCGCTGCCAGGCCATGTGGTTGGCTTGGCCGCAAGCTTATCGGTCGCGGGCGGAACAGTGGCACCAAACGTGAAAGCAGACTTGGCGGCCGGGGCGGTCGGGGCACCAAACGCCAGCCCAGTTTTCGAGGTTGACTCTGCTGCCTCGGGGGGAGCAGTAAACGAGAAGGGAGCCTTCGGGGCGGCCTGGGACGTGACAGCGGCAGTAGACGAAGACGGGCCAAAGGAGAAACTGCTTGAACTGTGGCCAAGAGCAAACCCAGAGCCCGAGAGGCTGGCAAACGACTTGGAGGCAGTCCCAAAGCCAAGCTGAGGGGTGCTCCCACCAGGACCAAACTTGCCAAGCTGAGCGGGCGTGGAGGCAGGCGAAGTCGTCGCCGCGGAGGGACTGAAAGTCTTGCTCTCGGGTGTCGTGGCGTGCAGAGGACCCGAGGAGGCGAAGGCGAAGAGTGAAGAGGTCTTGGCCGGAGTGGCAACGATCGGTTTGGCTGCGGGTTCGGGAGCCTTGGCTGGGGGCGCATCCTGCTTGTCCAGCACCTCACCAACAATGTCGTTGACAATGTTGCGCTTCGGCGCCGCAGCGGCCGGAGTGAAAGCAGGGGCAGTGACTGCGGTCTTCGGCGCAGTCGACGTCGATGCATTGCCAAAAGTGAATCCACCAAAAGGAGGTGCAGGTGCAGACGCAGACGCAGACACAGGGGTAGGAGCGGCAGCGGCAGGAGTAGGAGCAGGCGCAGGAGCGGCGTTACCGTTGGTCTTGGGGGCCTCGACAGCCTTGGGTGGCTGCCACCCGGCCTTGTTGGCAGCGTCACGGAGGTGGTCCGTGTACTGCGCCAAAACGGCCGGAAGGACGGTGGTGAGGTCGAGGAACTCGTTGGCGTTCAGCGACTGGGACAGAAGCGACAAGAACGAGGCGTTCAAGCCACGGAGGGAGGTGTAGTAGGCGACCTCTCCCTCGTCGGGAGGAGTAGCCTGCGAAGGGCCGGGACCCGACGACGAACGTGAGGCCGATGCAACAGGAGCAGCGGGAGCTGGCAGGCGAACGTTGGAAGTCGAGGCGATGGAGGGGCCAGTCGTGGGAGCAGTAGCAGCAGCGCTGAAACCTCCAGTCACGGGCGGCTTGGGGGCACCAAAGGCGAAGCCACCAGCAGGAGGGTTGGGAAGAGTTGCTTTGGGAGCACCAAAGGCGAAGCCACCCGCAGGAGGGGTAGGAAGTGTTGCCTTGGGAGCAGAAGACGCAGCAGGAGTAGCTCCAGGCCTGTCAGCCTCGCAGATGCTGCACTTTTCGGTCGCCGTGGCCGGGTTGTTCAGCATGCAGGTGCCACAGACCCAATCAGGGCCAGCAACGGCAGCTTTGGGGGCGACGGGCTGTGCGCTAAAGGATCCAAAGGAGAAGCCACCAAATGCAGCCTTGGGTGCCGCCGGTGTGGCAGCAGGAGCAGCTGGTGTAGCAGCTGCCTTTGTGCCGACGGAGGAGAGCGAAGAGAAACCCGAGCCGGCAGCAGGAGCAGCAACAGGAGCAGCTGGCGTTTTGCCAAACGAGAACCCGCCGAAAGCCGAGGTGGCAGCGGCCGGCGCTGCGCTCGAGCTCGATGCAGAAGCAAAAGGCAAACTCGAGGGGGCAGCGGGAGGAGCGCCAAAGCTGGGAACCGGAGCGACCTGTGACGTGTTAGAACATGACCAGGGGAGCAACGACAACGACAACAACTCACCACTTCTCCTCCACCACGCTTCTTTGGCAGGCCACGGATCCTGAAAGTGTGAGCAAGCTGTTCCAACCGTCATGATAGAGTTCTCTCACTGTCTCCCGGCCACAGGGGCTAACGCAGCCTCGCGGGTTCCAGGCTAATGTTGTCGTCAGCTTTGTGTATACCAATAAACACAACGGATGCCCTCACGTCGTCCTCGCCGTCGCTGCGGGGGTCCCTGTCGTCCTCATCCTTTGAAATTTGCTTGTCGGCTCCACGCTTACCCATCTTCGCGATATGTGTTGACGAGACGGAGCGGATGGAGCAAGAGATGTGAGCTGGAGGGGGCAAAAGGAAGGAGGGGTGTGTGTGATGGAATTGGGTGGGTTGACTCACTCACACCGCGCGAGCTGCTGAAAGAAGGAAATCGGTGGTCATGCAAAACCCACGCGACTTTGCTCCCGCCGCGCGCCCCCTGTCTGCCATATGAACGTTACGCGCCCGGAATGATGGCAGTGACGACAGCGACAAGAGGACGCATTGCATGCGCCAGGTGAATCATCCACATCCCACTTGTGAATTTGTCCTCCCACCCATTTCTTCTCAACCCACAGAGAGTTGACGACACGCCGGGTAGACAGTTTGTCTTTCCCAGGATTCCATCTGCTGTCTGGTCGACCCTTCCCAGTGCTTGGAACCTTGTCTCCCCAGCACCGCCCTCCCTTTGCCGCCCTCTCCCACCCTCATCTCCCCCTCCTCCATCGCACGCCCGTACAGCTCGTCGGTGACGCGTCGCGCCCTCCTGCTAAAACCACACCGACTATTAGACATGGTAGAAAACCTCATGGACGACGACGGGACTGCCACCACCAGCCAGCAGTCCAGCCCGGTGCTGGTCCCAGAGTCATCAATGTCTCCAGACACGGCTCACGCTCACAAGCGGTCGTTGCCACCCCCTGCCGGTCCTCGCAGTCCACGCCGCAGAGGCTCGAGCCACACTCGGTTCAACCTTTCACCTACCATTATCGGTAGCGACACTGTGGCCCCACCGTCTGGCTCCTCGACGCTCCAAAGCGACGTTGCACAGCTCATGAGCTTCCCGGTGGATGCGGCAACCAACGTCAACGTCGTGCCCGTTGCGACACCAAGGACGGACATGGAGGTTCTCCCCGAGTACGAGTATCGATCGCCCGAGGCGGTGGTGGAGCACATTGAGGAGCCGTCCAGATCGACGCTTCCCCCTGGCGTGCTCGCCGAGCACTTTGCCGACGACGACGACCTCCGTCCGCTCTGGAACCGCAGTGGTTACAAACGCAACACGTCACCTCAAGACCCGTCCACTCTGATGGACCTTGACTTTCCCGCTTCCTTCTCCGATGGCCCCATCGCCCTCCCCACCGACGTCCCAGATCGCCCCCAGATTGGACCTGGTGTCATGCCCAAGCGGTGGCTCGAGAACCTCCACCCACACAAGCTGTGGCAACCATTCATCAACGAGCTTCCTCGCCCTCACGTGGGAAAGACTCCGCCATCGCGCTCCTCGTCACTTGCAGTCGGTCCTGACGATCCTCCAGTGCCAGCTCCCACTGAGCCGGTTCTGGAATCGGAACCTCTCACCCTCGACGAGGTGTGGGCCGCTCTGCCTGGTGGACTTGAACACCACAGTGACTGGTACTTTTGCCCCGACTGCTGGGGATGGTTCCACATTGTGGTCGGCGACGGCAAGCCTCCTATTGCCACCATGGACGAGTGGGAGGCCAAGACCAAGGACACGTTTGACACCCCGGACGACTTTGTCAAGGCCCACACGGAACGCATGCGTTTGACGACCCGGCTGTCGGACATTGACCAGTCGCGCGTACGCGCACTCCAGAGCCAACTTCACCTGCACGAATTCCCCGGGTTGATTGAACCCACTACCGAGACGCGCATTGAACGAATCGAAGTCGAAGGCCACACTGGCTTTCCTCCCCTAGACCCCAACGCATATGGCCAACCCCCGCCAGAGTTGACTGAATACGCCAAACCAACTCAAGATGGCACCATGCTCTATGTGAGCTGCGCTTCAGATGTTTGGGTCGCTGTCGACAAGGGCCCGATTCCTGGTCAGCTCCCGCCTGGTCTTGTGAAGCGGTTCACCCACGAGAAGGTGGAAAACCCAAACGTCGGCATGACTGGCACACAGAGTGTCACAGAAGCCTGGAACCTGGTGGTCACGTAAGTCGAAACAACCAGAAGGATCCATTTCTGACACAGCAGCCTGATCCAGAACCCTCTGTTCCGCGGCAAGAGAGGGTGGGTCAAGATGGAGAACCAGACTTTCCGCAACAAGATTGGTGCCTCTCTGCACTCGTGAGTCCTCATTCACTGCCGCGACACTGACACTCTCAAAGGTCACATCTCCTGTATCAGATGGGCTTTGGCTGCCGCGAGGAGCCTGAAGGATACCGTGTTGGCCCATTCACGAAGGGCGACGTGATTAGCGACGCCGATGTAGAGCAGATGGACAGGTACCTTGTTCGCACCTGGATCGAGGTTTGCCTCTTCCTGGAGAGCTATCGCCTTGAAAACCGTGAGCATGGACGTGTATACGTAGCGTCGCTAACCATCCTAGGTCTCCCGCCCGTCGCCAGCGAGTTTGTACACGCAAAGACTTTTGGCGCGATTGTCGACGACAGGTTGCAGTTGTCAAAGATCCCAGAATGTAAGTTTGGGAATCTCTGGTTGCGGCTGACCGGGAGTGAGCATTCCTTTCGAGGTCAACACCTTCAAGAAGGACCTGGCTCGACTGGGTGTCATGTGCCGTGACACGGTACGCACTGTGGAAGAGGCATACGACATGCAGGTGTCTTGCGACCACAAGAACACTGCCGTCTATCTCGGCTCGCTGGAAAAGCTCGCCCGCGCGCATGTTCCTGGAAACGAGCAGCTCCAGATCAAGGTCGCCACTGAGCGCTCGCTTGACCGCTACACGGAGGAGGATATCCAAACTGCGTACGCTCGCATCGGTCTCACGGCCGAATACGTCTCATCGGTGATGATCGAGCTCGACGACTTTCCGTCTGATCAGATCCTCAAGATGCACCGTGAAGAGATGGACAGGGCGTCGGATCCCACCTCGCGCTCAGACGTCAGCCGCGCGCTTGTCATTATCGGCAAAGAGCGTGGAGACCAGCAAATGATCACGTTGGGTCGCACGAACGGTGTCTATCTGTCTCTCGACCAGGCGTACACCGAGTTCAACCTCTCCCGTGATTCGAACATTGATGACGAGATGCTGATTCTGTGAGTGGAATTCTTGCGACCCATTTGCTGATTTCTGCCAGTCAATACGAGACCTGGATCTCTGACCGTCCATCACGTCACGACCACTACCGCATGGCACTCTCGATCATTGCCAATGCCGAGGGAGAGGAGCGTCCTGTCCTTCAGGCCTTCCTGCAAGGCAAGGACATTTCAGAGCTGCAGCCACCAGCTCGCCGAGACCTTCCGGCTGGTCTTAGGAACATTGGAAACACGTGTTACCTTAACTCGGTCCTCCAGTTCCTCTACGCCATCAAGCCAGTCCGTGACGCTGTCATTTCGTTTGACGCCACCGAGGCCGAGCCTCCCAGCGCCGACGAGACGGAGAAGGAGATGGAGAAGCGCGTCAAGGTCCAGTCCTCCCAGCGATGTGAGTTTAGCTATTCCAGCCGCCTGTTAGCTAACAGTCCCAGTTGTCAAGCTTCTTGGTGAACTGTTCAGCGACATGTACTCGACCAGCAGCAGCGCCGTCGTGCCCCGCGAGGAGCTTGCCCGACTGGCGATTCTCCCCATCGATGTCATTAGCGAGCGCAGGGACGCCATTCCTGTGCCCAAGAGCCGTGTGACCATTGACTCACTTCCCATCATCCTGTCGCCAGACACGTCCGTCACGTCGTCGGGTGTGGCCACTGCAGCAAACTCTGGTCCTCCTAGCCCTCTCTCCTCGCCTCCGCCATTCCCTCCCGTCGAACCATCAGAGGAACCCATTTCGCCCATTTCGCCCAAACGGCCCTCCATACTCGGAAAGCGCGCTAGCCAGGACCGCGACTCTGCGTTTGGAGGCTCTGAGGAGCGTCTTCGTCGCTTGACCGACACCGAGGACCTTATTGAGCTCGACTCCGAGTCGACTACCCCGCAGCGCAGCAACACGGATGTAGACATGGACCCGCCGACGCGCGAGGACAGCGAGGTTCCTTCAGCGGTCGACCTGTCGCAATTGGAGCTCGCCTCGCCATTGACCGAGGGCCCCAAGCCCTTGGTCGACACGGGCATTGCCACCCCAGGTCCCACGCCCGAGCCTGCCCAGAAGCCTGCTGGCCCTCCCCCTCCTCTTCCCCCTCGCCGCCGCTCCATGGCGCTGGTTGCGGCGGAGAAGTTTGGTCTGCAGCAGGACGCTGCCGAGATCCTCATCAACGTCCTCGCCCAGCTCGAGTGTGCCTTTGAGGTCCCGCCCATTGACGGCCGCCCACAGCCCAACCTCATTTCCAATCTGTTCTCGGCCAAGTTCCAGCAGCAGATGCTACTCGAGTCGGCTGACGGAGGCGTCGAGACGCACGCACCGGTCGAGTCGGTCTTTGTCCACCCCATCATTGGTGTGGAGGAGGACGGCAAGGACCTGTACGACTGTCTCGCCGAGCTGTACCTGGGTGGTGCGGAGATTGAGTATGCTGGCCAGAAGGGATTCAAGATGGACCTGATCAACGAGCTGCCGCCAATGCTCTACATTCAGATGAGGGTGAGTTGCATAACGGGTAATGATACTAACTCTCAGCGTTCGCAGTACGACCCCGTCAAGCGGAGCCAGACCAAGACCAACACACACGTGCCGTTTGACCGCACGCTCTCCATGGACCGCTTCCTTGCGAGTGCAGATGCGGCCAAGCGCGAGCGCTCCATCAAGCTCACCCGCGATATGATGCGCATGCGCGCGAAGCGCCACGAGCTTAAGAACCACAAGCCAATGTCCATCCCTGACACGTACCGCTTTGTCCGTGACGCACTCATCTCGGACTCTACGATGAAGGCCCTCAGCTCGCCAGAACAGGCCGACGAGATGAGCTACCTCGCCAGTGACCTGTCTCCGGACTTGTTCGAGGCCCTGGCCAACGAGGCCACGGACATTGAGCACGAGATTGCCTCGCTTGATGAGAGCCTGCCTGCCGTCAAGACTGAACTCGAGGCTCTGTGGGCCGACTCGTCCAACGTCGAGTACGAGCTCGTCTCGGTGTTTGTTCACGGCGGTACCGGCACCGGAGGCCATTACTGGACCTACCAGGCCGACCTGCCTCGTGATGGTGAGTTGAAATAAACACCACATTCCCTTCTAACTCTCAGGCAACAAGTTCTTTTACTACTCGGACGAAAAAGTCAAGGACGTGCCGGCCACAGACGTGTTCAGCGACAAGGCCGCACAGGGCGTGAGCCCGGCGCTGCTGTGCTATGTGCGCAAGGACTGCAGCGTGGTGGATACCCTGCATCGCGCAGAAGAGCAAGAGGCCGTGGACTCGTCAGCGTTCGACACGGGAGTTGCGTCACCAGCGGACGATACCCAGGTGACGGTGCTGCCTGCGAGCGAGGCGATGGACACGCAAGGGTGGTAGATAGCATATGCATATAGGTAGCTTTGTACAAGATCGAGCTGGTAGTGGACAGCTGCTGGTGGGTGTGAAACACCAACTGGGCGTTGGTGTTCAAATGTCTGTGATGGTCGAGGCATGCGGAGGACCTCCACTTTCCTAACCTTCAAGCTGCGGCAGGGGCCTGGTGGTGTACAACTCAAATAAACGTTAAACATGGCATCATGTCCTGCTGTTTGTCTCGCAGCTTCCAACCCTTGTACGCAGCTAGGTGTGGTATGGAGTACCATTTCGTGTCTGTGCCACCTCGGCCACCTCCCTGTCCGCGGTCGCTGTTTGCATTGTCTGGCCCCTGTTATGGAACCACCAGTTCGTCTATTAAATGCAGTCCTTGGCACGCCTGGGGGCGTATACCCTGGGCCTGTCGGTGGAATCCTATATCCTTGGATCCTTGGACGGTCGTGCGCGCTCGACGATCACAAGGGATGCCGCAGCACGGCGCCGTAAGTGGCGCCGCGTCCACAATTGATACGCGGGGTCTTTTACCAGTTGTTGGACGCGTCAAGAAGGGGGGGGGAGTGGAGCATTCGCGTCTTTCTTTTCATCCTTTTTGCATTCCACACAGGGGTGGACAGTACAGACGTCACCGACTATGCTTTTCTATTGGCGCGACTGCAAGGGGTTGTTTGTATGCTGCGACTGCGAGAAATCCACAGCGTCGTCGGTGAGACCGTACCCAAACCTGCTCGACTGACACGGACTCGTTCTTGTTTCCTCTTGTACCTCTGCCTCTCTCTCTCTCCAGACCATAACATCCAAACGGGTACGCATGGCGACATGCTGCCTCTCACGCTCCTTACAACACTCGTTTACATCCTCGCCACGGCCACGCCGGCCGACGCGTGGCGGCCCCAGTTCTTGGACCCACGGACCCCGCCGCCCGTAGCTGTCGTCCGCGGCGCGCGTGCCCGCCCCACTCCCCAAGTCCCCGCCGCACCGCGCGATGTACACAGTGGTTGGGGCAAGCGTGTCCACAACAAGAACAAGAACGGCCGCCAGGTCTGTCGTGTGCGCGACACGGGCGCGACCGTGACGATCTATCGCGGAAAAAACGCATCCCACCACTTCCGCGAGGCACACCACTGCTGCTGGGGCTGGTGGTTCGGGGAATAACGGTGGCGCCGTGGCCACATCCAAGGTGAGTTGGGAGTCTGTAGTGGCCGTAGTGGGTCTGACCTCGCATAGGTGACCAGTGCGTCCGCTGTGACGACTCCAGACTCGGGCAGTGGGTCGAATACTGGTGGCAACTCGAACTCGGGTGGCAATTCAAACTCGGGCGGCAACTCGAACGGGGGTGGCAGCTCGAACTCTGGTGGCAGTTCGAACTCTGGCGGCCAGAACAGTTCTGGCAACTCTGGCAACTCTGGCAACTCAGGATCAGGATCAGGAGGCAGCAAACACAGTTCTCTGGTCCAACCTACTACATCTGCCACGCCTACCACCCACCGCGTTTCGGTCGGTCCCGTTGTTACCAGCAGCCCGCCAACGACGTCTGTGGACCAGAATGGCGCGGTGTCCCCGGCCTTGCCCGACCCCCCTTCGTCCAGCTCGCCAATTGTGACCACGTCAAACCCGGCCAGTAGCAATGTCGTTGCGAGCTCTACTTCATCGTCGTCGCCGCCAGACTCGTCCTCTGCGCAGCCCTCCGACGCCTCGTCGTCGCCGGGGTCCACCACTGATGTGCCGACGACCAGTGGTTCGTCGGCGGAACCAGCTAGCAGCAGTTCCCCGTCAAGCAATGAGCCTTCGTCCGTGGCTCCCACTCAGGAGCCAACGGGCTCGCCCACGACCGAGGTCATCAGCTCGGAACCCGTGAGCACCGACTCTCCTACCAGTACCCTATCGGCAAACAGCCCTACTTCCACAGAGGGACCTACGAGCGACGTTCGGTCGTCGACAGAGGTACCCAGTACCTCCGATGTGGCGCAGACGTCGAGCTCCACGAGCGACATGGGGTCAAGCTCTGTTCGGGAGCCAACCAGTACCGAACCAGCTACGAGCGAGACCGTTTCAAGCACCACCCAGGAGCCTACAAGCACCGAACCAGCCACGACCGAGACTGTGTTGAGCGCAACTGAGGAACCCACCAGCACTCAACCAGCCACGACCGAGCCTGCGTCGAGCACCACCCAGGAGCCAACCACCACCGAACCTGTCACCAGCGAGCCTGCGTCAAGCACCGTCCAGGAGTCAACCACCACCGAGCCGACGACCAGTGCCTCGCCATCCGAGCCGAGCACCTCGGAAGTGCTGAGCACTACAGCCTCTGAGACAGAATCAACGACGACAGTCGACCCCACATCCACTGCGTCTGTTAGCGAGCCTGCTACCGCTGAGGAGCCCACCTCTACCAGCGTCTCAACGGAAGAGCCTGCGTCGACTGCCTCCCAGACAGAGCAGGTCAGCACTGAAGAGCCTACCGCCACTATCTCCCAGACTGAGTCTGTCACGAGCCAAGAGCCAACCTCAACGGTCTCCCAGACTGAGCCTGTCTCCACTGAGGAGCCCACCTCCACGGTCTCCCAGAGTGATTCTATCACATCCGAAGAGCCTACCTCGACTGTGGGGTCCGAGCCCTCGTCAACTGTATCGCAGACTGAGTCTCTCACGACTGAAGAGCCAACCTCGACTGCCACGCAGACAGAGACGGCCACAAGCGAGGAACCAACGTCGACGGTCTCCCAGAGCCAGTCCATCACGACCGAAGAGCCCACATCGACTGTCCAGACCGAGACTGCTTTGACGAGCGACGAGCCCACCTCTACTGTTGTCTCAACCGCAGAACCCACCTCTACCATCGTCTCAACTGAGGAGCCCACCTCTACCGGTGTCTCGACGGAGGAACCCACATCGACTGCCTCTCCGACCGAGTCCATCACAACTGAGGAGCCTGCCTCGACTGTCCAGACCGAGTACACGAGCGAGGGCCCCACCTCTACAGTTGCCTCAACTGAGGAACCCACATCGACGGTTTCGCAGACTGAGACTATCACCACTCAGGAGCCTACCTCGACGACTGACGAGCCCACGTCGACTACCTCGCAGACTGAGTCCATCACAACTGAGGAGCCGACCTCCACTGTGGCCACTGAAGAGCCTACATCTACCATGGAGCCGACCTCAGCTGCGACTGAAGAGCCAACCTCGACTCTCGCCACTGAAGAACCGACATCGACAACTCAGGAGCCTACAACGGCCACTGAAGAGCCTACATCGACTGCCTCGCAGACTGACTCTATCACGACTGAGGAGCCAACCTCGACTGTCATCACTGGGGAGCCAACCTCGACTGTCATCACTGAGGAGCCTACCTCGACAACTGAGGAGCCCACGTCGACAACTGAGGAGCCCACATCAACCTTCACCACTGAGGAGCTAACCTCGACTTTCAGCACGGAGGAACCTACATCGACCTTCATCTCTGAGGAGCCTACATCGACCACTGAGGAGCCTACATCGACAACTGCTGAGCCGACGTCAACGACTGAAGAGCCCACATCGACCTTGACCACAGAGGAGCCCACGTCTACAACTGAGGAGCCTACCTCGACCATGGAGCCTACAGCGACGACTGGGGAGCCTACATCAACAACTGAGGAGCCTACATCGACTACTGAGTCTATTACAACTGAGGAACCCACATCAACTTTCACCACTGAGGAACCCACATCGACTTTCACCACCGAGGAACCCACATCGACTTTCACCACTGAGGAACCCACGTCGACTTTCACGACTGAGGAGCCCACATCGACTTTCACCACTGAGGAGCCTACGTCCACCACTGAAGAGCCTACATCGACGAGCTCGGCGGCCCCATCAGAGTCGACGGGTGTCGACGACGATGGCGAGTGGGACTGTCCCGGCGACGAGGACTGGACTGCGGCAGCCACGAGCTCGGCAGCGGCCAGTGTCTCGAGCGCGGGCACTAGCACGAGCACCGCGAGCGCCGTCGCCTCGTCTGCATGAGTACATAAGTGGCGTTTGGCGTCTGTTCTTTTTCTTTATCTACTTGGAACAATAGGAGTTTATGCAACTTGTCTGTGAAACGATGGAACGAGACGTCTGCCCTGCTGTACAGTTCGAAAAGGAAATGCTGATTAAACACACCACGTTAGCGTAAAACAACAGAGGCCGCCACTGTGACACCTGCGACTCGCCACAGTCCGGTTCACGGCGGCCGACGCGCATGTGCAACTCAACTCGCGCTGACTCATTGTCTCCACCCTCCAACCGACCCCGCTTCGCTTCGCTTCGGTGACCTCTCCCCTCTGCACCCTTCGTGTGAGCTCCTCCGCCCGACGTCCGCAACGACGCACTCCCATGTCAATCTCCGATTCGCAGTTCGTACGCCGCCCGGAATTTCGGTGGCTATGTAAGTACAGATATATAATTTTTTTGGTCAATCTGCCCCTATTACGAAATGTATGCGAAAGCTGGGTTAGACGCAGGTGGATCGAGGGGTACGGGGTGGGGTGGGGTGGGATGGGGTGGGTGGGTGCTGCCGTACACGGCTAGAATTATGGTTCACTATGCACGACGACGCGTCGTCTGGTCGATCTTATTACGCCTGCGCGTCGCTTTTAACGCGCTGGGCTGTGCCGGCGAGGCGCAGTCGCCGCTCGTCCCCCCCCCCCTCGCATAGAGCGTGTACGAGTATGAGGGTGCATGTGGGGCCGCGCCAGTGTGCCCATGGCCCCATGTGGGTGCAGAGAACTTGACATTGCGAGGACACTGAGTGAGTGCCTTTGGTCGCAGCATGGCCCCGTGTGCGCGTGTTGCTGAAGGTGTTGCAATCGTGCCCATGCCCACTTGTGGGTGGCCGGTCGGAGGTCTTTTTCTTTTCTTTTTGTGGGTTTACACACGCAACGCAATACTAAACATGGACTCTTCCTCAGCGCGCGTAAAACTGTGGCTGGCTGGTCTGCTCTGAAGGAATAAAAAAATAAAAATAAATCATGCCGTCCATGCCGTCTGCTGTGGACGACACCTGCATCAAAGTCAAACCTAGACACACGCCCGAAAAGTAAGAGGAACCACATGAGAATAGTCTTGGTGACGAGAGAGCCGGAGTCGTATACGGCTGGGAATGCAGGAACAAGGTTGGTCGTCGGTCGTCGGTCATCGGTCGTCGGCCTTTGCGAATCCGACAAGTCTGACCCCGTGGTATTAACCCCCGTGTTTGTTTTCGATGGCTGAGAGAGAGAGGCGAACTGTGTCGACGTGGGCCAAGAACAATCAAATTAAATCAAACAAACTCGATTTCGATCCGGCCGCCGTCGCGGTGTTTGGTCTGCCCAGGCCGACAGTAGCCGGTTCTCACGAGACTAGTGTTGCACATCTGGAAGCGACGCAAAGTGTAAATCATGTATTCTGCTCTGGGCGCTGTCAACAGATGACCGCTGGGACGTAAACATGCGTCATGCGCTCCACGAAAATGCAAACAATGTCAACTATGAGCCACACACCAACACAGAGTTGGTCGTGCGACCTACAGTATGTACACCCGCGGCGTCGCCGAGGCCGGAACGTCAGCCACACTCCCACAACGGCATACGCATATGCTTATGCGCCGCGCCTCGCGACGGCTGTGCCCCCAACACTGGCCATGGCGTACAGCAGAACTGTACTCGCTCGGCAGCGCAGTGCTCACGCGCACCTGCACGACAAACCATCTACCGAGGCTCAGCTAGGCCCGTTGCCAAGCTGCAAAGCGCCAACCAAATTATCAGAAACGCGTTGTCATGCAAACACACGCCCCTGTACTCTGCACGCCAACAAGATTGGGGTCAGCGGTACCAGACGGTTGGGCCCAGCACCAAGAACCTTGTTTTTCAAGAACCGTCAAACACCACCACCCCCCCTACTCCCCCAGACACCGGGGCGCGGGGGTGAGTGAGGTCGGTATGGTCTGGACCGTCCATGTCTGTCTGGCATTCGAGAACAAGGCGCGCCACAAATGTTCATCCCCGCCCCCCCTGGCTCCTAGTTGCGTTTACGCTATGTACCTCACTCTACCTGCGCGGGCTGCGCTGCGCATTTTTCTGCGCATCTAGATTTCTCCTGGCCCTTGCTCCAGCCCTTCTATTGTAGTCTGTCCCAGGGGGTGCACGTCCTGCGCCAAAGGACATGTATCCCGGCCCTTTGCGCTCGTTGTTCGGCGTCGGTGGAGTAGAGTGCAGTCGGTAGTCAAGGACGGTACTGTACTGTACTGTACAGAACACAGCAACAGGACATTCCGTAGACGCCGCCGCAATGTCAGGCGTCTCAGGTATCAGGTAATCAGGAGCAGGTAATCAGGAGCCAGGTATCAGGTGTCAATGTACCAACGTCGCCGCACCATTGTCGACGTCGGTGTCGGCACCACGCTCGGCAGTTGCCGGAGAGCGGGCAGCGCCGACCCGGGTCTGTACAGTACATGATCTTGCCAGGAAGCACGATCTCGCCCACCCAGCACGATCTTGCCCACGCACGGTCTCAGTTGCCGGACACCCAAGCAACCAAGCGACGCCTGCCTGCCTGCCATGTCGCGCGCGCGACCGACGCATGTTCGTGCGCGTTATTCGCCGCCCTATTCGGAGACTTTTACCTGAAATGGCAAGCCATTTCCCAGCCCAGCGCCCAAAACGCGCCTCTCCATTTTTGTATTTTTCGCCACCAAAACCTCGTGGAACGCCACAGGCCCATGACATGTAGATCGCAGACGGAGGGGAGGGGTCATTGCGCGAGAGGGAGGGAGAGCTTGAGAGGGAGCTTGAGAGCGAGAGCTGGAGCGAGCAGAGGCGTTATTTAGCGAGATTCATGTCAAAACCTTGCCCAGACTGAAACCTTTACGGCGCACCAGAACGAGAAAAACGAGCGAGGGGCATTCCCCCTACGTGGGCCACGTACGAGAAAGGGGTACTGTACATTGGCATGGGCGCTAGCCAGCGGTGCGCCACATATCTGTACTATTTGAACTCATTTTTCTTGTCGTACACGGAGAGTTGCGCGGGGAGGCGGCACGGCGGGGGCACGGACGTTGCGTCCCGCCGCGCCGGCGCCCACTCCCCCGACCGACTCCCACTCCCACTCTTCGACTCCCACTGCCCAATTCTCGGTGGCGCGCTAAAAAGGTAATGACGAACCTTGGTCGGCTCTCGAAACATTAATCCATTCACGCCATGCGCGACGTGTTTTTCCTGAATTGCAGAGAGGGCGGCCAACACCCAAAAAAAGAGACGTCAGGGAGGAGAGCCCGAGGCGGTGAGGGAGAGCTCGCGCTCGTAAATCCCACTCCACAGAGAGCCCATTCCAAAACGAGGCGTCACAACCCCGAATATGTACGTCAAGAGCCCGACATAACTTGTCGTGAGAGGCCCGGCTACTCATTGATCATTGTCCGTTGTGGAGACGCGACGCAGCCTGCTGTCTCGGTCTCGGGCCTAGTGGCGTGATACGCGTATGGAATTTGGACAATCGAGATTCCTTGTATCGTCGCCTGCGGGGCATGCCTCTTGGCCTCTGTCTGGCCTCTGGCCTCTTGGTTTCCGCTTGGCTCCTCGGCTGGCTGTCGCTACTGGCTTTCTTGTCGCTCGGGTCGCTTCGTCCCCAACAGCCGCCGCCAAACGCACGCAGTGCATGTCCGCGTACCCATCCGCATGCTACAGCATCCATCTCCGCCCCGCCCCCTCCGCGGGGGTTGACAGAAAGCGAGCGCGGCCTTTGGGTTTCAATGTCGGGGCTGTCCGCGCCCACCTCTTTTTGCCACACCCCGGTTCGGCTGGCGGCTGGCGGCACGGCGGCCTCACGGCCGGTCTCTCGCGAGACCGAGAGCAAGAGCAAGAGCAAGAGAGATCGTGAACGAGAGAGTGCACATGCACCCCTCCTCTCCCCTAATTACTGCAGACGAGGGCCGCCCGACACCCGACAGTTCCCACGCTCTGGTACATTTCGTAGCCGCTGCCGTCTGCGACGGCATGTCGGAGAGCAGGTCACGGATCCACGGACGTGGCCATGTTGCATGTAACGAGCACGGCGCAGTGCATGGACGGCGCGAGAACGGCGCCAGAGCGGGTGTGTGTCGGCTTTGCGGAGTGTCGCGCATTGCGATATGGGATGAGCCACTTTTGACCTCGGAACCTGGGCACCTGGGCACCGACCTGACCTGACCTGGGCACGCAATGAGGGCGGCGGGCAGCGCGGGACGGGTCCGCGGCGGGTTCTCCCGTGACTAGGATCAACGATCAGTGGCCAGTGGCAGTCAGGCTCTGCTGGAACGCGACCTCATTAACCTTGAGTCTCACCGACAGTGGCTGTGGGCCAGTGCGCCAGTGCGCCAGTGCCTCGCATTGAGCATGAGTATGGCATCTGCAGGCGATCTGGGCGATCTGGGCGCGGCGTTGACGTTGATGAACAGGCGATCTTGGTTCAGTTATCAATCAGTATTTGCGGGCTAAGTCTGTTGGGATTCCTCCATCTTTTGAAACGGGTGGAGCGAGGTGGAGCAGTCGCGACGAGCTAGCCTAGCAGGGTCCTGTACCCAGTACACCCAACCCTCGTACCCCCTGCTCACCAGCCAGTGGGTCAGTAGGCCAGTGGGGCAGTGACGAGCCACTAGAAAAATACAGTTTGGGTGTGTTGCCGATGGGCGCGTGACGCTGCTCTGCCCGCGTTTAGTGTCCAGCGGCCAGCGGCCGGCGCGCTGGCGGCTCGTCGAGATGGTTTGGGAAATGGCTCCACAACACCGCGGTTCTTGTCGCCGCCGCCTAAAGGGCTAATGACGGGCTTCCCACGGTGACAGACTGGCAGTAGTGTACGCAAGTGCTGGCCAAGGAACAGGCCGAACAGGCCCATGGGCCATAGGCAGGGGAAAAATGTCATTTTTGGTGTCCCTCTCGGCCATTATGTACAAGGGTCCAGAGGTCAATTTCCTCCTCTGCATTACGACAGGCCTCGACCGGGGTATAGGGCGAGAGGGCGAGAGGGTGAGAGGACAGAGGGCTCAGGATCATCTAGGATTCTAGTGCGTGCGCACTCGCGTTTGCTTTTCTTCAGCATTTTTTTTCTGAAAATAATGCAGCGGTGGGCAGCGGGGCAGATGGACAGCGCGCGCCGTATAGGGGTGTGTGATTCAAAGGGCGATCCCTACGACGCTCGTCCGCCGCAACAGGCCCCCGCTGGTGCACGCCACCTTGATGTCCCATGTCCCACGACCAGTCACATGTCCGGGGGTGGCTGCACCGGTTCACGAGGATATGAATCCCAGCTGACGCTGGTGGCGAGGACGTGAGAGATCGGAGAGGTCTGGGGGGGCTGGGGCTGGCGAAAGCGACAGCAAGCGTCCACTGACGACGACTCTATTGTGGGCAGGCAAGCGGAAGCCTCGAGGCCCACGACAGCCGCGCGCGGCGAGGACAAGAGAGACAAGAGCGAGGCCACAGATTACGCGCGGGTGGGCCAGGGCCTAAAGTAGGTGTAACGCTTCTTTTACCATGTAGAGAGACCCTGTAGATCGTCCCCCCGCCTCACTGACGTCGCGCGTCGTACATTGGTGTGTACATGGTGCGAGGCGGCCACAGAGGCTACCACTGTCTTGTTCCGCTCCTCTGCCACAGCCGAAGTACCTCGGACAATGATGCTGCGCGCGCGTGACGCTGCTGGCCAGCTGGTGGGCTGTATACTCCCCGACGTCGGCGGTGGCCACTGGCCACTGGGGTCACTTGGGTTACTGGCCGAATACCCCGGACAACGTCTTGGTGGCATGGAATAACAGCAGTAGTATGTGTACCTGCTCTACCGACACACCGCTTCTGCTGCGACGACGACGACGACGAAATGCTTTTATCCAGTTCCCAGTTCCAGGAACCTTGAGAGACTCGCCCAACCTTGCTCGTGTTCTTGGGACCAACATGGAGCATGTACTGTACTGTACCAACCATTGTGGTGGTGGCAAACCTCCCGCCGGGAACTCATGACGGGTGGCTGGTGATGGTGATACATGAGGCCGCCGCCGTTGCTGTGTCGACGAGAGCAGTGTGTGTGACCCGGCGGCGGCGGCGTGGTCGCCACAACATTCAATGGTTGTCAATGCAGTTAGCAAAGCGGCGAGTATAGTTGCAAGCCTCACATTGCCTCTGCTTGCTCCAACGCTGTCGCCAGATTGCCAGCTGACGCAGCGGCGTTTGGGACGCACCGCCAGATTGAAATTCCCATTTTACAATTTCAGCGGCGAGAAGAGCGAGTTGTGGGTCCTTTGGGTCCTTTGGTCGTCTTCCTCTGGCCCTCTGGCGCGTCCCAGCGTCAATTTGATCGCCGCCGTCCCCGCGCCCGTCTGTGTGTGTGTCGTCTCCAGCCAGAGCCTTTTTCCACCTTGACGACCAGCGGCCAGCGCGCGTGGGCTGTGGGCTCTGGGCTGATCGGGGCGCGGTCCGCGCAACGCCTCGTCCTCGTCTCTCAGGGCGTCCGTGTGTATGGGGCCAGGCAGACGACGCCGGGGGGGGGGGGGGGGGGGGGGGGGGGGGGGGCAGGGAGAGGGAGGGAGGGAGGACGGAGGCCGCGCGGGAGTATATTTTGGGTGGGTGCGGTGCGCATTCCTCGCGCCTGGAGCCCGCGGCTGCAGCTGCCTGGCTGGAAGGCGTGCCCCGTCGTCGTCCTCTGGCCCATCCCCCCCCGCCCCGGTTCATCCCACTCTCCATCTCCCTCTCTCGTCCTCATCCACATCTCCATCCATCTCCTACAGAGTAAACTGGCAGGCCCATTTCTCTCTCCCATATCCTCCTCCCCCTCCCCCGGTCCCACACTTCATTTAGATAGCATTGCACTCTACCCCTCCCCCCTCCATCCCCCACCCCCCATCCCCCCCTTTTTACGCCAGCTTGACGCCCGCGCGTAGACGTGAACGAACGACCACACCCATAGCCTCTATCCGCTCTGGAACGGACAGGCTCTCATTTCCCATATCGACGCTCACCCCTTCCCCTCCCCACCAGCTCGCCATCTACTACCAAGGCAGGCCCTTTGTCACGCGCACATCCTCCTGCTCGACCTACTGCAAAGGACGACTCTCTTCACTTTGCGAACGAGGAGGAAAAAAAACCTCGACGACCCAAACCCCCTCTGCGCGTAACCACCACCACCCACCCACCCAGCAACCGACGCCCTTTGCTCAAACTCTGGTGTGTGTTAACCGCTCGCCCCTTGTCCTTTGCATACAAGTAGCGTTGGGGACAACCCCACATGCTGACCACCGTCTAGCGCGTCCTCGCACCCTCCTGCCCACACCCCTCGCCCGTGTCTCTTGTTCAACTAACTACCAGCGACACCCGTGTCTTGTGGTGAGCCTTTCCTTTGCGCACGCGCCCCACACACCGCCCGCCCGTATCGGAGCAGCCATTCTGACCACCCACCCAGCGCAAACCTTGTTGAAGACTCGTCTCTGCTTCTGCTGTCCAGACGATCCACATAACGATGTGAGTGCATGCATACAACACCCCTGTTCCTCGCCTTCCAGTGCTGACAATCCGACCCCAGATACACGCCCCCCCCCTCCTCGCCCCTTCGTCCGTCACCTTCCCGTTTCTGACGATTCCAATCCTATTTCGCGGGCCGAAATTGGACGTTTTTTGAAAGACCTTGATTGCTGCGCCACCATGACCGCCCAGATCGCAACTGCCAACTACTACGTGCCAGCACCCGAAGCGCACGAAGAGGTAGACTTCATGACCATGTTCACGAACCAGAACGACGACAACGCTCCCCACCACGACATGTCGTCCCAGCACCAGCAGCACCAGTACGCGATGGCTGCGCCTTCCCTCCCGGCCACCACTGTCCAGCAGCCTCTGCAGGCTTACCACGGAGCCGCCATGTCCGCTGCCACCACCACGGCCACCACCATGCTTCACAACAATGGCCAGTGGATGCAGCACCACATGACGTCTCCTTATCCGGCAATGGACATGTACAACCCTGCGCTCGGACAGCAATTCGTCCCTGCGCAGGTTTCGGCCCCCGTGGCGCAGTACGTTGAACCCGCCGTGGCTCTCCCCAGCAACCGTCCGGCCTCTGCGCCGATGGCCACATCGGCCTTCTCGGCATTCACCCAGGCTGCTGTTTCCACCCCCCCTGCTGCTCCAGCCAGCAGCGACAGTGGCGTCAAGAGCAGTCCGGCCGCTACCGCCACCTCCCCCGTGACTGGCAGCACCGCCTCTCCCACTTCGGGCCGTACCTCGCCTGTGGCGGGCGCGACCGCCGAGGGGATTGTGGCCGCTGCCGCTGCTGCTGCCACCGCCGCTGTGGACGGCAACAACGAGACTCGCCAGGTGCGCCGCAAGCGCAAGCTTACCCCGGAGGACAAGCGCCGCATCTGCGAGATCTACCGCAACAGCCAGGGCAAGATTCGTCAAGAGGACATTGCCAAGGAGTACTCTGTTGACCGGAGTACCATTTCCAAGATTCTCAACCAGGAGGAGCGCTGGCTCGACCCCGAGCAGCCCAACGCTAGCTCTCTTCTCGCTCGTCGCCCAGGTGGCCGCTACCCCGCGATCGAAGAGGAGATGCACCGTTGGCTTGACGACGCCGTCATGCACGGCCGCGAGGTGCGCGACGCCGAGGCCCGTGAGGAGGCACTCAAGATTGGCCTGCGCCTTGGCCACCCCCACTTCCAGGCCTCGTCCAAGTGGTGGGACGGCGTCAAGCGCCGCCGCATCGAAGAGGGCCGTGCCATGCCTACCACGCGCCGCCCTCAGCCCATCGTCATGCCCGGTCTCGTCCGTTCATACTCTGCCATGGCCGTCGACGCCATCCCCCGCCAGGCGTTCCCCGGCGTCGCGGGACCCAGCCAGCACCACTACAGCATGATGGACCACTCCCACATGCTCCCAGCCGGTATGGTTCCCATGCCCATGACCTATGCCGTCCGCGCTCGTTCGCAGTCGTCGCCCCAGGTCATGGCCGGCTACGCCGCGCAGCCGTCGTCGTTTGGTCCTGCTCCCCGCCAGCGCCACTCGCCCGAGCGCCACTCTCCCGTCACCCCGCTGTCACGCAACCGCTCGTACACGGGCTCGGCGGGCTCGCCCAACAGCGCCGGTCGCCCCTCGCCACTCCACCGTGGTGGGTCAAGTCAAGGCCGTCCCTCGCCACACATGCGCTTGGGTGCCTCGGCGTTTGGTCTCACCCCCGTTCGCCACGAGGCCCCCGCCGCTCTGACAATGACCGCGACCGACCTCGCCCCCGCCGCTGAGATTGCCACTCCCACGCACCACGCGGGACCTCCTCCCCCAAGCCTCTCGCCCCTGTCCGTGTCCACGTCCGACGACATCAACACGGCCGCCACTGCAACCCTCAGCCCGTCGACCCCTCTCACTCCCGCCCAGGCGTCGTTTGCAACGATCCCCATGCCCACCGACTGCGTCGACCTCGGCATGCAGCAGTACACAGCGTGCGACCCAAACCACGCCTCGATGGTGTACATGACCCAGCCCATGGTGTGCTACCCGGGCCAGCAGGTCATGCAGCCCGTCTACCCGGGCTACGAGTACGTCCAGCCGCAATGGTAGCCAATACACACGTTTTAGTGCTTGCCCCGCGGTTGTGTGTACCTATATAGTAGCTTTTTTGTGTTTTTTTTTTCATTTCTCCTCGCCACCGCCGCCGCCGCCGCCGCCTCCATCTCCCCTCTCCCTCGAGCATGGTCTGCTGGGAAACGAAACCCCTGCCCCCGCGGAGCTGGTTCTCCGCCGCAGCGATGTCTTTCTAGCCATCATGATCACGTACGTATCACCAGTAGTAACGACCCATCTTTTTTTTCAATGTATGACATGAGTACCTTGTCCCAAAAGGAGCAAAAGAGCAAATGCGGCCCATGGCCCGTTTACGACGTTACGACGGGGCGTAAACACGTTTGGTTGGGCGCATGTGGGTCAGATTGGTGGGGGGCGCATGTGGGTTGTCTAAACACTCGACACACACGACACCCATCGACGCGCGACGCGTCACAAGCCAACCCAAATCCACACAAGCACAAGCACAAGGACAAGACCGAAAGGAAGGAACCGGGCAACGCTACACACCTTCCTTTCTCGTGCGCCGTCTCTCGTTCATCTCTGCGTTTAATTTCGTCGCCAAGGACACACACGTGTGGATGCTATGTGCTGCACCGCCGGGCACCGGGGCGGAGCCCGCTGTCGCTTGCTGCTGCTGCTGCTTTACCGGTGTCTTAATACGCTGCATACGTTGCATACGTTGCATACGTTCCCGACGGCACGTTGCCCCAGAGATGCGTGTTGTGGTGCGTAGTGGGATCAACGGTGCCACAACGCCAGCACACAGGCAGGTAAGGTAGGGTGTGGCAGACGTCGGCGTGTGGCAGCCAGCGAGCGAACTTTTGACCTGGGTCTTTGCCTTTGCCTTTGCCTTTTGCCTTTGCCTTTGGCTGCAGTACGGGCCAACTGTGCGAGCAATGCCTCCTTCCCATGTCCTTCACTCGAGCGGCCCGCGGTGTCCAGGACACTGGAGCACTGGACTGCAGAGATAGCTGGTATAGCTGAGAGATAGCTGACCAGTGTGCCAGTGTTCCAGTGTTCCAGACGGTCCCTCTCTCCCCGTCCCAAACCCCCCCCGGCCCGCATGAAACAGATCCAGAGATGGCAAGGCAAGGGACATGGTGTCTCATCCTCTCCATTCTTTCCCTGCGCACCTGCGAGTGAACGAGTGCACGATCAAAAGACGCGGGCAGAACGGCCGTGTGTCGTCATGAATGGAGCGAACGAGTGCCCTTGACTTTGATATGCGGAACGAGCGCATCCCTCATCCCACCTCATCTAGCGTCTAGCGTCTAGTCTCATGTCTCATGTCGTCTCATGTCGTCTCATGTCGTCGCCTCTCATCTCTCCTCGCCTCGCCTCGTCTCATGTCCACAAATTACAACAAAACCGTTCTCACGCTCGGGCTCGGGGCTGGGGCTCCGACGCTCCGAGGGTGTGCACCGCCGCGCGGGAATGCAAAAGGAGGGGATATTCCATATGGGGAGAGGGGCCGCCGAGGTATGCGTCGTCGCGGCCCGCACTCCGCACCGCGCGACACCGAGGGTCGGTGCGGGACGCGGGCTGGGCTGGGACACGAGGGGTTGGGGTGTTGGGGGTGTTCGGGTTGTTGGCGCGGGGCCCGGTATCCGCTGTCACTTCATGTGGTGTCATGTTGTATCACGTATCATGTATCATGGATGAGGTCGTCATCAGTGATCAGCGATCAGTGATCAGTGAGGCATGTCCGAATCGGGTCCTCCACCTGTACGCAACGCATGGTCTAGCTGGTGCTGGTGCAGGGAGCGTAACTAGCCACCAGTGCGCGCGCCAGTGCATTTCCGTGGGCTCGCACGGGCCTCAAGGCCTCAAGACTACTTGCCGTGTGTCGTCGACGAGGCTGTAATGGTTCCGCCGGCCGCTGGGCGGATGTCGCGCAGTCGGCCGGTCGTCAGCGACACCCAGAACCAGTGTATGTCATCGACACGGCGAGGAGGAGGAGGGGACGCGCCGCTGGCCACTGGCCACTGGCGAAGAGGCCAGAGTCGACTCCAAAGGTCCCAGAGTCCAGACACCGAGCACCGCGCAGCAATTCAGCAAGGACGCGAACAACGTGCACGGAGCAACCTGCGTCGCTTGCAACCGACCTGTCATGTCAATGCCGCAACATTGCGTTCGGTTAGTCGTCAGTCTAAATAGTGGGCTCATACAGTTGTTGCCTCGTTGCCGTGCCGGTGGACGAGTACGTGTGTGCGTGCGTCAACAGACTCGCCTCGTCTGGGCGACTCCCATCGCGTGCCGTTCTCGCGTGTGTACGAGAACGACGGACGGGCATCGCTCTGGCGTTCTCGCGAACTCTTGTGCCGTGTGCCGTGTGCCGTCGGTGGCAGCCTTCTCGCGCGTCACTGTGGGAGGGAGCACAAGAAGGAGGAGGACAAGTGGACCGCTGGCCCGTCTCGAGGCGACCGAGATGGAGATGGAGATGGAGACGGAGACGCCGAGACGCCGAGACGTGGAGAGAGATGCGATTGGCACGGGCGCGTGGATGGTCTGTACCTCCTCGCCACATTCACGTCTCTCCCCCACCGGAAGAAGATTGAGATGGGTGGGTACGTGGGCGTGAGACCCTCCCTGTGAGCGTCTGCCGGCGATCGTCCCTGCCAGAGAGAGGTGGGAACGCGGTCATGGCAGCGTGATCGGCCTGGCCAACGCTTGCTTGAGGCTCAGAAGGTCAGAAGCGAAGGAGGACAAACGGGCGCAGGTGATGCCTAATTCCTGTGGCATGTGGCAGCACTTGCAACTTATCAACTGATCAACTTGCAACTTGAACCCTTTCGACGCGCCTATCACACATTTCCCACGGTGGTAAAAATACCATCCCCGGTTGATTTTGCCGCACACAGTCACATATTTGCCCCCGCCCCTCCAGAGTCCAAGTGTGACGTCACCGTTAATTCCCATTAAGTAACCTTTTCAAAATCTTTTCCTAATAAGCCGACAAATTACCCTTAAATGCTCCCTCCCCTTTTGGCCCCGGCCCAGCCACTGGTCACGTGATCCCAAAAGTTGACTGTTGTGAATTGTGCACGCTTCGTGCCCCCATTACGACAACGGCATCCCAGAGCTGCTCAACGACGACCTCCTCTCCCCCACCTCCCCACCTCCCACTACCCACCCACGATGGCAATGGACGACCCCGCCGCCGCGCTCGCGCAGCTCAAGACCAGCCTCGACGGCCTCGAGGGCGCACTGGCGCCCATCCTCTCGCAGCCGTGGAACGAGACCCTCGAGGGCACGACGAGCGTCGAGCGCGCCAAGATGGACGTGCTGCTCGCGTACTCGATCAACAACCTCGTGTGGAGTGAGTCGATGGAGGAGGGTTGGGCTGGGGAAGGGGAGTGGGAGAGCGAGAGCGGGGAGGGGGAGGTCTGTGGACACTGCTGTGGCGCCTGAAGCCGAAGCCGTGTGCTCTGCCTCCCTCACTGGCGCTACCTCTCACCGCTTACTGCCAGCCTTCGCCATTGCCCCTTGGCTTTCCGCTTACAAACCCAGTGTATCTCCGTACCCGTGGAATCAAGCCCGAGGAACACGCCGTCTCGGGCGAGCTTGAGCGCCTGCAGGCGTACTACACCAAGGTCCGCGACGTCGAGAACCCACCTCGTGAGTATAGGCCCCCCTGTGTGCGCCCCTTCCGTCGTCGCCAACGATCCCCACCCTCCCCGCGCTAACCCACCTCAGGCCGCACCACCTCGGTGGACAAGGACGCCGCCGCCCGCGTCATCAAGCACGCCATCCCGCGCAGCCAGCGCGTGGACACGGATGCCTCGGCGTCCACCTCCGCCGCGGCGCTGGCGCGCGACCAGGCCATCGCCGCCACGGACGACATGATGAGCCGGCGATTCCGCTTCGTCGCCACGGGCGGCGAGAAGGTGCTCCCCGGAGGAGGGGCGGCGGCCGCGGCGGCAGCGGGCGGAGAGGAGGCGGACGGCGATGTGGTCATGGCCGCGGCTGTGGACAATGGCGATGGCGCGCCACGAGGTGGAGCTGGAGCTGGAGCCCAGGCCCAGGCTGAGGCCGAGGCGCTGCTCGCGGACGTGGATGGCCAGATTGAGGCGGCGCCGCGCGCGAAGAAGGGCGGCGCGAAGAAGAAGAACAAGAAGAGGAAGCACGTCGAGTGAGCGTGGTAGAGGACGTCCTGGCCTGGCCTGGCCTGCCGTGGTGAGGGGGGTGGTGTTTTTAGAGTGTTCATAGAGCGCCGATGTATGTATACATAAGAGCTACGGACAGGCGTCATGCCCAGGCGATTGCGGTTACGCAGATTACGTCGATGGCTGTCGGACATGGTGACGGCCACGACCGTCATGGCCGCAAGCGAGCCACGCACGGGAACCACTGACTTGAACCGCCTTCTTTCACTTGGCACCACCTTCCCCCTTCACTCCCCCCCCCCCCGTCCTTCTCCTCCCCACTTCCTTCCCTCCCTGGCCCCGCTGCTACAGTTTTACGCATGCATATGCGCCGATACAACAAGGCGCTACTACGTACATGATGCCTCTAGCAGGGGCAGTTTGTCATTTGGATATGATTGTCCGTACCTCCTGGGCACCTGGAATCATTTGGGCTACACGGCACACACGGTCGGGATGCCGAAGCCTTTCCTCGGTGGAAGCCTCTCCTCCTCCTCGCCTTGCTTCCGATCTCTCTGTTGATTTGCTTGCGTTGCTTGCTTTGCTCGCTCGCGTTGCTTCTCCCCAACCTCCTCAACCCAACTCCTCAACCCCCTCCCCCCGCTCTTCCCCTCCCCCTCCTTTCACTTGACAGGGTTACGGGTACTCCAGCCGATACAGTGGGGCCGATGTGCAGTTGAACCCCCCCGGTGCGCCCGCTGCGCAAATGAGACGACGACATGGTTGGCTGGTGTGTTGTGTTTTTGCTTTTTGCTTGTTGCTAGTTGCTAAAGCCAGAGCACCCCTTGTTCTCAGCTGGCACGCTCGCACGCGCCGCAGTCCTGGCAGATGCTCCAGAGGGAACGGGAGCCCGTCGAGTCCGGGTAGTCGCTCATGTGCAGCTTGGGGATGGAGGTGCACTGGGGACCGTGGGCGTTGCGGGCGCGCTCGACGGCGTTGGCGCCCCATGGCAGGGGGCCCGCCGACGCCGGCTGGATGAGGCCCGGCGCAGCGCCAGCGGCGCTGGAGGGGTTCGTGTTCCACCCGCTGTTCTGCTGGAACGACGTGAACGGCGGGCTGTTGGAGAAGTGGTGCGGGTTCGGGTGCGTCGTCGTGGACGGGTACACGCCCAGCTGGGCGTAGCCCGACTTTGGGCTGTCGTCGCTGTCCATGTCGTCCTCTTCGGCGCCGGGGCCAAAGCCGAACCCGCCCGAACCGCCCTCGGCGTACGAATAGTTGGTCTCGGGGGCAGCGTACGGCGTCTCGAGGGTCTCGTCCATGTCAAAGTCCATGTCGTGGTCCATCATCTGGTCGCTCTCGGACGCAGTCGTCGACGTCGTCATGTCCGGGATGAGCTCGGGAGGGAAGCCAAAGCCCGTAGCCGTGTCAAACTGGGGAGCAACAATGCGCAGGTGCTGTACGGGTCAGCCACGGGTCCACTGGGTGCGAGAAGAATAGGAGGATGGGTAGGGAAGGGAAGGGGACAAGGAAGGAAGGAAGGAAGGAAGGAAGGAAGGAAGAAAGAAAGGAACAAGTTCACGGACGGCGCGCGCGCACGTCCGTGTCCGTGTTCTTTCCTTCCTCAAATCCTCATGTGTGGCTCTGCCACGGCGTCATGTTTTTTTTTGACTCACCTTGGCATTGGACTCTTCGGCCTCGAGGGACGATGCGCGCTTGCGCTTGGGCTTGGCGCCGGACGACGAGGCCATGGGCTGGGGGTTGAAAGGAAGGAAGGTGGACGCCATGGTGTGTTTGTGGTGGGCTGGGGATGGTGGTCGATCGGCAGGCACTGGGTGATATTTGCAGAGGAAGGAGGGGGTTCAAAAAAAAAAAAGAGACCGGGAGAGAATTGAACGGAGGTGCTGGGCCGGGTGGAGGTTTGTTGTGTCGCGTGCGGAGCGCGTGGGTGGGTGAGTGTGTTGTGTATGTGGTGGGTTGGTGGGTGGCTGGTGCAGTGAGTGAGTGGATGCAGTGGATGGATGTGTGGAGATGTGAAGGAGAGAGAGAGCGAGTGTGGGTGGGTGATGGGGACTGAAGGTGGGTGGTTGGTTGGCAAGGGGGGGTGACCCTTTTGCTGGCTGGGGTGGAAGAGAGGGGAAAGTAATAAGAAAGAGCCAAAGAGACAAAGGCGCGGGGGTGCCAAAAGCGGTCGCGCCTGGGATATGTATGAAATGACGGACGCTGGGTGGGGGGCCAGGATAAAGAAAAAGGACACACTGTACCAGGGAGTGCGGGCAGTACGCGGGGGGGACGCGACAACCTGCTACAATGGGTCCACACTGGTACACTGGCGCCCGACGGCTGCAATATGTGCGCGCAACATTGGGTGGGTGCCGTCAGGTGATGGGCGCGCGCGTGCGCGCCTGGCCGGGGCAATAGCAACGCAGGGGGCCTACATTACGCGGCAAGAGAACGGCCCCGGAAGTATATTCTGCACTGCGATCTGGTGTGTGTTGTCTATTTCTTCCATTTGTGCGAGGCCAGATTCGGGGGTCCTTGCTCGCCTTCTTGTAATACCTGCCACTTTGGGTGTGTCTCGTCCCTGCAGGCTGAGCGAGCGAGCGAGATTGCCCACCCGCGTCGCGCGCACTACACGAGACCTGGCCCAACCTGTCTCACACCCTGGCCTCGGACAATTGCAATAAGAGGGTAAATACCCCCCCAGGAACACAACGGCCAGCCTCACAGTCATCACCAGAGTCATCGCTTGCGCGGAGCAACCTCCTTCGGCCGCTTTGACCGCTTCTCGACCGCCTAGAGAACCGCGTCTGCCGGAGAAACAACCCTGACGGCCACCCCCGGCCAACCCCGCCCAAAAAACCTGTTCTTGGCCCACGCCTCTCCGGCACGGCGCATAATTGCATAACGGCCAGCCGCTGGCTGCTGGCCTCTGGCCTCTGGCTCGGGTTGATCCCGTTTGGTGGCTTTCGGATCTGTCGCTCGCGCTGCTCGCGGGCTCTCCGCGCTCTCCAGCCTTCTACCACGCGAGACTTTGTCCCCGCGCAGACGTCTGAACAACCCGAAGCCCTAAGACCGCAATGTCAGTTTGAGGATCCGAGGAACATGGCGCACCCAGCATGTGTACGCGCCCATACGCCATGGTGCTGCTTTTGGACTCACCCCACGGAGCACCTGAAGCTCCGGCCGTGCCGTTGCCGTTGCCATTGCCAGCCCCCGAAGCCCCCGCGCCCGCTGCCGACGCGCGGGCAGCAACGACGCTCCAGCCAATACTGTGGCCCACGCCATCTGGTCGCACGACCAGCAGTGGCAGCGCGGCCAGGCTGTCCTTGCCTGCGCGGTCGGGCCGGTGCACGGCAATCGAGTTGGCGCCGCCTCCTCCCCCTCCGCTCGCTTGCGCGTCAGACAGCACAGCAGCAGCAGCAGCAGCAGCCGCAGCTGCCGTGACGTCGGCCCCGTCTGCGACGTCCGTAGCAGTAACAGCAGCAGCAGCAGCGTCACCGCCAGGGCCGTCCAGTGCCGGATCGATAAGGTTGTCGCCGAGCTGCTCGATCCCAAACTCATCGCCGACCTTGCCAAGTGTCGAGTCGGCCTCGACGGGACCAGCGAGCGCAGCCGCAACGTCGTGGTGGTGGTGCGCTTCCGAGCTGTGCTGCTTGCCGGCGTTGCGGAGCGCCTCTTGAATGGTGAGCTCACCAGTCGAGCCCATCACGCCAAACCACGCGTTATCCTCGGCTCCGGGTTCCGCCGGCTCGGGCGCCGTAGGGGGCGGCGGGTCCTCGGCGTCAATGACGGCGGCGGCCTGTGCGCTGCTGTACTCGTTCATGACGCGCAGGATCTCGTCCAGTGGTGGCAGCTCCACCATGGCTATCGTGTGCGGAACCGAATTGGGATAGTTGCTGAACACGCGACGGCCATCAGGGATGGGAAGGTTGTTGTCGCCCAGTCCTTCGGTGTAAGGGAGAGCCGGATACAGCGCCCCGGGGTCATAGTACTTTTCTTTGGGCGCTTGCGAGCGCCAAGTAGTGGCACGCAGTGGACCGATGGGACCCAGGTAGACGCTAAGCGGTTGCGGCAGAGTGTGGCCCTCGGCGTCGGGCATGAAAAAGTATGAAAGCGTCAGGTCGAGCGAGTTGGTGTCCATGTGGAAAACGGGGTCGACAAGCAGACGCGGTACGGGGTCGATGGGAGCCTTGGGCAGTGGATCGGTGTCGCCTAGCCCGTTGAAGAACGAGTACGAAAAGCACCCTTGAACATGTCAGCACGGCTTCCGGCGCGCTCGAGGAGAAATCACTCACAGACACCAGTGAGCACCCAGCACATCCAGTCGTCGACAGTCTCGACGGTCGCTGTACGCGTCGAGGTGACCCCGCCCTCGGTGACGGTCTGTTCGACCTCGCGCCTCCGCGAGCGGTGCCAGCCTAGTCCAGCCGCTGTACTGCCTTGCTCCTCCTCAGTGATAGCGGCCCGGGCGAGGGCATGACGTTTGGTCTTCTTCTTGCGGGGACGAGTAGAGGATTCAGCTTCCGGGATCAGATCTGGCTTTGGGTCGGTCGCCTCATCGAGGGCCGGGTCAATGCTGTCCAGCCCACCCAGCGTCTCGGGGACGGCGGCCGCACTGCCCTCAGCGTCCGTCTTGACCTGCTTGCCTGGCCGCGCGCGTGTCGTGTTCACTTCGCCGGCACCAGCCACCGCGCCCGGGGCAGACAGGTACCACCTCGACCCGCCTTCCATGTCATCGACGCCGTCCACAACGCGCACAAGGCCAACGCGTTGCAGCTCCGACACAGGGTGGCCCCTGTCGGCGTCCACCACAACCTCGTTCTTGTCCACGCGCACCAGGCGCAGCGGGTCTGAGCGAACGCCAGACTGGACCTCGACGAGCTGCACAATGGAGCCATACGTGATGACGCCGTTCTCGCGATCCAGATCGAGCTTGAAGCGCGTGCGCTGGCCCTTGTCCTCGGGCTCGGGGGGTTGAGCACGGTACAAGACGTCAAAGCGGAATGGTGACCATTTGCCAGGGCGGGCAGCGAGGGCCGGTGTGTCCGTGTCGCCATCGTCGAGCTTCATAAACTTTGTCCTCACCGTCTGGGCGTTGACACGCACGTACAGCGCAAAGGCGTCGGTGGTTGACAGACAGCTAGCCATAGACCGTGCTTTGGCCGTCTTCTGCGAGGGCTTGGACACAATGGTGAGAGGGTCCGAGACGAACGTGGCCCAAGGTTTAGGGACAAACGGAGGAGTGGAGGCGACAGCGACAGCAGCAGCTTCGTCCATGGGAGGGGTGGGAGGGATAGCGGTGGATGACTCGGCCTCCAGTACCGGATCAATGGCAGCAGCCAGGTGGTGGACAAGACCCTTGCCGTCGTCGTGGACACCTGGTTCTGGCACGTCTCCTTCTCCCAAGGACATCAAAGGGTCCATACCAGTCGCACCGAGCACGCGGCGGAGGGCGGCCTCATCAATCGGCTGGGTGGCGGAGGTAAGGGGCGTCTCGGCCTGGGGAACAACAGTCTCTCCAGTATCCAGGCCGTTGGCCGTGTGGTCGACCTCATTGTCAAGCCCCGGGGGACCGATAGAGAGCTCGAGGCGAAACTCTTTGCTCTTGCCCGTTTCCTCACCGACCCACAGGCCAGGGAAGGCGATACCGTCGGTCAGTTCGTTTCGGTCGCGGACGTTGTTGCGGTTGCGTTCCCACGGGAGTGTGCTTCCCCAGCCAGTCTTGGCTGCTGCCTCTCGCAAACGGCGACGGCGCTCTTCTCGCTCAGCCTTCTTGGTTGCACGAACGTAGAGCTCCGGGACGGGTTCTTGCTGTTCGCCGAGACGGTGCGTCTGGGTAGAGAAAGTGATATGGCCCTGTGGGGGGTCGGGGTTGGGGTGCGATGACAGTGTCACAGTGGAGAGGAGAGGTGCCAGTGGACCAGTCACACGCAGGGTTGGTGGTGGCTGCAGGATACTGTGGCTGCGTTAGCTATGCCGTGTGGCACCCAGGCAAGATGGACTGAGTCCATGCCCCGGCCATGCTCTCTGTACGTACCGACGCTCCTTTCCATAGCTCTTCTGGCCCGTCTTGGGATGCCAGACCTCGATTGTTGAGAATGTACGCTGCGCCGCGCTAATGCCAGTGGTCGGACGCGAGGCGGCAAAGTGTGAGGTGAGGGTGCGAGCAATCTTGTTCTCGCGTGGGGAATGCGGATCGTCGTCGCCATCGAGAGTGCGCTTCCTCGAAAGGTCTACAGCACGAGCCCCACTGCTTGGTCCAGCATGGGCGTTGCTGGCGGCCTCACCCTCGAGATAGGCAGCCATTGCGTCACCAGTTGCAGCACCAGTCGCGTCGTTGCCGTTGCCGCCCGCTCCACCGCCGTCGTCCCCGGTGAAGCTGTACTGGCCGGAACCGGAGATGGCATTGATTAAGAGGTCGAGGGGAGTCGCCTGGGGCGTGTCGTCGAGGAGCGAGAGCCCCTGGTCCGCCATTGTTATTGTTATCGTTTGCCGGGTCGCTTGGAACTGGAAATGGATGATGAGCAAGATGTTCTCCCACGGATGTTGTGGTCGGTTGCAGTGGCGGGAGCGTGGGAAACAAGGTAAATGGTATGTATTATGTAATAATTGTGTGACGTGTTATTATGCGCCCACTATCAAAATCCGTCATTTGGTGCGAACACGCCTCGCACTCAAACTTTGGGTACTTGAAGTCGCGGTGCATCTCTTTCTTCATTCTCATCTCATCTCTCACACCATTCCGGCGCTCACACAGTATTCCAACAGCATGCAAGCTATCGCGTTCCACCCCCCTCGACCGTCTGTCACTGATATCCCCACGAATTGTCCCCATCCCTCCCCCCTTGGCCCCTCCGCGCCTTCCCATCTCCCCCTACATCCACCCCACCCACCCACACCCACCTATGATGAGACTTGCCAACAAATTAGAGTCAAGCTCGGAGACCCTAGTGGCACCTTCGGGTTGTCCTGGTTAATGCCGAGTGTCGGCCTGTTTGACAGATCACTGAGGACCCTTCCCCCAACTCCACTTTTTGTATTCTTGCACACCTCTATGCCATGGACATGTATATTGTTACAAAAGGACACTTGGAGTGGACGCAGCGTGTGGAGTTTGGCTCAGAGACAACGATTTGATTTGGACAAGTAGAGATGATAGTTTAGGACGTCGAGGTGTCGAGGAGACAGTGTTAGGGAGCTCTCTATCGATGGCTCGCACTGCGCCGCGACAGCCATGCGTGTATGCACCAATGCCTCGCTCGCAAGCTCGCTGACCGTTAGGCGTCGGCAGCGGGCCTCGTAGCGGCGCAGCGAAACGTGCTGCCACATGGCAGTGTGGCACTTCCATGACCCACCAAGCGGACAACAAGGACCATCCTCCTACGCACGCACGGCGCTTCGCCAGCCTCCATCACCACTCCCAACCTCATACCCGGCTGCTTGAGCATCAAGAGGACCCTCAGGAAGCAAAAGGAGAAGCTGCGAATGCTTGCGCGCTCGCTGCTTCTTGGCCAGAGGCCGCTATACATCCAAGGGGACTCGAACCCCTATCCCAAGCGCTGAGTGTTCATGTTGAACTCTCTGGAAAGCATGTATACTAACCCTTATACGATGGATGTGGCGATGAAAGGCAGCAATCGAGTGACACCATGTCGAGAGGATGGAAAGGGTTGGTCGTTTGAGAACGCAGAGGGGAGGGACGTGACGAGACGCGCCGGTGGACGTGTTGCGACCGCAGTCATTGGTTGCCCGCACCATTGCCGCTCCCCCAGGAGATATCCACGGTGCCCCACGCATAGAATCCCGATTGCCTGCGGCCCAGGAGGTACGCGAGATGCGATAGCGCGAGGCGCGTGTAGTCCACGTCTGCCATCTGTGATATGTGACGGTATGGGTCCTTGATCGGAGCGTCGCGGACCTTTGCCAGCGAGGCACGTTGCGGAGTTGCCAGGGCTCGCGCTCTGGGTCGCGCTGTCGTACTCTGTATGATCCATAAAATGCAGACGCAAGCGGGACAACCTCTCCAATGCTCGCACAGAGCCGGTTTGGGGCTTGAATGGTGCATGAGGCTGCGATGACTTTGAGGCGTCGTCTCTCACGTCAGCATCGTTAAATCCGCCACACATCGCGCGTCAGTGCCCACTCGCCCCGTAGCTCATTAGCGGTGGCGCAAAGCATGTGCCCATCGCGGTCGGTCGCCTCCGCTCGTGCCGTCTCGGCTGATCGGCGGGAACATGCGATAGCCGCCGGCTCGGACAGAGTCGGAGCCTTGGTGAGACCATGTTTTACCCCCGGACCGGTCCCGCCGATCCGCGTCGCGAGCAGAGGAATAATTTCAGTGAGACATGACAGACGCGCGCGAAGGAGTGTCTCCCCCCCGGGCCCAAGGGAAAAGGTGTCACAGCGTAAAGAGGGTGTGCATCTCGTGCAGACGCAGTGCAAAAGGACTAAAGAGACAACACGGGTTGAAGAATGTAGATGGGGGAGGAGAGGGCGAGCTTAGTTCGAGCCCTCGACCTTGGCAGCAGCGACACGCTCCTTCCACCATGTCGGGTGCACGGTCATGAACTTGATGTTCTCGTGCTGCTCGATCTGCAGAAGCGTCAGAAGGAGTAGGAAAAGGTGTCGAGAAGTGGAAGAAAAGAGTAGGAAGGTCGGAGATATTGTGGACAATCTGCCACACGTCGACAACTCACCTTGTTCCAAGGCTTCCAGTCCGAGTGACGGTTCCAGACGACCTCAGGGCCCTGCGAGAGGCGGTAGAGGTAGTAGCCAGCACCGGCAACGGCACCGCCAACAACGCTGAGCGGGGGTTAGTATATGGTTTTGTGGTGTTGGGCGAGCCCTTGTTCTGCGCCACGTCGCTGCAACTCACGCGAAGATGGGGTAGGCTGTAGCCGCGTCAGCCAGGGTACTCCAAGGCGCATGGGCATGTGACTTACTCTCCACGGGGATGAACTTCTTGATCTGGGCAGCGCGCGACTGGAAAGGCAAGGTCAGCGACGTTGGGGGGGACAATAGGCGCCGGGGACGACCGGAAGGAAAGAAACAATGGAAGGATTTGCTAAAACCCTCCGCGGTGACTTCCTCGCGGTGACAGTCTTGTGACAGGCGTGGCAACTCACCATTTTGGATAGGATGAGTGGTGAGGGAGAGATGGCGGACGTCTAGATGTCTAGGGGGATGAGATGTACGAGACTGAGGACTTATAACTAAGAGCAACAGGCAAATGCAAAAGCGACGAGGAGGGGACAGGGTCGGTGGGGGATGCGTGGGGCGGAGGGTAGGACTTACTCGGACTCCTGCTGGCTGCCACTGGGTGCCGAAAAATGCACCCGCGCTTCCAATCTGCAGTGCTCGTCGTCACTGCTACAGGCGAGTTTGTTGCGTCGGGCCGCCGCCGGACGGGGTGAAAAACCCGGCCGATGTCGCGATGGAGCGATATCCCTGATGTTCCGCGGCCGGTGATAGGCCGGAGGAGGTCTTTGCCGCTCAAGGCCCGTAAAATCTGTCCATGCCTACCAGGCTTGCGCCTACAACATGGGGATGTGTATGTTTATGCTGGGACGGGGTTGCGGCTATGGACAGTCGTGACGTACAGTGTACCTTTTGCAGCTGTGGGGTGTTGTGGAGCGGGCTGTGGGGCAGGCGGCTTCCTTGCATCCCTCTCTCACTTGGCAGATTTCCACAATCTCCAACATCTTCCGTGGTGGCCGATAACGCCCGTGTGACCACACTGGACACCGTGAAGTTTTGAAGGGTTGTCGCCAATGTCCGGAGGCACTGACCTGTCGGTATGCGGTGACTCTCGGGGGCATGTGATAGTAGCCACACTGGTGGTGCTGGGTATCACAGAGGGAGGGAGGACCCACGCGGCTGGCCGGGACTGTGGCATGTGTCTCACGTACGCCCTCGGCTATGTCTGCGTCCTGGTACACTGTGTACCCCTGGCGTAGGTCTGGCGCTTGCCCGGGCACTCTGTAGGAAATGGCAGCCATCGGGACGTAGTGTACTGCAAATGTGGCACCGCCGATCATGACAGATCCCGAAGGACGACACGCTGCCACACGCCACACGTTGGTAGGGGCACACCGGGTGTCACTAAACAGCACAATGGCACTGTCGCTGAGCTACTACCGGGCAGGTAATACCCACTACACAAATACCACTGTCTTGCACGGGCAACACCTGTGTACTCACAATAAGACAAGGCCAACAAGGGGGACTCAATCTGTCATGGATCAATCTCGGTCAATGAAGAAAGGCGGCCCAACATTTTGCGTGCCTTGTTCTGCCGCACGCCTACGCCCCTCCGACATTTCGACTCCTTGACCTTGTCTCTTCGCCTCCACAATAAACCTCATACTCACTCTCTCTAAGGTGCTCGCCGCCGCCCATCTCTTGTAGCTGTCTCGACTCTCGTATAGACGCGTTCGTCTACGACACTACTATCTAATCTATCCCCCTTGTGTTACCACACCCCAGAAATCTAGCCAACCACCATGTCCAACGAGCTCGACTTTGCCAGCGACGTCAAGGAGACGGTCACCGTCACCCTTGCGCCCGAGCAGGAGCAGCGTTACGAGCGCATCACCCGTGGCCTCCAGGAGGTTACCAGCGGTGACATTATTCGCAAGGTCCTTGCCGATGGCGAGACCCCCCGCCTCTACTGGGGTGAGTTTATCCACAAGATACGTTTTGAGATGTGACGCTGATGGGTGCAGGTACCGCTACTACTGGCCGCCGTGGGTGTTTTGTCAACATGTTCAGACAGACACGCTTTTCTGACCTCTGCTCGCAGCCCACATTGCCTACTGCGTGCCCCTTATGAAGATTGCCGACTTCCTCACTGCTGGCGTCCACGTCAAGATTCTCCTTGCCGGTTGGTTTACCCGACGTGATATGAATGCGTGCTGACACCTTACAGATGTGCACGGTTTCCTCGACGCCGGCAAGTCGACCTGGGAGTCGCTTGCGCACCGTGTCAAGTACTACTCGTTCCTCCTCCACGCCGTGTTCACCTCGCTCGGCGTGCCCACCGACAAGCTCGAGTTCGTCACAGGCTCCAGCTACCAGCTCACCCCTGAGTACACCCTGGACATGTACAAGTGAGTCGTCAAAAGTGGCACATGTGTATCTAACTGCCAGGTTCCACGCTCTTACTACCGTCAACGCCGCTGCCCACGCCGGTGCTGATGTCGTCAAGGAGTCGGACTCGCCCGTCATGAGCTCGCTCCTCTACCCTGGTCTCCAGGCCCTCGACGAGCAGTACCTCGACGTCCACATGCAGTTCGGTGGTGTTGACCAGCGCAAGATCTTCATGTACGCAGCCCACTACCTTCCCCGTCTCGGCTACGCCAAGCGCGCGCACCTTATGAACGCCATGGTCCCCGGCCTCTCGGGCGGCAAGATGTCGTCGTCGGAACCCAAGTCCAAGATTGACTTCCTCGACTCGGCCGCCGACATCAAGTCCAAGCTCAAGGCTGCTCTCTGCACTCCCGGTGTTGTCGAGGGCAACGGTGTTCTTGCCTTCCTCAAGAACGTCCTGATCCCCGTCCAGGAGCTGCGCGAGGAGCAGGCCGCTGCCCGTGGCGAGCAGCGCTACAATGGCGCCGGCTCGTTTGCCAAGGCCGACTCCCCCGTCGGCACCCTCTTCTCGATCTCGCGCCCCGAGAAGTTTGGCGGCGACATGCACTTTGCTTCGTACCAGGCCCTCGAGGATGCCTACGTCAAGGAGGAGGTCCACCCCGGAGACCTCAAGGGCGGTGTCACCGAGGCGCTTATTGCCCTCCTCGGCCCCATCCGCAAGGCCTTTGACGAGTCGCCCGAGTGGCAGGCGGCCGAGGCGGCTGCTTACCCGGGCGCCTCGGTCCTTGATGGCCCCGGCGGCCCCAAGGTCAAGGAGGTCAAGAAGGTCAAGGCCCCCAAGGCCGACAAGCCCAACCGCCCCCCTACTGAAGAAGAGCGTGCTGCCCTCCGCGCCAAGAAGGAGGAGGAGAAGGCCGCCAAGGCCGCGGCCAAGGCTGCCGCCGCCGGCCCCAGCACCGCTGTCCTCAACACCAACATGCCCAAGCTTAAGCTTCTCTCCAAGGGCAAGGTGCGCGACATTTACGCACTCCCCGACGCCGCGGACGCCGACAAGCTCCTCTTTGTCGCTACCGACAGGATAAGCGCGTACGACGTCATCATGGAGAACGGTATCCCCCAGAAGGGCGCCACCTTGACCAACCTCTCCATGTTCTGGTTCCACAAGCTCCGTCACGTCATCCCCAACCACGTCCTCGTCCCCTCGATCGAGGGTGATGCCCCCGCCGCTCTCGCTGGCACCACCACTGCCTGGGAGGAGTTCCCTCGTTCGCTCGACGAGTACCGCGAGCAGCTCGAGGGCCGCAGCATGATTGTCAAGAAGTGCGAGGTTGTCAAGATTGAGGCCATTGTCCGTGGCTACATTACCGGCTCGGCTTGGTCCGAGTACAAGAAGTCGCAGACTGTCCACACCATCCCCATGCCTGCTGGCCTTGTCGAGTCGCAGAAGCTCGCCCAGCCCATCTTCACCCCTTCGACCAAGGCCGACCTCGGCGACCACGACGAGAACATTCACCCCGACAAGTGCAAGGACATTTGCGGCGCCGAGCTCGCGGCCGAGATTGAGAAGGTTGCCATCCAGCTCTACACCGAGGCTGCCGAGTACGCCTCTGCCCGTGGCCTCATCCTTGCCGACACCAAGTTTGAGTTTGGTCTCCTTGACACCCCCAACGGCAAGCAGCTCATCCTCATCGACGAGGCCCTCACCCCTGACTCGTCGCGCTACTGGTCGGCCGCCGCCTACAAGGAGGGCCAGCCCCAGGCCTCGTTTGACAAGCAGTACCTCCGCGACTGGCTCACCAACGGTGGCCTCAAGGCCAAGGAGGGCGTTACCCTCCCCGAGGACGTTGTTGCCGAGACCAAGGCAAAGTACGAGGAGGCCCGCGACCGTGTCATGGGTAACGGCAAGTTTGCTGCCTAAAACCGGCGTAGTTTCTTTTTTAGAGTCGTCATAGTGATCATCTCGGTGCATTGATTGTGCTAAGGGATACAGTGTGGGATATATATGTGCAGTGTGCAGCGTGCAGTGAAGAAGTGAAGCGGAGGCGTTAGCGTTATGGCGCGTCAAGGTATGGCGAGCGCGCCCGGTCGTTGTGTCGGTGGGTTGCTAGCAGCCTGTCTCTACGCGGGGACACCTTCCCACTCGTACACGGCGTAGGCGTTGACTCGGCCGCGGATCATCATCCTGGTGTTCTTGACCGTTTTTGTGCGCTTCCACCAACTGTTGTTGCTGTTGTTGGGTCCGTCAGTGACGGGAGCCTGACCGGGCGTGTCCGACCACGCAGCAAGCTCGAATGCGTGGGCCTTGTGTTCGTTTTCCTGGATCTTGCGTAGTGCTTGTTCACGGCGAAGGCGGTTGCGGAAACGGACCCAGGAGGAGATCTGGAGTGTCAGTGAGGGGGGCAGCTCTGCAGCATCACTGCTTGGACACCTACCTTCATGGCCAGGAGCAGCGCACAGATCACGAGCACAATAATACCAGCCGCAATGGCCGCGCGCACGATGGTACTGCTCGAGAATGAATATCCAGAACCCGCAGAGCTCGCTGTCTCTACGTGCGCTGTGTTTGTTGTTGTTGGTGTTGCTGTTTCGTTGGACATGGTGTGAGAGACGCGTTGCGGTGGATGTTGCGGGATTGAAGGTACGGGCGGAGCTTGAGGCGTATAGGAGGCGTCGTGTCGTACGTCTCGCTGCCGGTGTGGTCTACACCAGCGGTGCCAATGTGATAGGGATGTCGCCCGTGGACGGCGGGGTGGTCGTTGGAAGTATCAGTGTCGTGCGAGCGTGTCGAGCATGCAAAGATGGTTGGGACAGAGATGCAACGAACGCTCGTCATAACAAACCCCCGGTGGCGACTGGACCCACACGGGCGGTGCCACACCGGGATATCGCCGTCCGACGGGGGGTCGCTGGCTGGTGGGATTTGCTCCCGTCGCTGTCCGTCCTCTGTGGGTTCGCCGTCCAAGTGCTTAGAGCATATCCATCGCCGAACGAGAGCTGTAGCGTAGACACCACCACTCACCATGCTCCGCCAACCACTCCTCCGCGCGCTCCCCCGCGTCGCCCCCCGCCAGGCCCGCGCCGCCTCGCACGGCCCATCCTACAACCAGCCCTCCGGCTACCTTTTCGGCGAGAAGGTGAGCCTCTCCCAACGACACCATCGACAATTCGAGTTGCCACTTGTCGCAACCTCGAAGCCGACGGTGTGGCGCGTCGATGGGAGGGAACAAGTTTGATGGGGGCCATGAGCACCCAGAGCGTGTGTGGGACACGTATCTGGTGCATGCCCGCGGATTTCCTGCCCCCGAACGCCAGCCCGTCGCCGCGCCCACACACCCGTCCGGTTATGAGATAGCTACTGACGTTCAGATCCCCAAGGGCCAGAAGCGCCAGCGCGAGTCGTGGGAGTGAGTCACCCCGAGATCAGCAGAGGAGAGTATACTGATAGGCAGGACCATCTTCTACGTCGGCATGGGTGGCAGCGTCGCACTGGTGACTGTCATGTTCGCCTACCGCCCCGACACTAGGTGCGTGATTGTGTCCATGGTGTAGCGACGCGTTGCTGATGTTCCTCTTCTCCGACTCCCCCGCGCCCTTCTATGTCTCTACGTCTGAACTCTTGGCCGTGTCCGCTGCAAATACAACCCCTCGATGCGCTGGTTCGACGACATTTGCTCGACTTGAACCCAACGTCATTGCCACTTGTCAATCCGTGTTCCCCGACCGCGTCTTGCACCCAACAGCATCCAGACCTGGGCCCTTCAGGAGGCCAAGGCGCGCATGGAGGCGCGCGGCGAGACCGTCGAGTACAAGCCCTCGCAGCCTTAAACCAGACCATCATGCAAACCGTAGACTCATTGCCAGTGTGGACGTGTGGAGGGCGCTGGAGCTGGCCCTGTCGTCCAGTGAGATGCCTCGGGTCAGTCAGGAGGTAGGCTCGCAGAGCCCCCCAGGCGCAGAAGCTGTTGAAATTGGCGAGTTGCAGCGTGTAGAGAGGACAGAGCGTGTGGAGTGCTGGTGTCAGAGTGCTGGGGGTTAGAGTGCAGGTCGAAAGAGGCACGAAAACACGTGCAGGAGGCAGATGGGGCAAAGATCGGAAGACGCTGGTCGCCGAGATTGCTGGATCATTTTGGACTTGCTCCAATTCCTCACAACAACAACAATGTCCATTCCAGTGCGCGCAGCACTCCGCCGGTCCACCCGTCACATTGCGCCTACCTTTGCCCGCGCAGCGTCGACCTCTAGCACCAGCGGGTCTACGTCGAACTCGTCAGGCTTGCCAGCCAGCTCATCATCGTCGGCGTCCTCGTCGTCATCCTCGTCCTCCTCCACTCCCCCTCCTCCAAAGCCCAAACGCAGCTCCGCCTGGCTCGCCCTCTCTCTCGTCCCCGTGGCAGCCTACTACCTGTGGCCCCAGTCCAAAAAGCCTCTCAACCCTCAATCATATTCTGAGCATGCCATCTCCTCCAACGAGCGCATTTCGCCAAAGCACGTCGTCCTGGGTGTCCCCGTCAGCCCCTCGGAGCTGCCCCAGTTCGCCCAAGATGCAGTCACTCTGCGCGGACAGCACCCGGCACCGGGCGAGGTTGTCGTCCAGCACGTCATGGTCAAGAACCCGGCTCTCATGATCGAGCGCCCGTACACGCCCATCAACGACGTTGCGGCCGAGGGCGAGATGAAGATGGTCGTCAAGCGTGTCCGCGGTGGAGAAGTTGGACGGTGAGCTTGACGGCGAATCTTCTGTTGAGCTGACAGCACTTAGCTTGGTGCACTCGCTCACTCCCCCGGACAATGTCGGTCTCCGCGGTCCCATCACGACCGTCTCGCTCAAACCGGACAACTACGACACCGTCATCATGGTGTCCACTGGCACGGCTGTGGCGCCGTTCCTCCAGCTGCTCGCAAAGGCACCGACCACGGTGGGGACGCAGTTCAAGCTGCTCCACATGCACCCCCTTGCGGGCGAGGATTGGTCGGCGCCCCTCCTGACTCCCTTGCAGCAAAAGTGGGGTGGCAAGCTCGACTTGAAGCGTATCCCGCCTGGTAGTGTTAGGAAGGACGACATGCAGCAAGCCCTCGCAGGCTCTGGCCGCGTGCTCGTTCTCGTGTGCCTCCCTACCCAGTAAGTCCGCTACCAAGGCCAGTTTGCTACACAAGCTGACAATCTAGGCTCATGCGTCCTCTGTGTGGACCCCTCACTCCCAACCTCCAGCAAGGCCCCCTGACGGGTATGCTCGCAGAGCTGGGCCTCGATGGCAGCCAGGTCTGGAAACTCGAGTAGAACCAGCTAGAAGCAGCAGACATATGAGGTCATTCGACATTAGCCGAGGCAGAATCACATATGCAGGGTATCTAGATGTGTCTCTATTACAACGTCTTGTCGGCTGTTTCTCGCCTAGTATGTGGTGTTGGCACCGTGACGGACAGACGGCATGTCTTGCAGCTCGACCTCCTTGCTCTGGACCTCGTATCCCATCTCCTCGGGCTCCTCCGTGGGGCTCTTTTCGTTGTCGCTCAGACCCTCGAGCTTCTCCTCCTGCACCTTTTCGTCGCCCTCGGGAGGCGTATCCACAATGGTGGGCGGGATGCGCGCCATGGCATCGAGGTATCGTTCCGAAGTCTCCAAGTTTTGTCCGGCCGAGATGGCCTTGAGAATCTGCCACTTTGACCGCTCGTGAAGCTGCCTCCTCACACTCCGCTGGTAGAAGGTCGTCACGACGTCGAGGGGCCAGTCGTTCGGTGCCTTCTTCAGCACCTCCTTGACGTCCAGGTGGATGCCCTGTGCTGACAGCAGCTCGGCCGTGCGCGTCGTGTTGCCTCCGTCGCGCATGTACGCGCCGAGAAGCTCTCGCACGAGCTTGTGCTGAGTGTCCGAGTCGACCGTGCCCCGACGTTTACGGCCCTCTCCCATGGCAGCCCAAGTGACGAGCTCAGGAGCGTGGGTGACAATCTCACGAGCGACCTTGGGCGGCACGACCTCGCCTCCTTGGGTGCAGTAGTTTTGGGCCGAGACAGAGTCGGGCAGGTCGCGGACAAGCAGAGCCAATGCCGCCCTGTCACGTCCGAGACGGCCGAAAACGATAACGCGCTCCATTACCAGCGCTTTCAAAAGCTGCTCCAGTCGGCTGGACGCCTGGTCAAGGTCGTAATGCTGGCTCCCTTGTAAGAACAGCATTAGCTTGAGGCGCAACGTCTTGAACGGCGTGGCAGGCGCTATGTCGGCGAAGAAGACTGGGTAGCCTTGTGGCTCCTTCAAGAGGCGGTACTCGGCATCTGTATTGGGTAAGCTTGATACCTCAGCGGGACGTAAATTAGCTTACCCAGTTCCTCAAGATGATACTTGATACCGTCGTCGTGCACCATCTCGGCAGCCTGCTCCAGCAGTCGCGACAGTAAAGCCTCGTTCAATTCGCGGTTGGGCGACCGCTTGCCAATGACCACATGCTCGAGATAACGGTGGGCAACATCATTGTCGAGGGCCTGCAAGTCTTGGAACAGCTGGGCGTCGTCGACTTTGACCTTGGCAGCTTTCGTGATCAACAGCTGGAAGTCAGTTTGGCGGTCATGGGCACCTGGCAACTCACGTTCAGACACTGTTCTGGATCGCGCTTCACTAGCCACAGAGCATACTGACGCAGCTGCTCTGGGTCTTGGACATTCTCAAGCTCCTTGACCAGCTCACCGACTGGGTCAGCGCAGAGGCGGTTAGGGGTGGGTTCCTCGGCAATTCTACCAGTCAGCCTCGTCCAGACAGTACACAACTCACTCCTTGAGAAGCTCCAAGACACGGTCTGTGCGGCCTTGCTGCTTCATGACCCTGCTGAGAACATACTTCCTGTTTGCAAGGAAGGGCTCAAGCTCCGAGAGGACAACGTCATTCTTGGATTCAAGCAGCTTCAGGAGCTCGGTCGTCTGGCCCTCGTCCGCAAGCAACTTGGCAAACGTGTTGTCAATGACAATGTCAATCTTGGCCGAGTCGGCGCCTCGCGAGCCATGGCCCTTACGGCGAGACGTGCGCGTCTTGCGGAGGAATTCGGTAAGCATACTCTTGGCACTGTCGTAGAGAGCGAGGCGAAGGTCGTTCTTCTCCGAGTCTTCATGGCTGGTGGCGTTCCGTTCAAGAAAATCGGTGACTGGGTGGGTCAGTAATCACACTCTCAAGGCCGGAAGCACCCACTGATCTCGTCCACCGTCCCCGTCTTGGCCAGAATGGGCCTCAGGCCGTCCATAACTGTCACCTCCTCGGCCGTTCCAATAACCTTCCCGCGGTATTCTGGGAACAGACGAACAACAAGGCGTGCGTCAATTTTCCCCTTGGAAAAGTAGTCTCCCGCTCGCTCAAACACCGTCTCCAGCATGAGATTGGAGGCGAGGTAGAGATGGAGAAGCCGAAGTGTGGCAGAGTGAGTGGCCTGGGCTGTTAGGTCTACACAAGGGCACAAGGGCAGGGCACCTACTTTATCGCCCTCAATCTCTCCCCGTCGTCCCTTTCGTCGCTCCTCATCGACAAGAGCAATGGCCTCGTCCATCTTGCGTTCAGCGCACAGCTGCTCCAATCGAAGGATTGGTGGTGTGGGTGTCAGGCCCTGCACACTATGGCGCCCGATAAGAAGAGTCTCGGCAATGGTCGACGAGGTCGGCACATCGCGAGGACCAGAGCTCATTGTGAGAAGCGATGGTTCAGACGATACCTTTACAGGCTGCCTCTTGAACTTTGGCGACGACGGTGGGGTTAGACCAGAACCGGGGAGAGGCTCCTCATTGGGTGATTCGGATCGCGTTTCAGCAGTGTCCGCGTCTGGACCCAGCTCAGTGTCAGACTTGCTCTCCGGCGATGGCAGGGCCAGAACGGGTTTGATGGGCGAGAGCTTTCCACTGAGGAGCGTGAACGATGCAGTCGCCATTCGCTCATCTCGGATAAAGTCTCGAATCGCGACACCATAGGGAGAATAGCTGAGCTGGAATGTGCCGAGCGTTGGCTCCAGAGAAATAGTCTGCACAGGATGGTCCAGCTCGTTTATCGAATGGATCGTTATAGTGTTGTTGCGCAACAGGGCGATGATGTAACCCGACTCCACAGCTGCAAGGATCAGAACCCTTTCATACGTGTACCACTCACCAATTGACAACGGATGCTCGCTCCATTCCATAGTTCCACGCTCGGGGTCACCCTGGCCACTGAGGAAGACACCCATGGTGTTCTGGCCAGTGTAGCTGGTGACGAGGAACTGGTTCTCGCCGGGAATGACGACGGTGTTGGGGTTGGGCACAAAGTCGCCCGCGTCACCAATCTGCGACACGGGCAAGACCTCCGTCATGGACGCGTCCGACAGGTCAATCACACAGTATGCCAACCCAAAGTCTGTTGGTAGCGCAGCGCAAAAGTAAGTCGAGAACAGCGCATGACTGGTCGGTGGCGAAGGGAGGGGGATTTCCTGGATGGGTTAACATGAGGTTACGACAGGCGACCCACCTTTACTGAGGTCATGCGCGTCCCAAGCCTGTAGATAACAAGACCCTTGCGCTTGACAACCACTATCGTCATATCTGTGACGTTGTCGGTTTCCAGCCCTAGGTCGAGCTCATCGTCGTTGAGTGCCACCGATACGACGCCGCGGATGGGCGGGATCTGACTGCTGGGTACAGGTTCGAGGTTGGGGAGCGATAGAGGGTGCAGTGTGCCGTCTGAAAGAACAAAGCACCGCCCGACCTTGGGCAGTAAGACGATCTTGCTGATAGGACGCGCAGGGAAGACCTTGTGCTTGGTCTGCAGCTTCCACCCTCGATTCTGAGGTGTCAGTGAATGGGTCTGTAGTTGCCGTATGTCACTACCCACCTCGCTTGTACCAGCGTTGCCATCATATATCCACCACTCGATGACACCGTCGGATCCGCCAACATACATGTTGTTCGCATAGCCCTCTACGCAGCGCACCTCGTGCTCATCGGGCGAGGTCGGCACCGGGCCCGCCGGCAGAGGCGGAGACGTGTGTGACCGTGTTGGTGAGGTTGGTGGGGGTGACGCCGTACCAGGAGACACCCCGGCTGCTCTTTGAGTCACCCCAGCTGCAAACTGGGAAACGGAAGAGAAGAGCGAGGCGGTAGCTTGCTGTACGGGCTCAGGCGAGATGAGAGCTGTGAGGTCAGAGCCATGTGGGGAACGAGACACCTACCTGGCGAGTCAAAGTCAAGAAGGTCGCGGCTTGAATACAGATCAGACAGCACAGGCTGCACGATGTAAGGCTCCTGTTCGATGTACGATGCCATTGTGGGCGGTGTGGTCGTTACCACCGTTTGAGTGTTCGTTATGGATCGATGGACGCTTCGGTGTTCTCCACCGCCGCCCGTCGCGCATCTCGACAACGTCACTGCGGCATGGGTGTGTGGACGGTCTGATACATTTGCTTCCGGTGCGGGGTAAAACTACACGATGTAAAAATAAAGTACGAGGTTGAGATTTCTGAAGGAGCTTTGTTGTGGAGGTGCTTCACTTGTTGCTACTTTCTGACGACCAACTGGTTTCGCCTCTCGCACCAAGTCAACAGATCAAGATGGCGCCTACCGATGCGCGCTTTGCGCGCCTGCAGACCGACCCCCGCTTCCGTCGTCCCAAACAGAAGGCCCTCAAGGTCGAGATCGATGAGCGTTTCAAGGATGTCCTCAACGAGGACTTCGGCAAGGAGAAGGGCAAGGGTGAGTGTCGTGGTCTGCTATGAATCGCTGTCCGATGAGCTGACCGTAAGCCCGCGTCGACAAACGTGGTCGCCCTATTGCCACCACCCATGGTGCCGACGAGATGAAGCGCTTCTACCGCCTCAAGTCGGAGGAGGCCGAGGAGGAGCAGGAGGCCAAGCGCATCGACTATGCGCGTGGCGAGGGCAACCTCTCGTCATCCGGTTCCGAGGACGAGGGCAGCGACGACGAGTCTGAAGTTGAGGAGGAGGAAATGGAGCTCGGCGGCAAGCGCAAGATGGCCTACGTCCCCTCGGATTCTGAGAGCGACAGCGACGACGGCGACCACCTCAACATTGACCTGTCCGAGGAGGAGTCTGCGTTCCCTCCCGAGATGGACGGCGACGACGAGGACGAGGAAGAGGAGGAAGGTGTGGACCCCACCACGCGTATGGCCATTGTCAACCTCGACTGGGACAACCTGCGTGCCGGCGACCTGTACACCATCTTCAACTCGTTCCTCAAGCACCAACCCCGCAAAGCCGACAAGGGCATGACCCCTCCTCCCGGAAAGCTCCTGAACGTCCGCATCTACCCTTCCGAGTTTGGAAAGGAGCGCATGGCCATGGAGGACGCTATGGGCCCCGGTGGCGGTATCTTCAAGTCTGAGCCTGGAGAGAAGAAGGCCAAGAGCAAGAAGCGTACCCAGGAGATCTCCATCGCCGAGAGCGAGGACGATGACGACGAGGATGACGACGAGGAAGTGGATGAGGATGACGACGACGAGGAGATGCTCGAGGAGGAGGATGACGATGAGGAGGAGGACGAGGGTGAGAGCGACGGTGAGGGCGCTGGCGAGCTTGGGGACGACGGCCTGGACCCCATTGAGGACGACCTTGAGATCCTTTCCGACACCGTCTCCGAGGCCGGTTCCGACGACGTCGACATGGATAAGCTCCGCCAGTACCAGCTCGAGCGGTTACGCTACTACTACGCCGTTGCGACTTTCAGCACTGTGGAGGCCGCCGAGCTCGTCCACAACGAGCTCAACGGCACCGAGTTTGAGCGCACCGCCAACATTCTCGACCTGAGTTTTGTTCCCGAGGGCATGGAGTTTGCCGAGGATGAGCTCCACGACGAGGCGACCAAGGAGCCCAAGACCTACAAGGGCAACGAATTTGTCACCGACGCGCTGCGACACTCCAAGGTGAAGCTCACCTGGGACCAGGACGACCCGAACCGTGCCAAGATGACTCGTCGCGCTCTCACGCGTGAGGAGATTGAGGAGGAGGACTTTGGCGGTCTCGTTGCCGCCTCCAGCGACGAGGAGGAAGAGGAGGAGGAGGAGGAGGCCCCCGCTGCCGACAAGAAGACTAAGAAGCAGCGCATGAAGGAGCGCAAGGACAAGCTGCGTGCCCTTTTGCTTGCCGACGACGACACTGGCGACATTTGGGGCAAGGCCGGCAGCGCGTGGCAGGACGAGCTTGCCGACCTCAAGGGCAAGGGCAAGAAGGAGGCCGAGGACATGGAGATCACCTTCCGCCCTGGTCTCAGTGTCGCTGCTGCTGGCAAGGAGGCTGTCGACGAGGAGAACCTCACCACTCTCGAAAAGTACCAGCGTCGCATGAAGGAGAAGAAGAACAAGAAGAAGGAGCAGGCCGAGCTCCGCCGTGCCGAGCGCGATGGCAAGACCGACGGCGGCAAGGACGACAAGCCCAGCCAGGACAAGGCTGAGGACGACTTCTTTGGCGACTCGGAGTCTGAGCAGGGCGACGCTGCTCCCAAGAAGGGCGGCAAGAAGGACAAGGACGCTGCTGGCAAGAAGCGCGCCCGTTCCTTCTCTCCCGTGGACATGGACGACCCCAACGGCCTCGTCGAGGACCAGAGCCACCACTTCTCGCTCAAGGACCACGTCATGGCCGAAAAGCTCGAGGGCAAGAAGCGCAAGCGTAACCGCAAGAGCAAGAAGCAGGAGCGCGAGCAGGAGCTCGGTCCCGAGGGCTTCCAGGTGGACACTGCCGACCCCCGTTTTGCCGCTCTGTACGACGAGCCTACGTTTGCCATCGACCCTACCCACCCCAAGTGAGTTGTTTCCGCCACGTGTCTGAGGACCCAACTGACATATCACCCCACAGGTTCTTGGACGTCAAGGCAAACCGCGACATTCTCAAGAAGAGCCGCGAGTCGCACGCCGCCAAGCGCGACGGCGCTGCGGGCGGTTCGGGCAACGGCGGCGCCGGCGAAAAGGACCTCAGCTCGCTCGTCGCGAGCGTCAAGGCCAAGATGGAGAGCGGCGGCCCCAAGCGCAAGCGTACTCGCAAGCACTAGGTTGGCTCGCCATGGCACACACTACTTCATCATCACCAACACCACAAAAGCTTCTTCTTTCCAACATAGACTCAGGATATTCCGATGATCCAAATGTATTTTGCATTCTCCTACGTGATCACGTCCTACATGCTTCATGCTTTTTGCTAGAGTTGAGAGCTTGTCGATTAAGTAGTGGTGTGGTGGTGTGAGTTTGGTTGGGGTGGTGGGGGTGGTAGAAAAATCATCCTGTCTCGTCTCCTTTACTACTGCTGCATCACGTCGATGTACTTGTTGGTACCGCGCTTCTTCTTGGCGGCGGCGCTGGCGGGGCGTCCGCTCGGGGGCCTGTTGAGGAGGTCGTCGAGCGAGGCAGCCGTGGTAGGCTTGGGTGTGCCGGCCGATCCCGAGGGTGGACCGGTGGGTGGACCGCCAGTAGGCGGTCGTGCAGGCGGTCCACCGACCGAAGCGGTCAGGCGCGGAGGGGGCGCGCCTCCGCCGAGCGTGGCTGACGACTGGCTGCGCGGCATTCCTGACAGGTTGGACGACACGGGCGGGGTGGTGGTCGTTGAGCGAGGGCCAGCAGTGCGGGCTGGCAGGCCGGCGGGGCTGGTCGTAGCTGCACGCGGGGGAGGTGGTGTGGCTGCTGCAGCGGGCTCGCTCTTGGCTCCGGGCATGGTCCACTTCTTGAGCACGGGGTCGTACACCATCGAAGTCGTGTCGCCGAGGTTGGCCTTGGTGTAGCCCGGACCGCCGGCCTCCTTCTTGCTGCCCCATCCCCATGAAAGCCAGCCCTTCTTCTCCGCTGCAAGGCGTCAGTTAACTCTCGCACATTTGGCTAACGGATCACTTACGCTTTAGGTCGCCGGCCTTCGAGTCGGTGGCCGACACAGTCGAGTCGACAGAAGGGGAGGGCACATGCTTGCTCTTCGTCGGCTCGTCGGTCTTGCCCTTACCCTTGCCCTTGCCCTTGTCGTCGCTGGGCTCGGGCACCTTGGGAGTACGGTTGCGCGAAAGAGCAGCGTTGCCGAAGCCAAGGTCATCCAGGTCGTCCTCGTCATCTTGCACCGGCTGCTGCTTGGGCGTGTAGTCCTGGATCGCCAGTGGGGTGTCGACGATCGGCGCGCCAAAGTTGAGCATGGGGTTGATAAATCCAGTGGAGTCGTCAACGTTGAGCGTTGGGACAGCAGCCACGTTGGTGAAGGGCACAGGCTCGGCGGGAGGCCCGCTCTCGTCGTTGTCGCCATCCCACGGCGAGTAGCCGCCGCCGCCAGAGTACGCGCTGTCGTTGGTGAATGGCGAGGGGACGTCGAGAGTGCCACCAATGCCGATGGTGAGATCCACAGTCGAGGGGGCCCGCGACACGCCCGAGCTGGGACCAGGTGAGATGGTGCTAAAGTGCGAGAACGGTCCAATGGCAGTGGTGCCCTTGGCGGGAACCGCGGCAGGCTTGGGAGGTGCGTTCTCGTCGTCCTCGCCGGCAATGAACTTGGTAAGGCGGCCCTCGATCCACGAGCCGATAGTCGCCGACGACTTGGACTTGCGCATGCCAAGACCGGCCGAGGGGCTGATTGACGGCTCGCCGGTGAGACGCTCGAGAAGATCCTCCATGCTGGACGCGAGGTGGCGCTGGAGACGGATAGGAGGAGCCTGCTTGGGTGCAACCTTGATGGCAGTCTCGATGGCCTCGCAGTACCGCTTGGCCTGCTCAACGTTGCCGAGCTCGGCGGCCCGCCACGCGCGCTGAATCTTGTAGGGGAGCAGCTGGACGAGCGAAGGCTGCGGAACATCGTTGCCCTTGGGGATTGGGACGAGGGTACGCGCATACTCTGCAATCTCGGCAAAGAGGGCGCCGTCCTCGTCGGCCGCGTTCTCAGCCAGAGGAATAGCACGCTCAGTAGCCGCACTCGACATGTCGGAGAACGGCGAGTTGGGGGAGAGCAGGGCGCACACCTGCGCAGCACCGTGCAGGCCAACACGCTTGAAGCGGGCTCCAAGGTCGTCGAGGCAGACAAGGTCGGTCGGCTTGCTGTTGAAGATAACAGCGCCAATGACCTCGCGCCACGAGTCGGCTCCCGGGTCGTCGGTGATGTGGGCGGCGTTGAACAGGTCGTCAATTGTCGCCGGGGTGAGGCCCGAGTAGACCGAGTAGGCAGCCTTGAGACCAGCAGTGCCCGGAACGTTCTCCAGCTCGGCGGTAGCGAAGCGCGTGACAATCTCGCGCCAGAGCTCGGGGTCAACCGACGAGGAAATGACCAGGGCGTGCGACCAGAGACCGTTCGACGCGGCAAAGTGGGGCCGCCTCCTTCTTCGAGCCCGCCATGATCATGGACGAGAGCTGCTCGAGCTGACCAGGGTTGGCACGTGCGCCTGTCGTGGGGTGCGCGCCGAGACCATTGGCAAACGGCGTCCGAGCCTCATTGGACACTGGCGGCTGGAGAGCAGCGCGCACAGCGTCCTCGGCCTTGGATGAGCCAAAGAGACGACCATCGCCCTCAATCAAGGCAGTCAGAATGCCAACAATGACGAGCTTGGCCTCCTCCTCACGACGCTCTTCGCGGCGGGCACGGGTGACCGACGACTTGAGGTACGGCAGACCGCGCTCAATCTCTTCGGCACGCGCAGCGAGGTATGCAAGCACGGACTCGCGCTTCTTCTTGTCGCCAGCAGCACCCTTGGGCATCAGAGGGTCAAAGATGAGGGGGCCGGGGAAGGTCGACGCGTCATTCGCCACCGCGCTGGACTCGATGACCTCGGGAACGGGGCGGATGGTGAGGAGACCACGGTGCGAAGCGTAGCCGTACGACGGCGCGTCGGGCGAGTCGGACGCCGTACCGGGGAAGCCCATGATGACGACACCGCCAAAGCCAAAGACGGCAAGGGGGACGTTACGAGCCGCAGGTGCACAGCGACCCAGTGGGTCCTCGGAAACAGGGCGCTGCTCGAGGACCTGCTGGGGGACATAGGTCGGGTCCATGTGCATGCCCTGGAAGTAGGCGCCAGCACCAGGTGGCGACATGCCCAAGTCGTTGGTCGGGGACATGGACATGGCGCGCATACCCGTTGTTCCGGGGCCGTACGCGTCGACGGGGGCGTAGAAGTCGTTCTGAGCGGCGGGTTTGGCGGCGGCTGCGGCGCGAGAAGAGGGCTCGTACGGGTTGTACTCGGCCTTGGTCTGCTGCGGCTGCGCGCCGTACGGCGAGTATTGGTCGCTAGGCGACCGGTCATGCGAGGCAGCACCAAAGCTCTGGCCAGCGCGCGCATAGTCCATCGAGCCACGACCCGCACTGGGAGCGTACTCGCTCGAACGACGGCCATACTCGCCAGAAGGACGAGCTCCATAGTCCATCGAAGCACGACCAGGAGGAGCGTACTCGCTAGAAGTACGCGGGGCTCCGTAGTCCAGCGACGCGCGGCCAGGAGGAGGAGCGTACTCGCCAGAAGAACGAGGAGGAGCGCCCTGGTCCAGGGACGCGCGGCCTGGACGCGTTGACTCGCCAGACTGGCGAGGCGGGGCATATGGGCTGTATCCGTCCGACTGGGGTGGGGAAGACTTCTGGGCCACCGGCGCAGGTGCGTATGGGTTGTACACGTCCTGGACAGGTGCTACCGCCTTGGTCGTCGTCGTCGGGCTGACCGCATATGGATTGTATTCGGCAGCAGGGCCCGACTTCGGGACAGGAGCGGCGTACGGGTTGCTTGGCGCAGGCGCGTAGGGGTTGCTGGGAGCAGCCGAAGTCGCGTACGGGTCCTCAATGACTTGGGTCCGCTTCTCGGGAGACTGGTACTCGGCGGCCTCGTAGCCAGTCGTGTCGGCAGCCACAGGAGGAGGGACATGAGGCTCGTAGCCCGAGTGCGAGTCCGCTGGGGGTGCAGGGACAAACGGCGCCGGTTCGTAGCCAGACTCTTCAGCGGCAGGTGCGGGCACGAAAGGTGCGGGCTCCCAGCTCGACTCGGTGGCAGTAGGAGCGGGAACGAAAGGAGCAGGCTCGTAACCCGACTCTTCAGCGGCAGGAGCTGGGACGAAAGGAGCCGGCTCCCAGCTCGACTCGGTGGCAGCAGGAGCGGGTACGAAAGGAGCAGGTTCGTAACCCGACTCTTCCGCTGCAGGTGCTGGCACGAAAGGTGCAGGCTCCCAGCTCGACTGGGTGGCAGGAGGAGCGGGAACGAACGGCGCAGGCTGGTATCCCGACGGCGGAGGCGACATTGCCTTGGCCACCTTGGGAGGAGGAGCGGTGGTCTTTGGGGGCGGCGCGTGGCTGGGCGCAGGCTCGAAGCTCGACTGCTGGGTGTGCTGGCGAGAAGGCGAGGCGGGGGCGAACGGCTCGGACGCGTACGAACGGCCAGGGGGAGGAGGCACGTACTTGGGCTTGTCGTCCTCCTGGTCCAGCGATCCGCGCTCCGAGGTTTCGTCGTCGCCCACTTCCTCGTGAAGCGACACAGCCTGCCTCTGGGCCGGCTTGTCGACAGCGACGGCCGCAGCGACTGCACCGGCAGCGAGAGCAGCAGCGGCAGTGACGGCGGCAGTCTGGACTGCTGGAGTGGGGATGGGAGGGAACGTGGTCTCGTTCCTAAGCGGCGAGGACACGCGAGGCGGGGCATGAGGTGCCGCACGAGGAGGCGACAGGGCGTGCTGGGCCGGAGCGTACGACGGTGGGGTAGCAGTACGGGGAGGTGTGGCAGCCCGAGGGGGCATGGGAGGGGGAGGAGCGAACGTTGGCTGACGCGCCGAGCCACGCGATGGGCCACGGGGCGGCGGCACAATCGGCGCCTGGGGTGGCACGGGGGGCATCGGCGGCGGGCTCAACACCGTCGGTGGCGACTGCACTGGAGGCGCGTACGTTCCTTGCTGCGCGTAAGCTGCAGGGATGGCTGGAACAGGTGGCAGATCAGCGGCTCCCGGGGGAGGCGAGGCAAATGTGGGCCTGCTCGCGTGACGCGACGGAGGACGCGACGAGGTCGGGCGGAGAGGAGGGTCAAAGGACGTGGGCTTGGGAGGGTGCGTCGCCGAGGCCGTCGACGGGCGCTGGGGAGGCTGGGTGGCAATGGGTGGCGACAATACCCGCTCGAAAGCGTCTTGGGGAGGCGGCGCGTAGGGATCCTGGGCCTGGCTCGAGCCGTACCCAGCGGCCTCGTACGGTGACTGCGCGGCAAAGTGCGCGTGCCCATGGCCATGGCCATGACCGTGGGCGAGGCTCGAATGGCTGAGGGTCGGACTCAACGCCTCGACAGGAGGGTCGTACGCGTTGGCCGCGATGTGACTGTGGGGGTCCACGCCGCTGAACGACTGGGTAGACTGCGATCGCTGAGGGCTGGTCACCTGCTCTGTAGCGTCGGGAATACGGTCCTGGGTCTTGGAGCGCTTGGGAGGGCCGGGGGGAGGAGCGGGGGGAGCAGCATTGATACCAGCGGGAAGACCAGGGACTGGCGGTGCGTTCAAAGGGGGAACGAACGTATCAACCTCGCTTTGGACCACTGACGGGGCGCGGACAAAGCTCTTCTGCTTGCGCATGACGGGCGGGTCGTAGGCAGTCGCGGTCATACGCTTGGGAGCTTCCTTCTTGGGTGACGGCGCTTGCCTGGAGGTGTCGGCAGAGTACGACTGAGCGGCGTATGACTGAGCAGCAGGAGCTCCGTAGCCTGTGGCCGTGGGGGCATATGGATCGTACGGCGAGGCGGCGGGCATGCCGGACGAGATAGGTTGAGGAGTGTATGCCGAAGCATAGGCCTGGGTCGCCGCTGGAGCTGCCGGGGCAGCTGGCACAAAAGCGGTCGCCGGCGCATATGCGGAAGGCGCAGCGCCGTATCCCGTGGCCGGCTGGGGTGCGTACCCACCACTGGCAGCTTGGTACCCGTACGCGGCGGCGGCGGCTGGGTTGGGCGCGTATGGGTTCGAGACAGGAGCAGGAGCGTACTGGTTTGCGGTCGGAGCAGGGGCGTACGGGTCGGACGGAGCAGCAGCAGTGACCGGAGCGTATTGGTTGGCAGCCTGCGGCACATACGGCTCCGAGACGCTTGCAGGCTCTGGCGTACGACGCGCAGCATTCTCGCTCTGAACCGGGGCAAGAGTGTCGGTCTCGGGAAAGTATCCGACATCGTTGAGCATGGAGACACGGACCAGCTCGCGCTCCTCCTCGGTGTAGTAGTGCCAGCCCCCATCCTCGTCGTACCACCCCTCAGGAACCTCAAAGTCGACAGGGGCCGAGCGAGTGTCGTGGGTGGCGGCAATGGGCGAGACAGCCGGCATGTCGTTGCGACCAAGATCGAGAGTATCGTCAAAGCTAGTGTCCACAAGCCAGTCCGAGTCTGTAAACATGGTGTCAATCGACCTGTCGCCAATTTGGTGAACTGGGAAGGCGGTCGCCGCCGACGTGGATGTGGTGTAGTCCGTGCGTGTGGCGGCAGGCTCTGGTTCCTGGGTCGCGGGCTCCTCCGGCTGACCGATATCAAAGGTGAACAGGTCAGACTCGTCTGTGAACAGAGCGGCAGCAGACACCGGGGCCTTGGGTGCAGCTTCGGCAGGTGTGGCAAAAGAAGTTTGCGCCGCATGTGACTGCAGATCAGCGTGGTCGTCGTGCTGAATGTCGAACGCCGAAGAGTCGTCCGCAAATAGGGCCGAAGCACTCAGGGCAGGCGCAGAAGCTGGCTGTTGGGAGTGTTCCACAGCTTGCGGCGCTGCCACGCCGTGATCAGGCTGACCAATATCGAATGCACCATCGTCTCCTTCGTCACCAAACAGAGCCGCAGCTGAGTTGGCTACGGGTTCGGGGACACTTATGGCTGCAGGGGGTGGGGGAGCGGCGACGGCTGTTGGGGGCTCGACGGATCGTTCCTCGTCCTGTGTGGGAATGTCGAACACGTCGTTGGCATCGTCGGTGAACAAGGACGCTGCGGAAGGAGCAGCTGTAGGCAGTACATGAGCAGGAACAGGTGCAGGTGCAGGTGTCGGCTCGGGGTGTGCGGGTTCCACTTGAGTCACACCAGCCTCGCCCTCGTGCTGCTCGTCGGCAGTAATGTTGAAAGCATCATCCTCGCCGGCGTCTGCAAACAGTGCAGCTGCACTTGTACCGTCCAGCGACTTGGGCATCTCTGCGGGCGGATGAATGTCGTCGTCGGGTCCTGCGAACAGCTCGGGCTCGTCGAGAGGAGGCGCGGGTTGTGCCGGTTCCACTTCAGTGACTGCAGCCTCGCCTTCGTGCTGCTCGTCGGCAGTAATGTCGAAACCGTCGTCCTCACCAGCGTCGGCAAAGAGCGCTGCAGCACTTGTGCCGTCCAGGGACTTGGGCATGGAGGCAGGAGGGTGAATGTCTTTGTTGCCGCTGGCAAACATGTTGGGCTCGTCGAGCTTGGTCTCGGTCTTCTGGGTGGGCACCTGGGTGGGCTCTGGCAAAAGCTGGGCAGCAGGTGCGGCCTCGGCAGCCGGTGTGGGGTCCGACACTGGCAGAGACACAGGTGTAGGCTGGGTAACGGGCGTTGGCTTGGCCATGGATGTGGACTGGGGCACTGGGGCAAGGTCCACGATGGCGGCGGCAGGCTGCACCACTGCGGTAGCGGGGTGAGCAGCCTCGACCTCGTGCTCGAGTCCCTCCGCCGCGACGACAGCGTCGAGGGTCGCAGTGCTGTCAAACGCGGCAGCCTCAAAGTCGTCATTGACAAAGGCTGGCTCGTCCTTTAGCAGCGCTGTGGGTGCATCCGTCGTAAACACGGGCGCCGGCGCAGGGGGAGCGTCGGTATCGAACTCGAGAATGGGATCGGTACTGAACTCGAATGCGGCGTCTTCAACCTCGTCTGTAAACAGCGCCGAGGCGTGAGGTGGCATAGGCGCCGGGACACCGGGCATGGGATGCTGGTGCGACGCGGTAGCGGTCGAGTGCTCGCCAAAGTCGGGTTGCTCCTCTTGGTCCATGGAAGGGGCCGAGAAGTCGGGACCGGGAGACGAATAGTCGGGACTGCGCGCGGGCACGTCGACGAGAGCAGCCGGGGTAGCTGGCTCTGGCTCCTCGTGTACGACAGGTTCAGTGGGGGCGATAGACGTGCCGAGGAGATGGTGGGAGTCGCTTGTCGGGTGAATTTCCGGAACGTCACTGCTGCGCTGCTCGTCTGTTGGCAACAACGGGGTCAAGGATCCCGGAGTGGCAATGGGCGAATCGTCTGGCGAACCGAGCAGGTCTGCGGGCGACGAGACCGAGATGGAGTTGCCCTTCTTCTTCTTCTTGTTCTTCTTCTTTTTCTTGGCGGCGGCCGCACTTGCCGCGAGCGATGCGTCAACGGCGGTGGTGGTGGGCGCCGACTCGTGGTCGGGCGCTGTTGGTGGGGCGGCGGCGGCACCGGTGGGAGTCTGTTGAGCTGAGATGCCTGCCGCCAGCGGTGGGGCGGGTGGCGGTGCGCTCATGGTTTGGATGTAGGCCCCGTAGCCGCAAGAGAGAGCTGGTGCGTGGCGGCGATGTGGGATGGGCGGGGGACGATGTATACAGAGCTGCTGAGAACGAGCGTCCGTCAGCGAGAGAGCCACCTGGCCGCCGGGCCGTGTGCGTGCGGTCATGACACGTCCGTACACCCACGAGGCCAGAGGTGGAGGTGTGTGGGTGGAGGGTGGTATTATGGGTATTAGGACTCTTTAGTAAATGGACCCCGTGTTGATAATAGGACAATGACTAATCCCCCGCAGGTGCCACACTGAGCGGGGTCACGGCAATAATGACGGTGCCAGGGTACGCGCTGTTTTCAGAAGTTGGATGGGACAGCCGCTCCCTCCAGCCCACGGTGGGTGCGACGGTGCGGCGTGGGGTCAATGCGTGATGGCGTGTCAACTTGCTGATGCAGCATCCCTCTCGAGGTCACAGAGTCTGCACTAGTAGTCTCTGCCCTCTCCATCCTCCCCCCCCCCCCCAGCTCAACCCCTCCCGTGCCGCCGGCTTCGACGCCTTGAGAACCTCATCGTTCCCCAAGAATCGACCTCCGACGCTGCGTTTGTGGCGAGAACTTCCCTCCCCCCTCTCCTCCTCCTTCCCTCGGCCGCGTGTTTTCTCCAGCTTCTTGGAGCAGACCGCACCAACACCTTGCTGTGTGCTTCGCACTTTCCCAGCAATCCCCACCCCCCCAAAAAAGGCTCTTCGACCTTCCCCGTCGGACCCACCGTACACGCCTTGATCAGACCGGCGTACTCGGTTGGTTTTCCTTCAGCGTTCTCTTTTGCGGACACGTTCTTCCTTTTCCACGTCCGCCTCTCCGCTCGACCGAAACACCGCCTAGCGGCACAGCCCGTCGTCTCTTGACGGACAAGCCTCCCCACCGCTAGAGTTGAGCACTGTGCTCCTCAACGAACTCATCAACCCAAAGTCTCGCGCGTTTTCCTTTACGCTACCCCCTCCCAACAATCGCGCTCGACGCCCGTCCAACCGTTCCCCCGTATTTCCCAAGCGCTCATCCTCTGGCGAGTAAGCACTGTGACGCTAGGCGCCCAGTGTCCTCCACCCTCGGAAAGCACTTTAATACCTTCCCACCCCCTCCCACATCGCCGAGCCTTACACAGCTCAGCGGCAAGCCCTCGACTTTCACCTTTGCCTCCAATCCGATTTCCCAGCACAGACACACACAGCCCGAACCTCACTTCAGCGTTCGGCCCTTGTGTCGTCTACGCACACTTCGTGCGCCTGGCTATCTGCTAGGTGACAATGTCGGTCGTCACATATCGCCCGTCCGCGGGTGCTACAGCCACCACGATGACTCACAAGGCCCCCAGCCTTGTCCGGTGGCTGGACGCGAACAACGTCGGTACGACCAACCCTGCTCTCCGCCGCCATGCTGCTCAGCAGCAGCTTCTGATGGATATTGCCGACGAGATTGACAAGGCTTCCGCCACCCCGTCGTTTCAAGGCGACACCCTCGGTGATGACAACATGCCCCGCCCCTCATCCGAGTGGGTGGACGCCAAGGCTGCCAATTTTGGCCGCCTTGCCACCGACCTCAGCCAGACCGCCACCACTTCGACCCAGAAGCAGGCCCTGTCCAACTTCAGCATGCAGTTCTACGACCTTGCTGCTGAGATCCGCCGCCTGTCGGTCCGGTCTGCTGAGCAACGTGCGCACCAGGAGACCAAGAGGCGCGAAGACCGCGAGGCCAAGGCCCGTGTGAACCGCGCTTCTCGCCTTCCTATGGACACTCCCACGAACGGCAACACCGCCTCGGTGAGCAATTCGGTGACAAACCCAGGCCGTATTAACCTTTTGCAGTCTACTGCCGGTGTTTCGCAAGCTGTCAAACGTGTCTCGGCCACCTCCATCACCACCACCAACACTCAGGTTCAACCATCCATCAATGCCCCGGCTTGTCACATTGCCGGCATTGCTCCGGCACTCGCCCACACCTCTGGCTGCGAGTCGAGTGGCAACACTGCGATGGCCTGCAACCCGCATGCGCACAACTCGCTCCACGCCACCCTCCAGCATTCCGAGCGCAACTCTGTTTCTCATGTTGCGGCCTCTTCTTTTTCTGGCCCGAGCGCCTCGGACGCCACCCATGTCCCGGCCGACACGCAGCCCGGCCCTAATTTCCCAATTAATGTCGGTGCCTCGGACACATCCGTCCCCGTTGCCGCGTTCATGAACCGTGACACCAAGGACCTTTTGGCCCTTGGCTCGCAGACCTCGCTGGACATGCAGTCCCGCGGGGAGGTCATCCCCAACCTCGTTCCTTCGGACGACTTCGACTACACCTATGGTGATGGTCAGTTTGCCGCGTTTGGGGCAAGGAGTGTGAACCTGACCTGGCCAGACCACTTTGAAGCCAACGTCGAGCGTTATGACAACGCCGCTCGCCTTGGCACCGGTGACGACGACAGCTCTGCGGACTTTTCGCAGGTGACTGACGTCACCAAGATCGGGAGCTTCCCTTCGTCTGGCCTCGTCTCTGACGAGGACGTTCTTGACCTCACTGCCGACACGGACAGTGAGGAAGACAGCGACTGGCTCAACACTGACAGCGAGGATGAGGGTGTTACGCGTGCTCTCGCGACCCTTCCCAACCCTGTCATGTCGTCGCTCTCCAACAGCGTCGTGACGCAGGCACCTTTCTCCTCGTTTGCCAACGGTGACGCTGTTGGAAACATTTGGTACCAGCAGCACACTGACCTCTCGTCGCAAGAGCCGCATCTCTTCCTCCCTCTTGCTTCGCCGACCTCGTACCGCTCGCGTTTCTCGTTCCACCCTCCGCCCTTCCTTGCCGGAGCGACCACGAGCAAGTCTGCCCCTCGTGTCCTTGCCATTCCGCCATGGCGTGCCCCTGTCGTCGCTACTCAGGACGACATTCGCGCCCTTTCGCACTGGCTGGCCACTCACGTCATTGGTCGTCTTGCATACCCCGAGCCTGCTCGCTCTGAAGCGCTCGGTGCGTCGTCTGACGAGTGGGATCTGGGTGGCATCATCGACAAGGCTGCGAAGCGCAAGAGCGGCGCCGTCGACTTTGAGCCGAAGGGCGTCCTGCCTGGCCGTCCCGTTACTCCGGTCCGTCCTTACCGTGTCCACGGCAAGGTTCCCGCCGACCCCTTCAAGGTCCTCAGCGTCCACGGCCACGGTCCCACGATCAAGCCCCACGCCCAGCTGGTCAGCATGATCGCCCACCTCATTTCCGAGAAGGAGATCACCGCCGAGGTCATTGTTGCTGCTGCGTGGTTTGTGGATGCGCTCCCTGTCCACGAGGTCGACGACGACGTCAACAACAACAAGCTTCGCGAGCTTCTCCGCACCTCCAACGCTGGAGAGTCGTTTGGCGTCGAGCGTCGCCTCATCATGCTCGGCTTGCTCTTGGCCGACATGTCGATTTCCGACCAGCACTGGTCCGCGTCCGACTGGGGTCTGGCTTCTGGTGTGCCCAAGGTCAAGGCGTGCGCCATGGAGCGCCTCGCCTTGATTTCTCTGAAGCACTCCATTTCCATCCAGCCCAAGACGTGGCTCGACCACTGCACCAACGTCTACTCGAGCCTCGCCAAGCTCCGGTTCGAACCCTCGCTCAACTGGGCCCTTCTCGACGTCTGCCACCGCATGGTTCAGACCGCCCGGTCGATTGTCGAGGGTGACCACATCAACAAGAACCAGTGGAAGAAGGCTCGTTCCCAGCTCGACTTCCACGCTGGTGTTGAGGCGATTCGCGCACACCAGATTGACACGTCTGCCATGCCGGCCGAGGCCGTGCTTGAGGACCGTGACGATGCCTGGCTTGATGATGTTGGTCGCGATGCCGAGTGTGCTGTCGCTCAGCTTGTTGACAGTGACCAGGAGAACATTCGTCCCGCCCAGATGGGCGACGACGATGACGAGTACGAAGAGTTTGACGGTGCGGGCTCGTTCCCTCAGCCCACGTTTGACGAGGAAGATGAGGACGAGTACGACGGCCCCATGTTCACGGACGCCGCCACCTTCCACGAAGCCATTCTCCCCCCGCAGAGGCTTCAGGAGGCCGCCCCGACTTCGTTCTCTGCTGTCGCCCTTGCGCAGCGCCTCCAGGTCGTCGCCACCCAGCAGAACGCTTCGTTTGTGCCGGTCGACTCTGCCATTGGCGAGATGAGCCAAATGACTGGCAACACCTCGAGCACGTTCGTTAACAACAACGACATCGACGTTTTCGACGACAACGCCTCAGACTGCGACTCGGACTTTGAGGAGTACGATGGCGCGGGCCGCTTCCCCATGCCCTTCGCTCCTCCTACCCGTCACCAGTCCATGTCCGCCAGCGAGAGCGACATGTCCGACGCCTCCGACTTTGGTATCCTTGCCGGCAACAACAGCTCGCCCTGCCGCGCTGCCTCGGTCAAGTCGAACGATAGTCTCGTTCACGGCTTTGCCGGGTTAACCGTCACTGGCCGTCTTCACGGCGGCACCATGAAGCGCAGCGTCTCAAACGGCTCCACTGCCAGCCGCTACGCCGACGGTACCCTCAAGCAGCCCCGTGCCGTTGCACCCTTGGTTGTGACTCGTGCCCACGTCGTCTCCCTCGAGACACAGGCCGAGCACCTCGCCCTCGTTCCCTACCACCCGGCCACTGTGCCGACTAGGGACCAAAACGAGGTCATTACCTCACTGCGGAAGATCCGCAACGAGGTGGCAGCTGGAACTCTGACGAACCGCCCATTCCCCGCGCCTCCAGTCGTGGCAAACAAGGCAGTCCCCGCCCACCCTGTCAAGCCGGTGGTCGCCCTGCCCCCGCCTGGCGCTCGTCCTCCCCAGCTTCGCCGCGAAGAACGCATTCTCGGTCGTTGGACAAAGAATGGTGCCTTTGGTGCCCATCCATTGTCCGAGAAGACGCGCTCGACCGTCCCGAGTGTCAGCAACCTCACTCACATGGGTCCGTCCTTCTTCGCACCCCCTGGTCACGGTCCTCGCTTTGGTCAAGCCTCCATGGCTCGGCCAGTCCAGCCCTGGACCACCGCGACCACTTGGGTCCCTGTGGCGGGTCCTGTTCCAACACAGATCCCAACTAAATCCCACACCCAAAACCAAGCCCCGGCTCCCGGGCTCCTCGAACTTCCTCCACTCTCCGACATCCGCAGCGCTGCGTCATCTGGATCCGGCGACCGCGGAGGGCCTCGCACTCCTGCGTCGCTGTTCCGCGTGCTCTCGTGGCGCAACAACGTCGCCGCAGCTGGCAGCGAGCGTCCTCCTTCGGTCGCCTCGTCCATCGCAACGGTTCCCGACGCCCTCGGCTGTCGCATGAACCCCAACGTGTGGGAGTACCGCCATGCCCTCGATGAGGCGCTGGCGGAGGAAGAGGAGGAGCACGAGCTCACGGGCTACCCCCCGCCCTGTGGGCGGGTCGACCTGCCCGAGCTTCAGCCGGGTACGGTCATTACGTTGCGCGCTCGCCGTAGTGGCATGTGGTCCTCCTGGTTTGAACAGGACCACCATGTCACTAGCAACAACGGCTGCGCGCCGCAGGTCACCGCTCTTTCATGATTCCAAGTGTATACCCCGTAGACGACAGAACCGACTTCTCCAACAAACAGGTTCTCAAGGTCTACGCCCTATGCGTAAAAACTTGAAAAGACCAAAAAAATTGATAGATACTCCCCTTTTTCATAGTGCGCCAGGAGCTACTGGCCTACTCCCTGCACTGCGTGCACATGCAACTCGGTGCCAGGCTACACATTGGTGCAGGTTGCAGATGGGGCGAATGGGTGCAGGCAGATTGGGCGAGGGGTCTGTTTGCTGTTTGGTTCCGTCGGACGCGAAGTCAGGCGCGCCCGTAGCATGAGGAAAGGTTGTTTTCAGTTCGTCCACTTTGTATCTCTCTTGTCCCATTGTCCCACTGCCGTTCCCCATTCCGTCTCACCGCGTCATGGCCAGACCAACCCGCGCGGCCGCCAGTAAACGCCGCGTCTCCATCGTCGAGTCCGACACGTCCGTCATTGTCATCTCGGACTCTGACGACAGCGACGCGTTTGAACCCCCAGCGTCACCACTGTCGTCGCCGCCCGGATCACCGGTGGGCGAGTCCGAGTCCGACTCTGAGCCCGAGCCCGAGCCCGTGGTGGTGTCCGACAGCGACTCGGAGGGGTCCAGCTCCAAGCCCAGGGGGCGGGGTACGAAGCGTAAGCGCGGTACCGCGGTAGGTCCCAAGAAGCCGGTCAAGAAGGAAGGCGGCGAGGTGGACATTGAAGACTGCGTGCCCCGCCCGCATGCGCGGGCTTACCACGGGATCGACGACGTGGTCAAGCTTCAAGATGAGCTGTTGGGCTGGTTTGAGACTGTCAGGTGAGTAGGTGCGCCTTGAGCCGACTCCTTTTTCACGCCTCGGCTTCCGTAAAGGGCTCCGAGCTGATCGAGCAGGGACGAACGCGGCATGCCATGGCGGAAACGGTACGACGCAGCAGCGTCAAGGGAGGACAAGGCCCAGCGCGCTTACGAGGTGAGGTTGACGACTGGACTTGACCTCGCAACGGTCCTCAGCTAACTCGCTCAGGTGTGGGTCTCCGAGGTCATGCTCCAGCAGACCCAAGTGGCCACCGTCATCGACTACTGGACGCGATGGATCGCACGCTGGCCGACCGTCCAGGACCTCGCGCGCGCAGACATTGAGGAGGTGAACGCCGCATGGCGTGGGTTGGGGTACTATCGGCGCGCGAAGAGTCTGCTGGACGGCGCCAAGACTGTGGTGGAGACGAAGAGGTATGAAGGTGAGTCACCATGGTCTGGGCCGGTGACTAGCTCTACTTGCCGCCAGTCTGGGTCATTAGCTATGATCGCCATGAGCTCTCTGTGCTGACTCGCAGGCCAACTGCCAAGCGACCCCGAGGCCCTCGAGAAGGGCATCCCTGGCGTGGGGAGGTATACGGCCGGTGCCATCTGCTCGATCACGTACGGCGTGCGCACCCCAATTGTAAGTTCAGCTGAGCGGCAATGCTGGCGAACCAGTAGCTGACGGTCGTCTTTTCCTCCATTCTCGCCCTTGTGTATTGATTGTTCTTATTCCTCGTTATGCTCGGACAGGTCGACGGCAACATCCACCGCGTCCTCACCCGCCTGCTCGCAGTACACGCAACCCAGACTGCGCCGTCGACCATAAAGTTCCTCTGGGACACCGCGGCCGCCCTCGTTGACGCCTTGCCGCGCGGCCTCAGCCGCGGTGTCGCTGGCGACTGGAACCAGGCGCTCATGGAGCTCGGCGCGACGGTGTGCAAGCCCGTCAACCCAGACTGTGACAAGTGTCCCTTGAAAGACGGGTGCAAGGCGCTCAAAGAGGTGTGTTTGCGCAGTTTACCATGCGGTGCTTGAACTGACGAGCAGGTTTCTGCCTCACCGCCACCACCTCCGCCGGGTGCCGAATGTGACTTGTGCGAGGCCGTTCCCTGCGAAGCGGGGGCCACAACCATCCCCTCCGTCACCGTGTTCCCCATGCGCAAAGCCAAGAAGGCGTCCCGAGAGGAGAACGAGGTAGTGGTTGTGACTGAGTGGCGGGGCAAGGATGACGCGAAAAGGTGGCTGCTGGTGAAGCGACCCGAGAAGGGTGAGTCAGATGGGCAGGCAGCTCAGGTTCAAGCGCATCGAAGCGGGCTGAAACCTGATCAAGATAACTGGCTGACCCAACAGGTCTGCTGGCTGGTCTGTTCGAACCTCCCACCACACCAGTCCCATTGACAGCAACCGTGGATGAGCGCCTCCACTCTGGCCACACCCACCTGTCCACTTTACTGGACACCCCCTCCCTCGAACCCGACTCGCACACCACTGTCGATGCTGTACCACACATCTTCTCGCACATCAACATGACGTACCACGTCCAGCACCTCGTCCTCACGTCCGACGACGCCGCGCCACCTGACACGGCGGCGACCGCCGCTCGTCCAATGGTCTGGCTCGACGCGCAAGGTGTGGAGGCGGCCAACGTAGGGACGGGAGTGAAAAAGGTCTGGGCGGCGGTGTATGGCAAGTGGGGACACTTTGAACCTGCCAAGGCCAAGACTGGAAAGCCCAAGCCTGGAAAGCCCAAGGCTCAAAAGCCCAAGCTTTCCGAGAAACAGGCTGCCAAGAAAAAGGCTACCAAGAAAAGGGCGGCGCAAGCGAAGGCTGCGGCGCGGAAAGCGAAAGCACAACCCAAGAAGCCAGCGGCTGCGGTGAAGAAGGAGAAGGCGACAGTCGTGGTGAAGAAGGAGAAGGAGACAGATGCCGTAAAGGAGACAGTTGCGGTGAAGAAGGAGAACGTTGTGGTGAAGAAGGAGCCCGGCGCCAGCGACAATGACAAGGTGACACGCAGGGTGACACGCAAGATATCGATGCCTGTTGTGAAGCTCGAGCCAATGTAGACTTCGTGAGGAAGATAGTACCTTTGTACACACGGCGTACCCTGCACGCCGAGGACTGCCATAGACCATAGATGTGTATGGGAAGTACAGGCTGTACAGGCTCAGATGGACACCATGCGAGTCCACAGGACGTTTGTCTCCAGCCACAACTCCCACCCTCACCACCGCGGCCCGACCTCGCCGCGAAACTCTTGGACATCTTTGGTGAGCACCTCTGCACACTACTGGCAGACCGCCAAGCCATGGGTGACTGACGTTTCTTGCAGGGCTCACTCGATTATCGCAGCCAACTGTCCACCTCCCCGCGTTTGCCCCGGCGGGCCGGCGCCGGGACACACGACGGCCCGGTCCCGGCCCGTTTTCGAGAACGTTGCCCCACTCTCACAACAGTAGAATGCTCTCAAACGCAGGCAGTCTTTAAGTCGGCAGCTGTGGACTGACGCGTGCATACCCTTCACCCTTTACCATTCCAGTTGCAATGACCGCTACTGCTGCTGCTGCTGCTCCCGCCAAGGCGCTCGATGCGCCGCTCACGTTCGACTCGGCTGAGAAGCTCATCCGCCTCCTCACCGACGGCCTGGTCAGCATCGAGGAGTCCAAGGGCGAGTTCATGACCAAGAGTGAGTCGCGGATGAGATGCAAGGAGCAGAGTGGAAGGGTATGGGCTGACGAGACGCACAGTCGCCAACGGACCGGGCTTCATTGACCAGAAGGGCTGGCGCGCATGGGAGTGGACGCAGGGCATCGCCATCTCCGCCCTCTGGAAGGTAAGCTGGTCCATGCTTGCCTCCGACCCAGCTGACACTATCCCAGCACTACTCGCTGTCGCCCGAGTCCAACGTGCACTCGCTCAACACCCTGCTCGACTGGTTCCGGTATCAGTACAAGGCCACGGACGGCAAGGGCACGTCCAAGAACATCAACACCATGGCGCCGTTCTACGGTCTGGCGTGCGCCGTCGAGGCTGGCGCCGTGCCCGAGGACGAGAAGGAGCAGTGGATCGGATGGCTGGATGAGTGGGCGGAGTGGATCATGAACGACCTGCCCAGGACCGAGCAGGGTGGTTTCCAGCACAGTGGGTATTTGGGCGGTATTACGAGCTGACCCGCACAGTCACGTTCAAGAGCGACCACGTCCAGAACATTTGGGACGACACCCTCATGATGACCAGTGAGTTAGCAGAAGTGGTCCGTAACTGACAACAGTCATTCCTCTTGTCAAGATTGGCCGCCTCCTCAACAGGCCGCACTACATCGACGAGGCCATCTTCCAGATCATGCTGCACATCGAGTACCTCATGGAGCCCAAGACGGGTCTGTGGTACCACGGCTGGGAGTTTACGCCTGAGAAGGGTCCCCTCCAGAAGGGCCACAACTTTGTGGACGCGCTGTGGGCCCGCGGTAACGCGTGGATCACGCTGTCGCTCCCGATCTTCCTGTCCATCACCGAGCTCCCGCCGACCGACCCGACATACCGCATCCTCGTGTCGACGCTGCAGCGCCAGGTCGACGCCCTCGTCGCCACCCAGGACCCCGAGACGGGCCTGTGGCACACGCTCCTCGTCGACCCGACGTCGTACGTCGAGACGAGCGCCAGTGCCGGTTTTGCTGCGGGCATCATGATGGCCCTCTCGCAGGGTATCCTCGAGGGCGAGCAGTACCTTGCCTGTGCCAAAAAGGCGGTGGACGGCATCGTCGCCCAGATCCGGCCAAACGGCGAGGTCGACAACGTGTCCTTTGGTACGGGAGCCGACTGCGAGTCGCTCCAGCACTACAAGGACATTCCCATCACGCCCATGCCCTACGGCCAGGCGCTGGCCATGTGGACCATTGTCGAGTGGGAGAAGCTCCAGGCTACCAGCGCTTAGAGAGGGAGATGGTGGGTTGTGTGTTGTTCTACGGCTTTTTGGCATTAAAAAAGTGTACACCGCAATGCATTGGGTTTGGGGAATGATACCCTTTTAGACTGGCTACAGCGCTACAGCACAGAAAGCACACGAGCGGCTGTGGTTATCTTGTACTCTCTTGGTGCAGATCTCGAGCCGTTCCTCATCGCCCTCCTGCTGCAGCGCCACATCTACATCTCGCGTACTTATTGCGTACTTATTCAACCAGCATTCACTCGCTTACAATGCCCGAGTCCTTCTCCGGCTTCCACCTGGACTCACCATGCTGGACCATGAACGGCCAGCACCAAAGACCCACCGTCGACCCCGCTACTGGGGCCGGCGGGGCTATCTGCCTCTCAGCCTCAATGACCGCCACATTCGCCGTCACCATGTGCGTTCCTCCGTCGCAGGACCTTGCCTCTGACACCAACAGCCCGCCGCCTTGTCCAACGTAGCAAGGGTGGCCATCCGCATCCTCCCCTTCGCCGTCGCCCTCCTCATCGGCATGGCCATGGGAGCGCACCACCCGCTCTACATGTCAATCTACACGCGGCGTCCAGCGACCGCACGCCTCCTCCCGCCGACCCTCCCGCCACCGCTCGACATGTCCGCCACTGCGTCGCTCGTGCATGGCCTGCACCTCCCGCCGTCGTTACCCCTCCCGCGGTCGCCGGTCCCCAGCATCCTGCACTACGTGTACGGCCTCGGCCCACGCTCGCTCCAAAAGCCGTTCCCGTACTACGCCCACCTGGCCATGCGGAGCGCGCTGACGACGCTCAAGCCCGACAAGGTCATGTTCCACTGTGTCCACGAGCCGTATGGATACTGGTGGGACCAGGTGCGGTCGTATGACGGCTGGGCGGTGGACACCAAGGGCCAGCGGCGCGGGCGCGTCGAGGTCGTCAAGGCGCGCGATGTGACGTGGGTGGGAAAGGAGCGGGCGCCAGTACACCATGTGAGCTGGGGACGCTGATCACAGCAGGACAGTGAGGCGAGGGTGTGCTGTGGGGTCCAAAGTCCCATACCCACGCCCGTCGAGGCTGTGACGGTTTGCAGATGGGACGGGTGCTAACACACCAGTTTGCACACAAGGCCGACATCCTCCGCCTCGAGATCCTCCTCGAGCACGGCGGCATCTACCTGGACATTGACACGTTCGTGCTCCGCCCCTTTGCGGACCGCCACACCGGCCTCGATCTCATGCAGTACGACACGGTGCTCGGGATGGAGGCGCGGGCGCTGGACGTCGCCCACGGCCCCCGGTCCGACGACGAGATGCGTCCCAAGGGCCTGTGCAATGCCGTCATTGTCGCGCGCCCCGGTGCCGACTTTGTCAAGCTCTGGCTCCAGAGCTACGACACGTTCCGGTCCTCCAAGTGGACCGAGCATTCGGTGGTGAGACAAGCGAGACAAAGCTCCTGCGAGCGAGCGTTTGCGGTTTTGGCTGGCTGTGTCCACTGACACACTGAACACAGGAAATGCCGTGGACGCTCGCGCGCCTGTACCCCACGCTCGTGACCGTGCTGTCTGACCGGGCGTTCTTCTGGCCCCTCTGGACGGCGGACCACATCCACGCTGTGCACACGACTGCCGAGTACGACTTTGCCGCGTCGGGCCAGCTGGCGTACCACGCCTGGGAGTCTGTGGCGCGGCCATACCTCGAGACGCTGGACCCCGAGTCGATCGTGCGTGTCGACTCGAGTTTTACGCGCATGGCCAGGCGGTTTAGGGAGAAGGGGGAGAGAATCAAGTGGAGGAAAGCACAGGCTGCTGCTGTCGGTCTCGCGAGGGCCGAGAAGGACGAGGAAGAGGAGGAGGGGGACTGCGATGATGGCGAGTGCGACGAGGCTGGCGTCGACACCAGAGGCCATGACTAGCTTGTACCGGATTTTATGGTATAAGCAATGCAGCAGAGCGCATTCATAACGACTCCCCAACTTTGAGCATAGAGCAGCTCACTGCTTCCCACCTGCCGCCACTCCACGCTTTCGCCACTTGTCACCACGACGTGGGGGAGGGACCAAAACGCGCGCCACCGGAGTTAGGCGCCGATGACGGCAGACGTCTTTCCATCGGTCTTGAACTCTGTCTCTCCACCCGACTCGATTAGCTCGACTCTTTGCGATTCCAACCGTTTGCAACTCCACACCACCCACACCGCACACCACCAATCCTCACCACCATGGCTGCTACCGACCCCGAGCAGCTCACCATCCCCTCCGACGCCGAGGCGCTGCACCCGGGATCCAAGGGGATCAAGGGCGTGCTTGCCATCGACATGGACGACGTGCTCTGGTGAGTCGGGGCTGGCAGAGGTGCGGAACGCCGATGGGGTGCAGCTACCGCGCCTAGACAAGACAGCTGCATGCTCGGCCGTTCTTCCCCGTGCACGAAGAACGTGCGGCCCCTGCCCCCCTCTGTCCAGTGATGGCCGTGTTAGCTGACGGGCGGCCAGCAACACCAACGCCACGATCGTTCACAGTGGGTAGTCACTCTGCATCCGTCCCGAGACATGTTGTGCGCGAGGAGTTGGGAGTTGAGAGGGATCGCGGATAAGGGTGTGTGGAAGCAGTGCTTTGCGTCGGCAAGCACACTCCACCGTGTAGAGGTGGAGCACGCTGTCGACTTGCCGAGCTCGGTGATGGTCCAACGCTTCTTATCTACGTCACCGAGCCAACCGGGACGACGACACGCTGGCGCTGCTTGTCGCCCTTGCCCTCCCTCCTCTCTCGACCTTGCGGGCTCTGCTCGAGTCTCGTGGCGTCGATAGAGACTGTTCCCGCCTCCCCATGACCACAGACCTACAGCTATCCATCACGGTGATATGAAAGCTGACTGTCCCAGTGCACTCGAAGCTGTTCCCCGATGCCGCCGAGCCCCCAATCGCGATCGAAGAGTTTGAGCACTACCTGTACTGGAACAACCGTGGATGGGGCACCCAGACCGAGACGGTTGAGATGGTGGTGAGTGTTGGGCAGAGCGTGGGATGTGGCCACGGGCGTCCGTGGCCGAACAAGGACTGGTGCGGACGGTTCTGGCAGACATGGCACCAAACCGAGACCGGCCACCCAGCTCCCAAGGCATGTTTGCGGAGCACCCCGCTGACGACTGCAGGGCGCGCTGTACCGTAACGGCCTGATGGACATGCCCGTCCCCATTCCCGGGGCGCGCGAGGGCCTGCTCAAGCTCAAGGCGATGGGCTACTCGCTCATTGTGATCACTGCGCGCAGCGAGATGCAGCGCGAGGGCACCGAGGAGTGGCTCGAGACCAACCTCCCGGACAGTGAGTGCAGCTCTTTTTATGGTACCGCCTCAGCTGACACGACCCAGTCTTTGACGAGCTGCACTTCACCGGCGCGTTCAACCACCTCATCCCGGCCACGCACTCGGAGCACGAGGGCCACGCGGCGCGCAAGGCCGTGGTCTCGCACAAGCAGCGCACAAAGCACGAAGTCATGCGCCAGACCAACGCCCTCCTCCTCGTCGACGACAGCGCCGAAAACGCCGTCGCGGCCGCGTCGGCCGACCCGCCAGCCCGCGTCCTCTTGTTCGGCGAGTACCCGTGGAACGCCGAGATTGTGCCCCCGCACGGCGAGTGTGCCGCGCACCCGCACGACAAGCTGATATACGTCGAGCGCGAGCGCCAGGGCCTGCTGGTGGAGTGCAAGGCGCGCCGGGACATGCGTATCGAGCATGGATGGCTGCCTGCGGGTGTGTCGCGCGTGCGCGACTGGGAGGGCGTGGTGGACGCCGTGCGGGCGTTTGAGCTCGAGAAGAAGGCGTAGAGCGGCGCGAGTGGAGCGAGCGGCGAAGAGCGGAGCGGAGGTGGAGCAAGGCGGGGTATGGCGCACAAGCTAGACACTACAGGGATGGACAATGCATCTCGTACATGACTCCCGTGAGCAGAAAGGACACAGCGGGGAGAGTGGTAGGTGGAGAAGCGCTGGGTGGCCGGGGGGACACAACTGCACGACACCCGCATCAACCGCCACAATTCCCAACAATAGACGCCAAGTAACCGCTGTCGACGCTCACCGAGCTATAACTTAACCACGTCTCAAGCTCACCAAAGTACACTCACTACCTACACCCTACGGCATGGTGCCATTCTCGTCCACCCCGAGTCACGCAGCAGCGCCACCAACGACCCAGTGCAACTGCCAACGCGCCACAGCGTGGGGTTTCACAACAAGCATACGGGAGGGTTCGCGCCCTTGCCCTACCGCATCCTACCGCCTACATGGGCGAGGGGAGTCACTCCGGTACCGCGATGGGGGTAGGACATGGCCGTGTGGGGCATTGACGGTGAGTGGGGCCGATAGGCTGTGGCGTGCGAGGTGGTGCGAAGTGGTGCGCTCGAGTTGGCCCGTTGTGGCGGGTGTGGCGGGGTGCAGGCTCCCCAAGCCGTGCTCCACTACTCGACAGTCTGGCCAATTTTGGTCCATGTGCCGTTGACTGGAGCGAGCACGGAACAGGTACAGGACAGACATTGTTCTGGACGCAGGGACCCGCCGCTACCCAGGTCAAAATCAACCAGCCCAAACCGCATCGCACCACCGCTCGTGAGCCCGGAGAATAGAATTCTCGCAGTGGCGGCGGCGGGGATTTAGTCGCTGAACCGTCGACCGCCGACCATCGAGGCCAGCGCGCAGGACCACGCAGTATGTATGCATCAAGCTGGCCCGCGACGCCAGAGGCCAGCGGGCGTGTGCGCGACGGTTCCAATGAGGTACACGGGGACTGCCAGGTGGGCGTGCGGACGTACGACATGTGGACATGTGGGCTTCCTTTTTCTCGCCTTTTTGTCGGTTAACGCGCGATTGTGTGCCTCGAAAGTTATGGAGCAAAGATGCTTACCCCCGTGCCACCACATGCTCGTGCCATGCCCATGCTATGCCGTGCCATTGCCGCACGGCGCATGGTTGATTAGATTAGATTTCCGAGATGCCAAGAATAACGATATCCGGAAACAGTCAGTGCAGAGCCAGTGTCAAGGGTGCTGCTCGCTACTCGCCGCTCTCTGCTCTGTGGTGTTGGCGTGGATAGCAATGGCATCCCTATGTGGCGTGAAAAATAAACTAGAATGGATCTCCGTTAAAAAATCTATTTTGAACCAGTGATTGGTGGAAAAATATTATTATTGTACAACCGATAGACGACCTCCTGTGGTCGACACGGACACCCTATGACGCTTCTTCCCCAATCCCATTCCCTTTCGGTATCCCTCGCCTCTTCTAACCCGAGTGGTGGTGGTGGTGGTGGTGGTTTTCGGGACGCTGGATGCTGTGGAGGGCATCGGCAATGTCAATGTGGAAGAAGGGGGTGGCGCGGTCGAGGAGGGTGAGGGACGAGCGGGACGAGCCGTTCGACTTGGTGGTGCGGCGCACGTCGCCGAGGGGCGGGGTGGTGGCGTCGGGGCTGCCTGGTCCGCTGGCATCGAGCGCTGCCTCCTTGTCCTTTGTGGCGTCGAAGAACGAGCCTTCCTCGGTGGACGCCGAGCCCGAGTCGGGGCCCGACTCGAGGTCGAGGCGGGGGCTGGGGGGAGCCTGGTTGGCCGGGTCGGCGTCGCCGCCGACACCGTACGAGCCGACGACGGGGGCGACCTCGGGAGCGGTGCCGTGGGGTCCGTGGGCGCGGCCAAAGCCGCCAGCAATGAGGGCGCGGCGAGTCCAGGGAGAGAGAATGCCCGAGAAGTGGAACTCGACGTGGCGGTCGGCCCACTTTTCGACCTCCTTGCGTGCGTCGACGAGGTTCTGGACACCGGTGGTGTCAATGTTGGCGACGGCGGAGAAGTCGAGGATGACGGCGCGGAGGATGGGCTTGTGCGAGTCGTGGGCGGCTTCGTCCTCCTTGCTGCCCTTCTTGGGTCCGGGGTCGTTCCAGGGGCGGTCGCCGGCCTTGACGTTGGTGTAGTCCTTGCCGCAGCGGGTGTGCTCCTTGGCGTAGCCGACGAGACGGTCGTTGATGTACGAGGCGTTGGGGTAGAGGAACGACTCCTCGAAGCGGTAGATGATGACTCCGGGGGGAGGGGGCACGACAGGGACGTCGTCGTTGGTGACACCGTCGCGGCCCTCGATGGGGACAAAGACGTCGCGGATCTGGGCCTCGTCGGTGCTGTCGCCGTCGGTGCGGATGCGGACGCGGCCGAGGAAGTGGCCCTTGGGGCGGGCGATGCGGAAGAGCAGGAGGACGGCAGAGCAGACGAGCGACCAGTAGATACCCGACTCAATGCTGTAGAAGATGGACCAGAGAACGGCACCGACGAAGATGATGTACTCGAGGGGCGAGACGCGCCAGAAACCGAGCGACTGCTTGGGCGAGGCGACCAGGTCGGCGACGGCGTGGATGATGAGGGCAGCGAGGGTGGCGTTGGGGATCCAGTAGAAGGCCGGGGCGACGGCGTAGAGGGCAATGATGACGACGATACCGGTGGGGATACCGGCGGCGGGGGTGCGCACACCCGACTTGGACTTGAGAGCCGAGCGAGAGAACGAACCGGTCGAGGGGTAGGCCGAGAAGACCGAGCCGACAGTGTTGTTGACGCCAATGGCGATCAGCTCCTGGTTGGGGTCAATCTTGTAGCCGTTGAGACGACCAAACGACTTGGCGATGGAAATGTGCTCGAGCAGGAGAATGATCGTGGCGACGGGGAGGTGGGGGCCGAGGGCGGCGAGGAGGTCCATGGTGATGAGGGGCTGGCCGACGTCGCCAAGACCCGAGGGGACGGTGCCGACGAGGTTGATGCGGGCCGTTTTCTGGTGGATGTTGATGCGCCACGAGATGATTGTAAAGATGATGATGACAAAGGCGTGACGCAGGGCCTGGGCAAAGAAGGCGGCGCGAGCGTACTTGGGGTAGCGGCTCTGGACATAGCCCAGTCCCCACTTGATGCCGTAGAGGAGGGCGAGGGCACTGACACCGAACGCAGCGTCCAGGTTGCAGTCGGGCAGGTGCTTGAGAATGTTGATGATGACCTTGTAGGTCGCCTCCTTTGTGTTGAACAGCTTGGACGTGCCGAGCAGAGCAGGGACCTGGCCCGCGGCAATGTTGAGCGCGGAACCGGTCATGAATCCAGACACGGCAGGCTGGGGGATAAACTCGATGATCCAGCCGACACGGAGCAGTCCAATGCCGAGGACGATGAAGCCACAGATGAACGCGAGGCAGGGTGGCAATCTCGGGGGCGGTCCACTGGTCGCCGTGCTTGGCAATGACGGCGTTGATAATGGTTCCGGTCTCGAGCGACATGACGGCGACGGGGCCGATGGAGACATCCTTGGCTGGTAGCGAACAGAGCATAGGTGAGGACACCGATGAACGACGAGTAGAGACCGTACTGGGCGGGGAGGTTGGCGAGCTTTGCGTACGAGAGCGACTGGGGGACGAGGACGAGACCGACGGTGATGCCACTGAGGAAAAAGAAATCACGTCAGCGGTGAATTTATCGCCAAATGGCGTATTGTGGCAACGGCCCCGGAAAATCAGCCGGCCGGGTCGTGGATGACTCACGCAACAAGGTCACCGTAAAGCCAGGTCAGGTTGTAGCGGGGGGCCATTGGATGAAGGGGAAGAGCGACTTGATGTAGTTGAGGATCTGTGCAAGGTGTTAGACGACGCAGAGGTTGGGGGGGGGGGGGGGGGGGGGGGGGTTCCGATGGGGGGTACTCACGGCATGGCCATAGTCGACCTTGTTCTCCTGGAAGTAGCTCTTGACGGTGATCGACTTTGGTGCGTCCTCGTCAAACCCGGTGATCTGTGCCACCTTGGTCTTGACGCGCGACTTGAATGTGCCGTATGCGACCATTGTGGACGACGACGACGACGGGTGTTGGGAATGGGCGGATGTGCCACTGGGGTGCCACAGGCGCGTGCGTTCAGAGGCTGTGATGGTGGTACCGGGGGGGAGGAGGAAGGGGGGGGGGGACTCTACAGCCGGAGAGGCGTTGTGTGGGGGGGCGGAGTGGGAGTCGCGCGGTGGCGATGTCGATCTGGAATCGAGGTGGGTGGGGAGTGTGTGTGGAGCCTTTTGGGTATTCGTAAGAGCGATGCAAGATATATAGAGATGGAAGGAGAGCGACGTCGAGAGAGAGAAGCACACAAAAGGTGTGATTGTGAGCCACCGGCCCAAAACGACGAAAAGTGTCCCAACCGCCCCCCGGATGCAGCGTCATGTCGCCATAGATTTCCTCCTCCTCTCCCTGGGTGGTCGGGCCCTGGTCGTGCATCTGCAATTTCTGGGCCAGCAAACTGTGCCGCCGGGGGGCCAAGCAGAGGACCCAGGCCCAGACGGGCGGGGGGGTTCCTCGGCGCTCAGGAATGACCCAGCCGGCCAGCGGACGTGTTTCTTACGGCCTCGTTGTCCGCGCCGCACCAGGTCGTGTGCTCGCTGGCTGCCGGGGCCACTGCCGTTCCACGCAACGAACACGCAGCCAAACAACGCTGTGCTGACTGAGAAGAAAAAAAAACGTATACATCCTCTGCTCGTCCAGGGCCTTGCAGTGCAACAGCCCCCTGTCTCGCTGGCAGCGCGCCAGAGCAGCCCCGCCCGCCGGCCGCCAAGGAAATAATTCTTGTCCCTTTTTGGCCACCTGTGCCATCTTGCCACTGATTGCGTGCTCACTACGTCTTTGCGCGTGCTTTATCACCCATCTTGCGTGATATCAACGTGGAAACCACGTGCAAGGGATCCTGATACCCGCCCAGGCACGGGTCATGGCGTTCGATCCTCTGGCCTCCGGGGTCGGTTGTGGCGGCCAGTGCTTGTGCACCAACACCCACATCCACCCACCTCTCTCGGGGCTCTGTCTCTGCTCCGTCAATCGGCTCTCTGCTGCGTGACGGCGGTGGTGGCGCCAGCCGCGGGGGGCCATGGGAGGCACAAGCTCCACTCTGGGCCCCTCTGGCCTCCTCTGGGCATTCTGCATTCGGCTCACAGCCGACAATCAGCCAAGCCTGTTTCGCACCTCGTCTCAGACATCCACTCGATAACGGGCCCTATCACTCCATCACTCGCCGCGCGGGTGCACGTCTCTCGCGATATCTCGTAACCGAACTCTGAATGGGGAATTCCAGACACAGTCCATCAAAAAGTACATACTCCTTGTCGTGCTTTGTGGGCGTGATGGTGTGGACCTAGGATGATCGTCCGTGCTCGTTCTCAATCATTCCCATTTCCTTGTCTCTTGTGTTGCCTTGAGCAAAAACTAAATCTGTCCGCTTGTGCGCTTGGCCACCCACCCCCCGGCCCCGGCCCCGCAAAGGTCACATGTGCCTCCTCCGGCGTCTGCTGCGCACGTAACCGAGCAAAGTACATTCGGACCTCGGAGCTGACCACCAAGTTGGATCTCGGGTATGGCGCACACTTGGCTCGTCTGGCGCACCACTTGGCGCAAGACGTGTTGGGAACAGCGCACTCTTGCTCTCCCGAGCAACGGGCCACGGCACGGCACGCAATGCATCACCCAAACGACGGGGGTTGTCACCCAACCCCAACAGCACAAGCACGACCCCGGTGGTCTGCACCAGTCCAGTTAGACGTGCTGTGGCATCAACAGTGGCAGCGTCTACTTGTGTACACAGGAGGAGTGGCCTGAAAAGAACAAGGCACTCGTTGGTTGCGTGCCGAAACGCAGCCTCCGCCAGAACGGCCCGTCAAATCTCCCCCCTTGTGCGCACCCCTGCCAGGCAGGCCAAGAGGCCAACGGCTCTGTCGCGCGCGGACACCCATTGCGTCAGGTCGCTAATTGCAGTCCCTTGGGACCTTGGCTTTCGGGAATGATCTGCGTTCGCAGTTATGGCGTGCCGCGAACTGAGGGTTGCCAAAGCAAGGGTGTGGCATCGTCAGAACAGGTGTCGGGGATAATCAATGGCTTCTGTCCACCCGGTGGCTTGCTGGCGGCGTGTGCAGTGCGGGGAACCGCCCCCCGCTCGCGCCGCTCGTCTGCTGGCCGCTGGCCCCCGCTGGCACGCTGGCACGCTGGGGCACGTTGACTCGACTGTGTGGCTTGCCACTCGCGACCACTGGCGGGTCCGGGAGATTGCGCAACATGGCGGGCCGGCGCTTTGGCAACTTGCTGTCATTGACTTGTTCACACACACGCCATCGACGTCGTCTCGCACTGGCTCCTCAATTCCAGATTATCAGACACGACGGACTTGGCTTGCCCGCTCGTGCTCGTGCTCATGCTCGTGCTCGTGCTGGTCACCCTCGTTTCTAGCGGGGAGCGTTTGTTTTTCTTTCTCGTTTACACGCACGTTAGTGGGTTACTACTTTCTGACATACCTCGTCACGAGTGGCACCAGCAACTTGTTCCACCACTGCGCCCACGAGTTCTCTCTCTCTCGCCCATTCCGCTACACTGTCCCTCGACTGTCAACGGCATGTTATCTGTGTGTATGTGTGTGTGTGTTCGCTCCACTCCAACCTGTGCTTCACGGCACTGCAGATCAAGGCAAGGTTCGTCTGTGGCCCAGAAACGCTCGTCACAGCGCCCAGTGAGTGGCCCACACGGTTACATCATGTTCAGTCATGTTCAGTCACGGGCGGCGATTGTTGCGCAGTCAACATTCGCTAGGCTCTATCAAAGGGGACGCACATGCACACACACACACACACACACAGCAGCCTCCGGTTCCGCCGGAGGCAGCCAGTCGGTGATCAGTGACGAGGACGGGCTGCCGAGATGTGTGCCGACGTAAGTGGCTCTCGATCGTGGAGAGTGTATCCACACCGTATCCCTTGTGACTGGGCGACATTGTGAGGAACAGCCAAACTGTCAACTGCTATTGTTTGTTGGCATCAGGCGAGTGACCCGCGCACTCCTCCAAGGCCCCACTCCAGCGCCCTCGTCACTTGTCTAAAGCATACACACCTCCTCTGGCCTCTGGGTGTGCCTCTCACGTCGTCACTGATCCCACTGATTCCCAGCGGTCTTCGCCGCCTCGTCAGCTCGTCTGGCTCGTCCCCGGCTACATACACAACGTGTTTGGTCTGCCCAACTGACCGTTCTTAAATTCACTTTATGCAGTAGCGCTACACGCCAAAAGCCGCGCGGGACGCGGCCCTCTAGCAGCACAGCTAACGCTCTAGCAATGCGGCCAAAACGTTCTAGCAATACAGCTAAAACATGGAGGTCAGATCTGGGGAGACCTAGACCGCGAACCGGCAACGCCAGCCTCGTGAGACCCGGAAAGCCCATCGTACAGTACAGTACCCAGCCGGCCGGCGCTGGAACGGCCATGCTCCAGCAGTCCGTCATCGTCACTCTCCGACAGCGTGTCAAAACGGTGGAGGCACCCGTGCGAACGCGCGATCACCCAAAGGCCGCGCATCACGTCCACCCCCGGCCACTGGCCACTGGTATGACAACGACGACGACGACGACGGGTGGTGTTTGGGTTTCGCTCTCCGGGAAACGGCAGATTCCACACGGATCTCACACGAGTGTGACAGCATTCCGGGACCGGGAAAACAGCAAGTGATCCGAACACGCTCCCCCAGGTCCCCCATTAACCATTCCAGCGCGGTGCATTCCTGCGGCACTCTGACAGGGTGCGTGATTGCGGGCTTGTGGAGCAGGCTTCACTGTGCCGAAAGCGAAAGCCAAACTCGACGACACCACCACGGGACACGGGCCATGCACAATTGCACAAGCGTGCGTAGGCTGGGCGGTCATGCCGCGGTGCCGGGGCGTCGCAATGAAAGCCTGAAGGTTATGAAGAGGCATACTGGACTTGCGCGGCCTGACGCATGTGCTCGGGACAACCTCTGACATGACACATGTGGGCGATGGCCACACGTGCTGCTTGCTATACAGGCTTCGCGTTTGACGTTTTGACGTTTTGACCAACGAGTTTCACTGAACACGAGAGTTGGGTTGGGGGAGGTGCTGCAGAACGGGAACGGGAGGCCTGGGGCACCACCGCCAGGCGACAGAAAGGGGCCATGCCGGTTCCCCAGTGCTTTCTGGCTAGTGCTTGTAATGAATGCATCTTGTGTAATCCAGCGCACCGGCGCACCGGTATCGTGACGGGCCACGACCAAGAAGTGGCGTGAGGTCTCACTCGCTCTCGCTCTCGCGCTCCCGAGCCACTCTCGGCATCGCTGGTGTTTGTACTGTATGTGTAACCACCTGTGGCCATGCCACTATGTACTGCGTGACACGAGGATGGGATGGCCGTTTCATCGCACCGCAAGCGCGCAAGCGCACAGGCCGGTATATTCTCATGAGAGACCAGAGGTCACCCCACCAACTGCAGTCACGAAACCCCCCAAACTCAATGTCCATTACACCACCGAGATTAAAAAACAAAATCAAATGTCCAGGCACAATATGCCCCAGTTGCGGCAAATCCACCCCCAGCCCCGGCTGATCGAGGAACCCGCACGCGCACGCATGCACGCACCGTTCCAGTGACGTCAGACCCCGACCGTTCTCGTAAGAACGTAATTACCGTTCCTCACACATAAGCTCCAGCTCGTACGGCTCGTGTCGACCATGGGAAGGAGGGTGGGTGGAGTATAGGTGGTGGTTCCCATAATACAGGAGCGACGGGCAGGGCGCCGGCTCGTTTTCCATACCTTCCGGATCCGTGTGGGTATCGAGCTTGGGACACGGCACGCTGCGCGCGCCTGGGCTGCTGGTATTCTGGGCTGCTGGCACGCTGGGGGACATGTCTCGTTCTCGTGCCCGTAACTGGGTCTGTTACGACACACCGCCAGGCTCGGGTCGCTCCCGAGAAACATGTGGGAGGAATGCGGGGGGCAGTTAATTAGTGTCGCTGTGAGGAACTGGGGTGCTGGAA